TTAGATTACCAGATGATTAGGTATTATTTTTTGTATTTTTGTATTTACGGGGCCATACATTGCAGTTGGTGGCCGACTCTTTTTGTTGTCTTTTACTACTATTCCCTCCGTTTCAAATTAGTTGTCGTTTTGGGGAAAATGTATCTGCAATTATTTGGATATATCTGCAATGCAAAACACGTCCAGATACGTCCAAATATTTGCAGATACATTTTGCCAAAATGACAACTAATTTGAAACGGAGAGAGTATAATTTACATGATATATAGTTTTATTAGTTATAATTATGGATGTCTATGTGCCAGCTTATATATTATACACACACATTTTAAATATTTCAGAAGGGACGATTAAATTACTTCAAAAGAGATACAGATCCGATACTGTATAGTATGCATATTCAATTACAACATCAACATGTTATATTGATTAATACGAAGATGTTGGATGCTTCTGTTTGGACTATGCTTGATATTGGAATATATCCGATACGATTGGCGTATTATTGTCTTCAAATATGCTCATATATTTTTGCATGTGCAGCGTGGGATGTGTAATCTAGTTTGTGAATCAAATTTAGAGTACATACATGGGGTACGTATGCATTTATATATATCCTATGAAGTCATTTATAAATATATTTGTCAAGGCATTAATAAATATATTTTCAAGTGGATGTTTTATTCTCCCTTTTATATGTGTACCCAGAAAAAGGTACATTTTATTTGTAAATAATAAATTCAATGGTTTTAAAATCAAACACAATATGAACTGATTAGTTAGTCACATGTTAAAAAAAAACCAGGTAATAACTTATACTAATACTTTTAAATACAGTACCTATTCGTTCTATTACCAGTTCAGCTAAGGGTCTGACTGGTTTAAACTCTGCGGTTGCGGGAGTTTGCACAAGTGGGAGTTTGCGATTAAAAATGTAATTAAACTGTTTGTACGACTGGTATAGCAGTTCATAGCGGTTACGTTTGCGGGATATTTTTGACTGGTTGGTTAGTGGTGCAAAAACGTTTTAACCAAAAAGTATTAAAATAAAAATAATATATAGCTAGGGATTCTTTGAAAATACCCTATTTATTTTAAAATATTTGAAAAATACCCTAACTTTTTTTCTGTTTTGAAAAATACAGAAAAATACATTTTTGTATGTAAAAATACTATTTTAACTTTATTTTAACAAAACAGTACTAAATAATTATTAATTAAAAACCAAATTCGAAAATATTATGATGAATGATATTTTTTTTTCAGTTATTTAAAATTTATAATTTAAAAATTGATAAATGTAGAGAAAATTTTATATAAACAACTTTAATATCACACATAAACCCTAATATAAAGCCACAAAAGTGAGAATGCAAAATGTTTTTGTAGATAATTAGGAATAAAAATGTTTATTAGTTTAAAATGAAAAACATCAAAATCAAATTATCATCTTTTATATATTTTTATTATTTAAATTTAGTTTTATTAATTAAATTTCGTTTTAATTAAATTATTCAGAAATATCAAATTTGAATAATTATCCTAGTTTGAATTTCCTGTTTTTTTTTTTCAGTCCGCAACCGTCCGCAAACGCTTGCGAAAAATAGCTTTTGATTTCTAGCGATATAAAGCAGTACAGAGTGGTATAAATTGGTTCAAAGTGGTTGTCGTAACTGTTATAAAACGTTAAGAACCGTTATGAACTGCAAACGCAGCATTTACAGGTGGTAGCAGGAGAACGAATCATCACCTAAGATAACATATTGAATTATTTTACATAAATGTAATATAATGTTTTTTTTTATTTTAATGTTAAGATAATGTAATATAAAGTTATGAAAAATAAATCTATAAAATAATTAGTGAGTTGCATAACAAAATATCAGACTGAACCTATCATGTTTATAGGTTATAAATAAATTATTTTTCACGATTTTATAGGTTGTGAAAACTTTGACTATTCAAAAGAGATATACATACTCATGCAATCATGCATCTTATTAGATAGTAGCCTAGGACTTTATTTTTTTTGGTTAAAGACAATTCCCTCCAATTTTATACTCCCTCCGTTTTTTTTTTATGAATTTTCTAGCAATTTTATGTTGTTTCATAAAGATAATTTTTTTAGCTTTTTGATTCACTTTTGCAGATTTCAAGAAACAATCATTATATTTCTTAGATTTTTATTGGTTTAAAGTTATAAGAAATAGTGTAATTGGCAAAACCAATACACTTATGATTGAAAAGTAACTTTTTCTTAATAGGTGTGAAAAAACTAGAAAATTCATCTTAAAAAAACGAAGGGAGTAGCTTTTTCACATATATTTATATATTTGAATAAGTTAATTTATTTTTGCAGTTAAACCAACAAGAATCCAAGAAACATAATTATTCTCAATAAATTTTTCTTAAAATCTTGGAAAATGCATAATAAAATCATCTTGAACGAAATGAGTATTATTCATTTTTTTAAAAATTTGAATACAGAATTATTATTTTCGCCTATAATGATCAAATAGATCTCTAAGGTGAGCTTATCTTCAACATGTACAACAACATGTTATTTTGTACTGAAACAATGATCAATGATAACCATCAAAAGATCAATACTCTAAATTCTTACATATGACTACAATTCCTTTCCGACCAACAATTTTTGACGAAAAAGGTTTGATTGACGATGTGTCAAAATGGATAACCCGACCCAACCTTTACCCATACAGGTGTGAAGGTTATAGGGTTGGGTTATGACTCCACCCATTTATTTTATGGGCTGTGAATTATAAATCAAATCCAATTATGTTAGTACCCATGAGTTTTATGGGTATTCATATATATAAAAAGTGAATAATAATTTTTTTATTTTGATAACAAATGAGTAATAATTTTTTTTTTCTTTTGTGAACACCCTCTATTTCTAAAACATAATAAATGAGTAATAAAAAATTTAAAACATGATATATATTATTAAAATTCAACTAAAACTTCCAAATAACAATTCATAATAGTATTTGTATAGTAAAACAAAATAAAATACTCATAATTAGATAAAACATCAAATAAAACCATAATAATATTTTTGTGATAATCTCATGGATAACCCATAACTCTAATGGGTTTACCCCATAGACTATTAGGGTCAACCCACTATAACTCATTTATTTATTTGAGTAAAAAAATTCAACATAAACCCATTTAAAATTCTAACTAACAGGGTCAACCCATGGGTAATGACCTATCTTGACACCCCTATCATTATCGGCCAGATTTACCACTGTTTTCATGGTCAAATTAAATTACCACTGTTTTTTTTTTTTTTTGCATGCATGCACATATGCTTGTTGAAAGACAACTGGTTTACCGTTTACGAGTCACGAGTTTTTCAAGATAGTTTTGGTTTAGTAGGTTATGGGTAACGGTTGTCCAGGTTTAATCCGGCGATCCAAATCGGCTTAAAAATTACAGCATAAAATGCCAATATATATATATATATATATACACACACTGACACACACATTAGATGGTGTCATGGTGATGCAAGGTTGTTACGGTTCTTTAACAAAAAAAAAGGTTGTTACGGTTGGGAGCGAGTATTTGGTTAAAGATTTGTGGTTAGATTGGTAAACATCGTTTTCATAATCATGATTTTTGGCGGTTAGATGCAGTAAAACGGGCGGTTGAACATTTAATGGTTGAAATATGGTGACAAATTAAACTAGTTAAAAAATATAAAAACAGACACAGAAAAATGTTACAAGAGCAATATATAAAAAAACAAAAATTTCAAAGAAGTTAAAACAACTGCATAATTTTGCAACTTAAAAAAAAAATTAAAACCATCTAGCAGTTTGTTTAACTAACTAAAATAATCTAGCATTGTGTTTAACTGATTAAAATAATATAGCATGGTGTTTTAACTAATTAAAATAACCTAATAATCTTTTTTTTATTAGGTGTGGTTTATAATTGAAACAAAAAATATAGCGACGGAACACACAAAACATGTTACTCATATATAGTTCCATTGGAGACTTGTCATGGGGAGATAAAATATTTGGAACCAAATCTGTAGAAGTCATCAGCTAGATTCAAGAACATGAGATTCACTGTTAGGAGGACGATGTTGAAGGGCTAACTTGATCGCGTGTGATATAAATCGTATACGATGATTTGCCATACAAGAATAGTTGCTTCTTGGAGTTGGAGCGAAGGAACATATCGCTTGAGATAAAGCCATTCTAATTCTATATATAGTTGATACGACCAAATTTTAAGGAATGTGCCGTGAACAAATATTATTTTAATTTCTAACAGCATGTTTCAACTCTTAACCATTTATTTTTACTGTCTGTTCCATCCACTCGTCTAAGTGGTAATTAAAGAGATGATTTAGCTTCCAAGTTCCAACCTTTGAATATTGGATTACCACTTAAACTCTTTAGAAATGTGGTCATTGGTCATCTTAGTTACCAATTTCATCCGCTGCGATAATTTTTGCAGTGGTTGTCATGCATGTCTTGAACATACAAAACAAGTTAACAAGAACAATTTTATTTATCAAGTTTAACAAGAGCGTTTAAAAATATACGATGAATGATAAATATAAAAATTTGGCCCAAAATAACTTGATTTTTTGTTTCTGTAATTTTTTTTACAAATTACAAAAAACTCAGGTGAAGTTACCATTATTTCACCATTCAACCCACTATACTCGTAATCCATTTAATCTTCATTTTTCTATCGAATTCTTAATATTTTATTATTATATCCCGTTATAAACAAGGCCCCCATTAAATTCAAATTGGAGTTGTTGTAAAGTCAACAAAGTAGCAAACTTACATTTTTATATTATATAACAACTTAACGAGAGACATGCGCCAATCAAAATCCAAACCTAAAGAGTTTACTAAAAATCTATATTATATAGATTATAAAAACAACAAACGAAAAATATAGCAAACTTATCACCTAAATAAAAGATCTAAAACAATAAGATATTATCAACCTCTTCCAAATGGATGATTTTGCTCCGGAAACTTCACTTCACCATCCAAAGAAACATCACCACGACCATGACCGCCACCACCACCACCACCACCTCCAGCACCACCACTACCACTGCGATTCACATTTCTCACCATTCCTCCAACTCCAAGAAAATCCAACGTTAACTTATCCGAGCCGCTCATATTTCCATTGTTTCCAAAATGGACATCGAAGATATTGCCACCGGATCCGCCGCCATTAACAGCCGCTAGTGAGTTCATTAGACCTTGAAAGTTACCGTTATTATCGTTCCCCATAACCGGTCCTCCGCCAAATTCATTAACAACCATACTTGACGAATTAGACGAAGGAGCTAAGCCTCTGAACAAAGCAGAAGGATCGTTACTTGTTATTGAACCCATTTGAGTAGCTTTCTGAAGCAGTGCCGTAGCTGACACGCTAGAAGCCACGTTCAAGTGTTCTTCACGGTGATGAACAAGAACATCGGTGCTATATAGAGAAGGAAGACTTGTCTCCGAGTTCTTGGTGTTTTCTTGAAAGAATCCAAGGTTGAAGAAGTTGTTGTTGGTGCTGCTACTCTTGAGGTTGATGTTGTCGACTGGGTCAAACTGGATTAAACCGTGTTGGTTCATGAAACTCTGATCATTGTTGTGCGGTCCAGTCAACATTCCCTGGCTCGACGAGCACTGGATTAGGAAGTTTGGGTTTGACGATTGAGGAACAAAATCTCTGCTATTTTCAGACGATGCAATGTTCAGATTGTAACCCGTGAGAGGGGTGAACCCGGAATTTGGATTGTCGCTCAAATGGTGGTGCGAGAGAGCGCTGCCACTGCCGAGTCTCCCGTACAATCCACCGGAGCTGACGCCGCTGCTAGCAGCTGCCATTGACGTGAAGCTCACGGTAGGGTTTCTTGCAGTCTCTTGTATCAATGCATCGCAGAAAGCCCTATGCGTAATGTAACTATCACGTCTGCAAAGCAGAAAATCAAATTAAAAAAAAAAAGTCAACAAGACGACGACTTTCCATATAAACAAAAAAATACTAGTTGATTTTTGTTTGGTATCAATTTATTAGTTCATTTATGTGTATTGACGTGAATGATATATTTAATTAAGACTCTAGTTATGTTATTATTTATTATGGCTACCATTTATAGGAGAGAATGATCGAAGAATATAGAAGTCAAGTCAATTGCTACTATAGTGAAAGACCTTCTTCATTTAATGCTAAACCCATGAATGATAATATAAGTCAGTCACATTCTACAACAACGTATTCAACTCGAACCATGAAAATAAAGAAAGAAACCCTAGAACAGTATTAAAGTGTTCACCAGAACACTTAATGAAACAAGTTACGCACTTACCAGATCTATATATGTGTCTATGTATGTATATGTCTAGAGAGAGAAAGAGATAAGAAGGGGTCCACAAAAGAAGAGGAGTTTCATAAAAAGGGGAACCTGCAGAGTGAAGAAGAAGAATACAAAAGTGGAAAATGGAAAAACAAATCCAACTCATACATGTGACCAAATTTAGCATCTTTTAAATTTTATCACTTTCTCTTCACTGTCTTTCTCTATTCACTACTCATCAACAAGCAAACAAATACAGTGATAGATCCTATGCACATAGTCACAGTATATATATATGTATATCTTATGTAAATATATGGGCGATGTACTCGAGGTTCAAATTTAGTGGACAAATTTGTAGGATTCAGTCACAGATGAGATTATATATTTGGTATTATTCATGTAAATTAGTAAACAAGCAAAGTTTTCATGCAGTGCTAAATGCAGCCTTTTTTTACTTAGAATAGTTTTTCAATACAATACAAAAAAATGATGGTCCACTGTAATAATTTACCTAGAATAAGAGGGTATATCTAGCTACATATATTATACGTTTTCTCACATAACCCAAATACGAACAAATTACTTAAATGAAATGGATAGAGATTAGTTACCTAGAGAAGATGGTACCACAGTCACATCTATACTCCTTGGTACCACAGGTCTTAGAGTGAGCTTTCCAATCCGATTGAACAGCGTAACGCTTAGAGCATTTCTCGCATTTCCACTTCTTTTCTCCGTGTTTACGGTAATAGTGCTTCTTGATTCCGGTGAGATCCCCGAGAGCACGTGACGGGTCATGGTGGACACACGTGGGTTCCGGACAAAGATACACTTTCCTCTTCACTTCTTTGGTTGACTTCTGTTTGAGCTTCCATGGGAGATTGTGTCCTCTTCGGTGAAGCTGTAGATTTTGTTCTCTTTGAAACCCCTTGTTGCATACATCGCATACGAATCTGTTCGTAGCCATTAGTGTCTTTGGAGATAACGCTACCACTTCCGCATCAGGATCTGTGTCAATTAATATTAAAATTAGTCAACAGTTGGATCCAAAATGTTAATCCATATGAGGACTAAATCGAGGCAAATACACAATGGTACGCACAAATTAGAAACATGTACAAATAGAAAAACAAAAAACAAATCACACGCATATATGTAAATATGATCTAAAGCCGGTCGATAATAATGAAATCTTGATACGATGATATTCAAAAATTAGGGTTCTTGTTTATTTTTTCTTGTAAGATATCTATAGAAAATCTTAGTGATATATGTATGCATATATGAGGTACTTGCTTGGGTTTCCAGGTTGGTTTCTTCGTTTCTTGGGTGGTGGAGCCGAGGAGTTAGGTTGTGGAATCATTGACATAAAAGTATCTTTCCGGTTATAGTCGTTATCGCCGGCGCCGGAACTGGTGATGAAGAAAGGCTGAGCAGAGGAGGATGATGAAGGAGCAACGCTTGTGTTATATGATGATGACGACATCTTTTAGATCTTCTTCTTTTCGTGGAAGAGAATAATAATCTACAAATAATCCATATAGAAAAAGGTTAAAAAAGACTGAAAGAAATCAAATAATCGTTTCAGAAGAAAACGAAGGGAGGAATTAAGAACAGGAAGAATCCATAGAGATTGACGACATGAAGAATTTTTATAAAAACAATTCACTAAAAGACATGAAGGGAACAAAGAAAAACAAATTTAAGCGTTTATATTTTTGTTTTTTGTTTGTAAGCTTTTGAAAGAATTAAGAAGAAATATTTCTAAGTTGTTTTGTACCTGGGATCAAGAGAAAGAAACCAAGAAGAAGGAAAAGCAAATAGTCAAAAAAGCTACAAATCGGAACTAAAGAAATAACCAAGAAGAAGATGATGCATATGATGATGATGATGAAGAAGAAGAAGACACTATTCCAATATATATGTATATATGTGTATATCTTATATAATACAAAGACAAACCTCAAAGCCCTATCTCTCTCTCTCTCCTGTTTTGTGTTCTTCTTTTTTTTTTTTTTTTTTTTTTTTTAATAAGCCATATATGATCTTGAAAAGTATGTAGCTAAGGTCCCTCTCTGTCATATTATATTTAAACAAAAAATAAAAACTTTTTAATTTTTAAATTTTTAATTTTACAATTAAGAAGAAGGATGGTTACGGTTTGGGTGTCACTGTTAAAACGGTGAAATGTGTCCACATGCGAGGTGTTATGTGGGGACCACATTTTTCTCATTCGTATCTTTCTGGTGGGCTTTAAGACAAAACCCTCGTTTTCTCTTCATTTAAACTGATTAGGTTTTGTTGTACTAACTTTCTTTTAGTCTAGAAATAAATGTCACTAACTTATCAGATTCGTGTTTGAAAATTACGATATTACTTTGTGTCTTCTAAAGAGCGATTGAATTGACATACGACGTTTATAACCTTCAAGAAACCCAAGTTTGCATAACGAGAAAATCCTTAATTAATCTTGAACCTAACAATTGGTTTCGACAAAAACCTTTAATCTTGAACTAGTAATCGCCAGTCATTGAACTTAAATCCAAAATCGGCATCTTTAGAGCCTATAATTCGTCGTCCATCATCATATATGCATAATCGGATTACCAAAAAAATATATATATATATATATATATATATATGCATAATCTCATTTGCCGTTGTGTTGCAAATATGTGGCACAGAGAATTAATTTAAGATGATCAATTCCGGAAGCACCATGTCAAATTTGATCTTGATCTGTTGAAAACTTGACTGGTTACGTAAGTAGTTGTGGTGGCGCTTATTAGTTTTCCTTTCAAAGCTCGTACATCACCATTTGTCAATTGATTAGAGTGAGTAATTGGCATCCGATGCCTGAGGAACATTAATTCCAATATATTGCTTTACAATGCTAATTAATAGTGCAAAAAAAATGTTAATATTGGATCATAGGGTTTAAATCCCTCTATTGTAATATAACTTTTACCTCAGTATACTAACCATGACAAATGACGTGTTATAGTTGACAAACTTGTTTTTTTTTAAGTATTAGCTCTAAATTTACACTCCCTCAATTGTTTCTATAAAATAAAATTTGTAGAATATTCACACATATTAAGAAGATAAAATTGAAACTCAACAATACATGCACTATTTATTTTTCGAATAACAATTTTCTAATTTTTTAACCAATGATAATTTAACAATTTGAATTATTTTTTCTTGAAATTTACAATTCGTCATTGTTAACTAAAAAAATGCATTGAAAAAAGAAAATATTTAACTTTTTGAAACAATTTTTGTTTTCCAAACAAACTATCACTCAAATATTATTTGTTCTTATGCATGTATATATTTTAAAGTAGAATTATCTTATACTCCCTCCCGTTTTTCCTACTTGTTACGTGCATATTAATAAAACATATTAAAAATTCTTTTCTACTCTTTCAAGACCAATTGACTTTTAGTATCTTACAATAGATCTGATGTTAAATTAGGGATTTAATACTAAAAATTACATTGAAAAATGGAAACGACAAATGGATGGAGTATTTAGTATTTGTGTATGAAAAAATGGAATGTCAGCTTGTATTTTATTTCAAGTCAGTATATCAAAGTTACTTTTATTCTAAAAGTTACAATTATATCCAAACAGAAACGGTTTTTCTGAATGTGATAGTCACAGACTCACACATCACAATTGTGTTGCCGTGTTGGTCCGGTACTTGCTAAAAAAATGAGATAATTTGATGAATATTACACACATGCACGCCCGCACAACAGGCTCTGTGTAAGGATTGCGTAATCTCTTTAGAAATGTTTTATTTTTGTTGGTTAAAGCCTTAAACAAGGTACTATAATTTGATTGAAATGCAAGGAGAAAAAGAGAGATATAACAAACAGTCAAGGCCCAGTTTTATTTACGCAAGCCCAACAGAAAATTAAACCAGCAAGGAACCTAGATGAACCAAAATTAAGTAAACCGGTTTTGCATATCAAATACAGTAACTCTGTTTGGCATCACTGAACAGCTGAAGCCTAACGAGTTAATATCAAAACTGAGAGCTAATATTCAACCGAAACTTATACATAATACATTAAAGTAATTGGACCGATAAATAAACATACAAAAGAGAGGTCTCTTTTTCAGCAGAGCAACAAACTTGGGAAATAAGGAACAGCTAAACCATAGTAACCAGATGAACACAAATGATAAACCGGAGAGTGTGGATCAAGATCAAAGGAAACAAGGTTGTCTTGATAAGTAAGCGAGAGGACGACCTTATTGCTGTCCCTGCAAATGACCAAAGGTGTGAGTGGGATTGAAGTGATACCACCAAACCAAGTCGAAGTAGAACGCAAGTCCACACAGAAGATTCTCTCCCACGTCTTCTCGTCTTTAACCATCCACCAAAACTCTTAACTTACAATCTCCCTTGAGCTCAGAAACGCAGAGACGGCCATCGAGATTGCATACACCAATCTTGTCACCACACGCATCAACGTCAACACAAGGTGGTGTTGGGGTGACTCGAAACACCTCAGTATGAATATCGAAAACTATGAGTTTAGTCTGTGTTGTTGGGAACCCTCCTTCATCTCCGGTGAGCCAGTAGAAGGATCCGTTTGCAAACGCTGGCCTCTGCTCATTCAAGACGTGATGATCAAGAAGACTAGTACTAGTGTCGACGAACCTCCATTTTTTGTCCTCTAGATCCAAAACCTCGCAGAACGTGGAACGAGTAGCTGCGGCAGGGTATTCATTATATAGCCATATGAGTTTATATCTTCCGGTGACAGTGTCTTTCCCAAATCCAAACTGAGTAAACGACCGGCATCGGACCGGGTCTCCAGATGGATCTACTTCAACTAGCTGCAGAGCCGGGTCCGGATGCTCAATGTGATATTAGATTGATGAGAGAAGAACACTTTAGTGTTTGGGAAGAATTGTATATTGCTCTCATGAAGAATACAAGAATGGTTACACATGTTTATATAGGGAAGAAGATACTAGAGCTAATTAACCTAGTTTCCATAGTTACAAATCTACTAATTATGAACAAATATATTTATGGATCTCCAAGATATTCTAGATCCTTCTATATGCCCCCTCAAGCTCAAGGCAGTTATGAAGAGATGCGGAACTAACGGCTTGAGATTGAAAATAGAATGATCCGATTGTTCAAAGCATCTTTTGTTTCTTTGGATTTCATGTTGGGTGGGCTTTTGACATAGACCATGGCAGAGACGACAATGGTTGAAGCAGTGATCTCTCAGCGATGGAGAAAGACATCGTGTATGATGATGGTGGGGATGATGGTGATATGGAGATCTGGTGAACATCACTCTTTTTTTTTTCTTTTTTTTTCCTTTTTTTTTTCAAAGAATGATAGAATGATGGAGAACAAAGGAGAATGTTTTTGTTTGTTTTTTTTTTCTTTTTTTTCATGGTTACGAAGAAGCGTAGTTAGCTTGAAAATTTAGAAATTAAATCTTTTTTTTTCTTTTTTTTTTAAAGGAAGAAGAGATAGAAAACTAAAACAAAAAGAAGATTGAAGAAAATGAGAAGAGAGAAGTAGAAAGAGGTAAAGAGATGAGATGTTTGATTCAGAGGTCCATGATAGACTTGAATGAAGGAAGCACAATGGCTTAGATTCAGAGGTTCATGATGAACTTGAATAGAGAAGCACTAGGCTTAAACAAAAATATAAAAGAAGCTCTATGGCTTAAAACAAAAACGAAAATGAGAGTTTGACCGTTTGATCGAAACTCTTGAGCATACCTGCTCTGATACCATATTAGATTGATGAGAGAAGAACACTTTAGTGTTTGGGAAGAATTGTATATTGCTCTCATGAAGAATACAAGAATGGTTACACATGTTTATATAGGGAAGAAATACTAGAGCTAATTAACCTAGTTTCCATAGTTACAAATCTACTAATTATGAACAAATATATTTACGGATCTCCAAGATATCTTCTTCCCTATATAAACATGTGTAACCATTCTTGTATTCTTCATGAGAGCAATATACAATTCTTCCCAAACATAAAGTGTTCTTCTCTCATCAATCTAATATGGTATCAGAGCAGGTATGCTCAAGAGTTTCGATCAAACGGTCAAACTCTCATTTTCGTTTTTGTTTTAAGCCATAGAGCTTCTTTTATATTTTTGTTTAAGCCTAGTGCTTCTCTATTCAAGTTCATCATGAACCTCTGAATCTAAGCCATTGTGCTTCCTTCATTCAAGTCTATCATGGACCTCTGAATCAAACATCTCATCTCTTTACCTCTTTCTACTTCTCTCTTCTCATTTTCTTCAATCTTCTTTTTGTTTTAGTTTTCTATCTCTTCTTCCTTTAAAAAAAAAAGAAAAAAAAAGATTTAATTTCTAAATTTTCAAGCTAACTACGCTTCTTCGTAACCATGAAAAAAAAGAAAAAAAAAACAAACAAAAACATTCTCCTTTGTTCTCCATCATTCTATCATTCTTTGAAAAAAAAAAGGAAAAAAAAAGAAAAAAAAAAGAGTGATGTTCACCAGATCTCCATATCACCATCATCCCCACCATCATCATACACGATGTCTTTCTCCATCGCTGAGAGATCACTGCTTCAACCATTGTCGTCTCTGCCATGGTCTATGTCAAAAGCCCACCCAACATGAAATCCAAAGAAACAAAAGATGCTTTGAACAATCGGATCATTCTATTTTCAATCTCAAGCCGTTAGTTCCGCATCTCTTCATAACTGCCTTGAGCTTGAGGGGGCATATAGAAGGATCTAGAATATCTTGGAGATCCATAAATATATTTGTTCATAATTAGTAGATTTGTAACTATGGAAACTAGGTTAATTAGCTCTAATATCTTCTTCCCTATATAAACATGTGTAACCATTCTTGTATTCTTCATGAGAGCAATATACAATTCTTCCCAAACACTAAAGTGTTCTTCTCTCATCAATCTAATACTTTTTATTATTATCTAGGGTTTTCAGTTTCATGTGATTTATGTTGCCTAATACTAATAGTATTAATGTATCTTCTGAACTCGATTCCATTTCCAACTAAACCATGAACGTCACAAAACAAAAACAAAAACATCTACAAAGAGGCTATTCTCACTTCTCAATAAATGGAACGTAAGAAGGGCAGAAACAAAAGAGTCAAATCAAAAAAAAAAAAAAAAAAAAGTTCTATTTTCCCTAAAGGGTTGTCTTCTTTCCCTGACTCATCATCAGTCCAGCTGCACTTTCGTTTTCATGCATGCCTACCAAAAAAAAAACACGTAACGATTAAACAGAGAAAATATATGCATGAAATAAAATCATAAGCCCTTATTCAAAACAAATAAAAAATCATAGAGAAATAAGCATACCTTATTCTTTTCCATATTCTTTGGCTTCTTTCCGAGCGTTGGATACGCCTTCACCTTAGCAGCCTTTTTAAAGATTTGAAAAGAGTTTTAAAATAATGTAAAATGTTTTCATAAGAAAAAAATACTGAACCAACGAAATAGTCACCTTTGTTGTGGGTTTAACACTCGTTTCTGCTTGAAAAGTCTTTTCCATTCTCCAGGTAGAAATACATATTCTCCCATTTCTCCGGCCTGAAATTTTAAGAAGTATGTCAACTATATATTGAAAAACATGAAAAATAAAAGAGGCTATTCACGATACATTTTTTTATCAGAATTCACCATATATTTGATAAAAATTCAACAGGCAGGGATTAGTCACCTTTCTCTTGTTAGAGATCATAGTCTTTGACCCTTTAATTTCACCATTCAGTTTTGGCCACTCTTTAGAAGCAGTGGCTTATATTAAGATTAGACAAAATTAACTAAAGAATAATATATTTTTTTTATAAATTAAGAATACGCACCAATTGAAAACAATCATCACGAGCTTGGAGTTCTGCCCATTATTGCCCCTATCGTAGTCAGTGGCGAATCTAGAAAATATAGTTAATGGAGGCAAAATTTTGAATTTATCAATAAAAGATTAATGTATTTAGTGTAAGTACATTTTTTGGGCTTAACAGAATAAGAACCTAACTAATTAATTGATTTTAGGCTTAAACATGATTGAAAAATGTTTTATAGGGGCAATTTTTTGTTTTTTGGTGGTGGCATCAATTATTTTTCTTTAAAAATATTAACAATTTTTTTTGAATGGTGGCAATTGCCACCTCCTTAGTCAATGTGGATTCACCACTGATCGTAGTCCACAATGGATCATAAACTAGGAGGTCAATGTGGATTCACCATTGATCGTAGTCCACAGTGGATCATAGACTTTGACCAATTTGATCAATTTTTCATCATCTGCTTCAATCCATATCTACGAAGAAAATGAAAAAGTTTGATTATTAAAAAGATTGATTCTCCATATACAACAGAAAGGCAAAAGGTTTCTCGGTAAACAAGATTCTCGAGAAATAATTCTAGACGCACAGATTTTCTGGGGATAATAAAAGAAAATCACATAAAGGAAGAAATTACAGTAGGTTCTAAGGAAGGATTCATCGCACAACTATAAGAAACTACAATAATTAACAAAAACAAGTTTTATGGGAAAAAGCCCTTACCTTTGGTTCGATGAGAAAGTAAAATCTCTCCTTGCATTGGGGACGCTTAGTTTGTGGAGAAGAAGCGACGCATACACTTTGTCCCATCTTTGTACTTATGTACTACTATTTATTAATTCCTTCTTAGAGTTTTTTTTTCTTTTTTAATTATTGAAAACATGAAAACTAAACATATAACATGAAGAGATAAGCTATCCACAATACTATTTTAGATGGTGTAATCCCTTCATAAGGTTTTTTTTAATTATAGATGTAAAATATTTTCTTGCCTCGTTTTTGAGATTTTGAGGCTCATCTCAAACTGGTTAAAACAGAAAAGGCCATGATAAATTTTACAAATATTATGCCAGCTTAAACTTTCATCTACTGATCAATATGATGTACACTAATTTTTAAAATGGAAGGACTTTGTGTTACAACTAAAATTTGTCGTAGATATCATAGCTCTCTTTAAATTTTATTGAAAGTCTAATAAACTTCAAAAATTTATACCATAATAAGTTTATGAAATCCTACTATCTAATAGGTTTACGTTAAATCGACAAAAGTTTCACAACCTTATATCAGCTCTTCTAACAACATGCATACTTTTACGTTAGTCATACATTACTTTGTAGATAGATTTTCAAAGTCATAAAAAAAGTAAACTTGACGCAAATTTGTTGGAGAACAATTCTCTCGAGTTCAATGAAGAAACTCGATTCAGAGAATCGAAGAAAACAAAAACAAAATTTTACTCTTACGGTCTTACCACCATTACAAAAACAACCCAATTTTACACTGTCACACACTACATGTTCTTTTCCGATTCTTTTTCTCATCTCAAAGTGGATTGTTAGGCTTAGGCATTGGATATAAATTGCTTTGGCCCATATACACTATTATTGGGCTTAACAATTAAAATAAAACAAGCCCAATTAGATTAAAAAAAAAAAATCAATTCGTCCGCCTTTGAATCTTGACTTTCCCTTCCGCGAAATTCGAAGTACATCAAACCAAATGTCGCATCTCTTCTTCTTCTTCCTCTTCCTCTTCGATTGAATAGAAACAGTCACTTCTTATTATAGTATCATGTGATTTATTCCTTTTTTCTAATCTCAGTTTGATCCACCAAATTATTGGATTCGGAATGAAGCGCGATTTCGAAGAAATCTCGGAGGAGGAGTGGTCGCAGCACTCGTTTAACGCTTCGCGAGTGCTTAAACGGCCACGGACTCCGAAGAGGACGCGTCCGGCGAATCCGTCGCCTCCAATTTTCGGTTGGGGGAGGAAGAGAAGAGAGTAACATCAGCGACGATTGCGTTGAGGTGGAGGATTTAGGAGAATCTGATTCGGAGGTGAAGATTGTGAACGGCGATGATTTGTTGTTGCAGGAGAAGAGGAGGAGGATGCGAAGGTTGTGGGTGCGAGCTGCAAGAGCTGGTCGGCGATTTGTGATTGAAGACGATGAAGCGAGTGAAGATGAGGTTGATGATTGATGAGGTTGAGCCTAGTTCTAGTGAGGACGAAGGTGGGAAAGGAGGGAGAGAAGAAGAAGCTTCTGAGGTTACTTGCGATAGGTACTCCAAAGTGGAAACTTCTACTGTGAGGATTGTCACATAGGTACTGTAATTATCACTGCTCTTGACTCTTATCTGGGTTTTGAAGGTTTCTGCTGTTCTACTCATGAATACAACTTTGCTGGACTTTTAGGCTAGCTAGAAAGTAATTGATTTGAAATAATCTAGAATGGGGTTTTTGATTAGATGAAATGTATTTGAGGTAATATTTGATGGGTTGATTCTGATTCTGTGATGATCACAGACTGATATTGATGAAGCATGTAAAAGGAGAGGATTCTGATTTTCAGCCTATACTCGAGCCCTAGCAGTTGTTTGGTGTTAACTTTCTTCTAATCTTGTATAAGGAGGTAAATATTTTACTATGTTTGGATCTGTAAGAGTTTTCTAGCTGATATATCATTTCGTGACTGACATTTTCAACTTCTTGTAGCCATTCTAGCCGATGAGATGGGTCTTGGAAAGACCATTCAGGTGCGTTGTGCTCTGTTTTTTTTTTTCTTACTTTCTCCGGTGGCTTTTGTTTCTTTATATTTTATCAGAGACTAATGTTGCTCTCTTTAACAGGTTTGAGCTTTCTTATCATGTCTAACGTCAGTTTTTTTATTCACGTTACTGTATAATCTGTATTGACTCTGGCAATGTTGTTGTTGGTACAGGCTGGTGACGAAATCGACGGTTGATGAGAACATCTACGAGATTGCGAAGCGGAAACTTGTTCTTGATGCGGCGGTTCTAGAGTCTGGAGTTCACGTAGATGACGACGGACACACGCTTGAGAAAACCATGCATGGGAGAGATTCTCGCTTCTCTTCTCATGGGACATGGGATAACGACTCTTTTTTTTTTTTTTTTGGAGGTAAAATTAGCCAAGAAACGAAAGTGTTACTGGAAACATGTGTAACATTAGCTTATAGACTTGAGTTAACATAGTTAAATTTCGTTTACGCATGTAATTTCAAACCGAAAGGCGAAAACTTCCCCTTAAAGACTATGGACGTAGGACCAACACTAAAGTCGTAAATGGATAAAAAGTTAAAAACACAGTTTGCATTTTAAAAAAGAATATATTATATTTTTGAAATATAAATCATTTTTAGCCTTTACAAAATATTTTGACGATGTTCTTTCTTCGTTTGTGCCACCTTTGTCTGTGTTTAAAAATATGACAACATTGGTAAAATTCAAACATATTTTACTGATAAGAGTGATAGAATGAATCAATGAATGCTACATTACATCAAGTTTAGTTGAACATTTATGAGATTTTAACTATACATTTGTTAAGATTGGAAATGTACTCAAACATAAACTTGTACTCTCTAGGCCTATGTTCGTTTAAACAGCTAATTAAAAACAACTCAACCTGCAAAACACAAATACAAAAATACATCAAATGTATTTAATATTTACAAAAAAAATTACAAAATCAAATAAAATAAAACGAAAGATCTTGTTTCAAGGGAGTATAAAAAGATAATTAAACATTAAATTTTGAAAAAACCTTAGTAGAGTTTGTATAATTTTCCATCCAAAAAAATATGTTAGCGAATTCTTCTTTCTTCAACAATTAAAACTTGAAACTTGAACCTGAGAAAAGGCTAGCCAACCGGAAACTTGGTTGAAATATATGTGAAGTGAATGAAGTGAGTAAAGGAAATCAAATCGTGTACAACTATAAAGCCACACACGATAATTAAAGAGAAAAGCAAAACCAGCTTCTGTCTGCCACTTCCCTTACGAAAATAATGCATTGCTTTCTTTTACTTTAGCTACTACATACATGCATTTCCTCCACAAAATATTAATTTTTGGAACTAGTAATTTTAGATTAGCCTACATTTTGAGTAGTAATGATAAAGTTTATGATATTATATTAAGAAAGGGATAAAAAAATTAGTAATTGGGTTTTTTCTTAACAAAGTGTGTAAAATACCAAATATTACATTCACACCATAAGAGGTCCATCCTCTTACTACTTGGTTTTACCTTTTCACGTGGCCACTATCATATTGTGGACACCACATTTATCTGAGTAACTCAATTATTTCCTTATTTTAAAAGCATCTTTTCTAAAATCAATGTTGTTTTTATCGAAATTCGAGAATGACTTGTCGAAACGCTAGGATCTCTCTGCGTGTCCTGTCACTTCCAATAAGGACCAAAATTTACATTTACTACAGTGTCGGTAAAGCAAATAAATTGACAAAATTACAAAACAAAGAATTGTGAAAAAAAAAGCAGGAGAAATAAAAAGAAAAACACGACAAATCGTCATCACTCCACTGTGGCAGCAAATATATGGTTCAAAATGATACATCTTTTTCTATACTTTTTTCAAAAAAAATCCAAAATATCTTCTAAATACTAAAAAACTGGATTGTCTAATAATATCAATAATCTCGATCATTCTTATATCGCTTTATAGTCTCTTTATATAGTGCCATCTTCCTCAGTATCTCTTTACACAACATTTGTTTCCAACTCTCTCTCTCTCTCTCAAAATGAAGCTCTCTATGCGTTTGATCTCAGCTGTTCTACTCATGTTCATGATATTCGTCGCCACAGGTTCATTACCCATTGCTTAATATCTGACTTTGCACATATGCATGCAAATATGTAATCATTTTCATATACTTTCGATTGTTTTTTCTTTCATGAGAAAGTTTACTTTCGGTTGTTCTTTGTGGATGTTCATATAGTATTTTTTTTTTTTTACTGACTATCAATCAAGTTGGCTATGTTCTACTGTAGTGGACGTCTTAACTAGCAAAAAGTATTTCTTCCACAAACTTGCAAGATTAATTTATATATATGCATCATGCATGTAATCATTAAACTACATTAAACTAAGTTATGGTCTAAACCAAGTGTTTTTTGCGTTAATTTTGCCTTTTTGTCTAGGGATGGGACCAGTCACAGTGGAGGCACGCACGTGTGAATCGAAGAGCCATAGGTTCAAGGGTCCATGCGTGAGCACACACAACTGCGGAAACGTGTGCCACAACGAAGGCTTTGGGGGTGGTAAATGCCGAGGGTTCCGTCGTCGTTGCTACTGCACCAGACATTGCTGATCCATCGATCGATTCTCATAACTCAAGATCTGCGATCCATCGTCTTTTACTCTTTTGTGACTTATTTGTTTCTATGTAATCTCCGTACAGTACCGTGTCGTACCGTACACGTGTGTGTGTGTTCTTGAATAAGTATTTGGTTTGTGTCGTGTTTTTGGTTTTAATGTAATGTTAAATCAACTAATGGCTTTTATTTTATCAGCGTCAACAAAGTTAATCACGTAAATGCTACGATTTTTGATCAAATCGGGTAGATTACGACTAGGTGACCGAACTCACATTTAAAAGTCGATTGAAAGATTTTAGACAACCGATTTAAAAGATTATATGATTATTATAACACGTTTAATACTGTTATGTTGGTACTATCAATTTAGATCGGTTGGATTATACCTCCTTTATTTTTGTGATCGGTTTCATACGCTCTTCTTTCAAAAAAAAAAAAAAACAAAACAGAAAATAATATTAGATAGTTTTGAGGAAATGAAGCATTAACCAGTAATTTTAATATAAAAATATATAACATTTATACATTTTAGCTAGAACATTATACATTTTAAAACAAAGTGAAGACAAATTAATCAAACTTTTTTTTATTGTCTCTGTTTCACAATGTATGATGTTTAAGCTTTTTCACATATATTAAGATTTTTTTTTTTTAATAAATTGTTTTTTCACACTAACTATTTTTTTTAATATTAATCCACAGTAAACTAAGTATTCAAATACTTTTAGTTAATAGTTTCTGAAATTTATAATGTGTTAGCATTAATTAACAAAAAATTACTTAAAAAAATAAAACAGATTGTAAAACAAAAAAAGGATAAAACATTACTATCCCATATTATAAGTTGTTGGGCAAAATGAATCTGAAAAAAAATGGATGTATCTTGACTGAATTCCATCCATATACATCCACTTTTTTCAGATTTATTTTGCCCAACAGCTTATAATTTGGGATAGAAGGAGTATATATTTAGAACAGATGGAATAGTAAATATGAATCTATATAAGTTAGGTGAGAAGAATTTGTCACATAGGGCCAAATTTTATATTTATTACAGTGTCGGTAAAGCAAATAAATGGATTTTTTTTTTTTTTTTTTTTTTTTTGCTCTCAAATGGACAAAATTCAAAAACAAAGAAAATGTGAAAGAAAGCTGGAAAAATAAAATAAAAATAAAAACACGACAAATCGTCGTCACACCACTGTGGCAACAATCAAATGGCTCAAAAAGATAGACCTTCTTTTTGAAATTTTATTCAAAAGTATCAAGTAAATACTACTACAAAATTCAATTGTGTAATATACTAATCCATAATCTCGGTCGTTCTTATCTTGCTTAATAGTTTATATACATCTTTCTGTTTCTCATTAACTCCATAGTCCCTCTACACACAACATTTGTTTCCAACCATCTCTCTCTTTGAATTTTCTTTCTCTCTCCCTCTCCAAAAATGAAGATCTCTATGCGTTTGATCTCAGCTGTTCTCCTCGTGTTCATGATATTCGTCGCCACAGGTTACTATCTACATACTCTCATAGCTCAATATGCGAATATGTAATCATTTACATTTATAGATAACATATTTTAAATTTGTATAGTTTCTATCGATTGTTCTAGTGAATGGTCATATATATACGCGTACCAAGTGTTTTTTTTTACTGATTGTCCTTCCCACTGAGATTTCAATTATATTTGGCATATATATATCGTGGACGTCTTAGCTAGCAAAAATACTTGGATCTTCCAAGAACTTTGAAGATTAATTAATATGCATCATGCATGAGAACATGAAAGTAAGTTATGGTCTAAACCAAAAATTTGTTTTTGTGTATGTTTTTTAGGGATGGGTCCAGTCGCAGTTGAGGCACGCACGTGTGAGTCAGCGAGCCATAAGTTCAAAGGTACATGCGTGAGCAACAGCAACTGCGGAAACGTGTGCCACGGCGAAGGCTTTAGCGGAGGTAAATGCCGTGGTCTACGCCGCCGTTGCTTCTGCACCAGACCATGCTGATCCATCAATCAATCTTCATAACTCAAAATCTTCCATCCATACTATCGTCTTATTTACTTATTTATCTAATCTTAAGTATTGTACCTTGTGGTACCGTACATGTGTGGTTGGTGTGTTCTCGAATAAGAATTGGTTTGTGTGTTTTCGGTTTTAATGTAATGTTAAATCAACTAATGTCCTTTTTATTATTATCAAGGAGCGTCAACAAAGTTTTTTTTGTTTTGGTTTTAATGTTAAGAAATGGAACTAGTCAACAAAGTTAATGCGTCGAAATATTAGTATGTTCAAACCTCACTATATAGCATCTCATTTGCATGCATATGAGTGTTAGGCACTCTAAATTGATTTGCATCCAATGTAATCATATTTAAAAAATAAAAGTCCACATACATGTCTTGATGAGACACAATTCACGACTGAAGAACAGTTTCGACAATGATTTGTCGAAACGGTAGGATCTCTCAGCGACTCAGCCTGTCTTCAGCCTTCTTACTTCCAATAAGGACCAAAATTTACATTTATTACAGTGTCGGCAAAAGCAAATAAATCGACAAAATTACAAAACAAAGAAAATGTGAAAAAACAGGAAAATATAAAAGGAAAACACGACAAATCATAGTCACACAACTGTGGCAACCGGCAACAATCAAATGGTTCAAAAAGATATACCCTTTCTCTATACTTTTAAAAAAATTATTCAAAATATCTACTATATACTAAAAAATTCAACTATGTAAATAGTACTACTAATCAGTAATCTCGACTCTTACACCGTTTTATAGTCCCTTTATATAGTATCATCTTCCTCATTATCTCTTGACACACAACACTTGTTTCCAACCAACTCTCTCTCTTTGAATTTTTCTTTCTCTCTCTAAAAATGAAGATCTCTATGCGTTTGATCTCGGCTGTTCTCCTCTTGTTCATGATATTCGTTGTCACAGGTTCATTACTCATAGCTTAAAGTTAATATCTACATGCAAATTAAATTTATGGTTTCTATCGATTTTTTCTAGCGAATGCTCCTACATTTTTATTAATTGTCCTTCCCACTGAAATTTCAGTTATAATTGGTAGTGATCTATATATATACTGTGGACGTCTTAGCTATAGCAAAACTACTTGGATCTTCCAAAAACTTTGAAGATTAAATCTTCACATTTGCACCCAAAGTTGTGTGTTTGGAGATCAATTAATATGGATCGTGCATGAGAACACGAACCTTAAGTTATGGCCTAAACCAAGTTTTTCTGGGTGTTAATTTTCTTAGGGATGGGTCCAGTCGCAGTTGAGGCACGCACGTGTGAGTCAGCGAGCCATAAGTTCAAAGGTACATGCTTGAGTGAAAGCAACTGCGGAAACGTGTGTCACGGCGAAGGCTTCAGCGGAGGTAATTGCCGTGGAGCACGCCGTCGTTGCTTCTGCACCAGAAATTGCTGATCCATCGATCTACCCTCGTAACCATCAAAACTCTTCCGTATCCATCATCTTATTTACTTCTTTCTATCTAATCTTAAGTACTGTACCTTGTCGTACCGTACATGTGTGTTAAGTGTGCTCTCGAATAAGTATTTGGTTTATGTGTTTTTTGTTTTTTTTGTTTTAATGTAATGTTAAATCAACTAAATGTCTTTATTATTACCAAGGAGCGTCTACAAAGTTAATCATGCTATTGCGGCAATTTTTTATCATCAAATCGGGTTGATTAGGACTAAATGACCGGTAAATTTGACATTTAAATGTCGATTGAAAGATTTTAGACAACAGATCAAGAAGACTACAAGATTATTGTAAAATGTTTAGTACTGTTATGTTGCTAAATTTTGGCACTATCAATTAGATTGCATGGATTTATACCTCCTTTATTTTGTCTTAGAGGTGTATATTTGAGAAAATTACACTCATCAATGAGAAAATTACAGACCAATGAGCTCCACTCCCTCCTCTCGAAATGCCATTGATATTCGACCAAGCATCAAGCTTTTTAAGTTAACTCAACAAATCACTCCTTCACTATCAATCATGTTTCTGTATATGCATACTAGCATCCAAATGCACACTGTACAAAGTTAATATAAGCATCTAAAGAGGTAGCTAAGCGTACACATCTTCCTCAACTGTCCAATTTTCTTTTGCGAGATTATCAAATCCATTCTCGCAAAATTAAAAATCACAAAATCCATAGTAGATTGGATCCTTATGGGTAGAAAGTGAAAACAGGGAGAGATCTCAAGACGGTGGGATCACGGCGAGGAGACAACGGAAGCGACGGCCGTGGAAGGATCGACGGTGAAGAAAACCATCGTAGCGCGGGGTTACGGCTGCAACGACGGAGATGACGTCTGCCAGCGCAATGTTAAATTTTTTTTTCTTTTCACCCAATGTTCATTAAGGGTGAATTGGTAATCTTCAAAAGTGACACCTATGGCAAAAGTCCCTCTTTGTGTAAACATAACTCAAAAAGTCACTCAAACTATAATTCACTCGTGTATGTTTCTTTTTTCATTCATCTAGAGTTTATTGCAAATATATTAGAGCATCTCGAGTCTCCAATGGTTCTTCAAATAATGAAGCAAGTTTATATTCCCAGAGACAAGGCCGGCGAAAAACCCATAACTGAAACAAAAACTAGACTACAACACAAAAACAACATTAATCCTAAGCAAAACAATACCCTAAAAACGAGAATACCATTGATGCCCACGGCCAACCAAAAGAATCCATCGTAGAAGTGTCGGTTTAATACGCTCTTCTTTCAAAAAGAACCAAGAAAATATAATTACAAATTAACCAAACTTTCATTTTTGTGTTTTCTGTTAAAGTTAAGTGAGAAGAGTTTGTCCCATTGGGGGGCCTTTAACCACTTCGGAACCTAATTGAAAAGAGAAGAAACAACATTTACATTTATTGAAACGGTAGTAAATGTTGTCGTAGTAATTGTTGTTGTCACTTTGTAATAACGACCAAATTTACATTTACTACAGTGTCGGTAAAGCAAATAAATCAACAAAATTTCAAAAGTATGAAAATGTGATAAAAGCAGGAAAAAAGAAAGAAAGAAAACACGACAAATCGTAGCCACACCACTGTGGCAACAATCAAATGGTTCAGAAAAGATACCTTACGCTATACTTTTCAAAAATTATCCAAAAATATCTAACAAATACTAAAAAATTTAATTGTGTAATATACTAATCTATAATCTCGATTCTTACACCATAAAGTCCCTTTAAATAGTGCCATCTTCCTCATTAGCTTCATACACACAACATTTGTTTCCAAACATCTCTCTCTCTTTGAATTTTTTTTGCTCTCTCTCTAAAAATGAAGATCTCTATGCGTTTGGTCTCAGCTGTTCTACTCATGTTCATGATATTCGTTGCCACAGGTTCATTACTCATAGCTTGATATCTACATGCAAATATGAAATCATTTACATTTATAGATCACGTATATTAAAAGCTTGTTGTTTCTATCGATTGTTCTAGCTAGTGAATGTTAAATGTTTTTTTGTTATTGTCCTTCCTACTGAGATTTCAGTTATATTTGACTATGATGATCTATATATCGTGGACGTCTTCGGTAGCAAAAAATACTTGGATCTTCCAAAAACTTTGAAGATTAATTAATATAGATCACGTATATTAAAAGCTTGTTGTTTCTATCGATTGTTCTAGCTAGTGAATGTTAAATGTTTTTTTGTTATTGTCCTTCCTACTGAGATTTCAGTTATATTTGACTATGATGATCTATATATATCGTGGACGTCTTCGGTAGCAAAAAATACTTGGATCTTCCAAAAACTTTGAAGATTAATTAATATGCATCATGATGCACGAGAACATGAAACCAAGTTATATATGGCCTAAACCAAGTTTTTTATTTGGTGTTAATTTTTTAGGGATGGGCCCAGTCGCAGTTGAGGCACGCACGTGCGAATCAGGGAGCCATAAGTTTAAAGGTACATGCGTGAGCAAAAGCAACTGCGCCAACGTGTGCCATGGCGAAGGCTTCAGCGGAGGTCATTGCCGTGGGCTACGCCGTCGTTGCTTCTGCACCAGACATTGCTGATCCATCAATCAAATCTTCCACCCATCCATCGTCTTATTTACTTCTTTTTGTCTAATCTTAAGTAATGCACTGTGTTGTATCCCACATGTGTGTTAAGTGTGTTCTCGAATAAGTGTTCGGTTTGTGTGTTTTCGGTTTTAATGTAACGTTAAATCGACGAAATGTCTTTTTTTATTATTATCAAGGAGCGTCTACAAACTTCACCACGTTAAAGTAGCGTCGATTTGATCGATTACGACTAGGTGGCCGGTAAATCTGAAATTGTAGTACGTCGACTAAAAGTTTTAGACAACCGATCAAAAAAAAGTTGAACATTCATACGCTTATTATAAAAGTTTTGATATGTTTTGTTGATTAATCTTGGCACTAAGACTAGGGTATTCGCTTGTAGGAAGAAATGAGAAGAATTGAAAATTAAAGGATTTTAAAATACTTTAGAGTAATTGTTGGGAATTCAATTAATTCTATTAAAATCTCTGTAAAAATTGGAAAAATTTCTTTACAAATTTTTTTTCAAATTCTATTAAATTCTTTCCAAATGACAATACCATCAAAATACATCCAATATTGAATAACACCGGAATTTAATGGAATCGAAAAACTAAGAATTTGAATAACACCGGAATTTAAAGGAATTAGAAAGAATAACTACAAATCCTCCACCGAATAACACCAGAATTTAAAGAAATTGAAAAAATATATACTCGAATAACACATGAATTGAATGTAATCGTCAATTCCTTTATATTCCATCGAATTACTGTCACCAATACCCCCTCCCCCCCAAAATCAATTCAGTTTGGTTAGATCATAATAAATTTTCTAAGCTAAATCATATATATGAATTGAGGCAAATTCTCTCTATATGATTGACATGTGGCAAAATTTTTAAAGAGAGTAGTCTCTTCATATTCTTAGTCATTACAATTATAATAAGTTTCAAAACCGTCTGTTGCTTCACCTTCCATGTTGTTTCAACATTCCATTAATTAATATTCTGGCATGACTTTTCCTCTTTTTTCAATCAATAACTCTAAATCTTATACATTTCAAATTATGATAATAATAATCACTCTATTAATCCAAGACTTTTAAATTTAGACTTCTATTTTGAGTTATTATTAAACATCTTAATTCTCCTAATATATGGAAAAATAGATTTAGCAAAAATCAATAGCAAAAATTACTCTATTAGTAGAGTCCGTTCTATGTAGTCGTGAGTAAACAAATAGAATTAATGGTTCATAAACATGTGGTATGACATAAAAATATATGTTTGAAAATCATTTCCTAATCAACAAATAGAAATTAAATATGAATACTATTGGATTATACTTTATAATATTAATAATCGTAAATCTAAAATTGTTTTCGAGATTTTTAAAAAAACTTTAACAACAACAAAACCCACATAGCGCATATGCACGGACATTAGTCTAATACTTGTATGATTTTGTGTAAAGTAATACGCGTGCTACTACACGTGTCCTTGGCCCCGTCTTTGGTGTTACACATGTACACCACCTTACATTGTTTATTATAGAAGTTTTGATATTGTTATGTTGATAGATCTCGAATTCTCGATACAATCAAATTTACTTTGGTTAGATTATAGATAACGACCAAGTAGATATATTAATTAATTTAGCAATGTAAAGTAATACATGGAGCGTTAGCTACTAGTCTACTACACGTGTCTTTTTGTCACACTAGAAGTCTAGAACCCTACACTTTTTGTTTCTATTTTTTTAATGAAATATTTTAGTAACCAACAGTAAACACTTTTTTACAAGAGTGTTTCATCATCCTTTTGGTGAGAAATAAGAAAGGAGTGCTGAAGAATGAATTAAAATCTTAAAACAAGAGCAGTGGCAATTTAACAAGATTTGACAATATGGCAGTGCTTTCAAGTTTCAAACATTCATTAGAAATTACAAATACTATTAATTTTACATTAAATACTAATCTACTTTAAATACTAATCTACTTATAAATATCTGACACTGAGACTCTTCTGACTTGATACCAACCAGTTTTAGCGAGATACACATATTTAACTCAGATCTAAAAAATATAGATCCTAGATCATTTTCTTTTAATTTCGTTCTTGAATTATGAAGAAAACATAGATCTTTCTTGTTGGTATGTGAAACAGGATGGCTATTTTCAAATTTGTAATCCTATGATTTTTATTTGCTGGGATGCATCAACACTAATAAGTAGAGCTGGGCTGAAATCGAAATTGACTTGGGAAGATGCAATTGTTATTTTCTTTTGTATTCAGAGTTCAGACTTCGTTTAGGCTATTTTACATTTACTGTAAATTGATCCTTGAGCAAGTCATGTTCTAAAATCGTAAATAGAAGATATATGTCTATGCTATTCTCGTGGATGCAGTTAGAAGATATATGTCTTGTCTTTTCTTATTCGACATTTGGTTATAAACTTATAATTAAGAGGATTTATTATTATGATTTATATGACTTGATTATTTATTGATTGGTCAGCCTTCAATTACGACTGCTCCTCAGGGTAAAGGTCTTATTGCGTCACGTTTTGTTTTCTATTTTTTGTAAGGCCTTAAACTACTATTTTCTTTAGTAAAAAAAAAACCCTTTTACCAACAAAAAAGTTCATCCCCTTTATATATATAGAGTGCCATCTTCTTCTTCATCTTCTTAATTCCCATTATAACATTTGCATCTCTATCTCTCTAAAAATGAAGCTCTCTCCGCGTTTAGTCTCAGCACTTCTCCTCTCGTTCATGCTCCTCCTTGCCACAGGTTCATAACTAATCTCATAAAAAAATGAATTCGAAATTTCTTTACAACTCACATGTGAAACTATTGCTATATTTTATTAAGGAAAACAGAAAACTTGTGTTTTATTTGATAGTACTAAAAATCCTTAAAACATTTCATTTGTAGTATAGTTTCCGGTTTTCAACGAGCTCTCATTTTATAGGATTTTTAATATTAAGAGCTCTTACGGCTGGGCCAGCTAGATCTAATTATGCATACATGGTATATATGAGTGTGAAAATAATCTACATACTGTACATACATGATACAATACAACACAACTCATGCGTGTCTTCTAATTCCACATTTTTGTTGTAATAACAACATATTTTATGCATGGATAGCTCTTAATTATGCTGTTTTCAATAATTTGTTGGGTTAATTAATTATGTGATATAGGTATGGGTCCAGTGGAAGCAAGAACGTGTCAGTCGGCGAGTGGCAAGTTCAAAGGAGTGTGTCTCAACTCAGACAACTGTGCGAAGGTTTGCTCCGGCGAAGGTTTTGCAGGCGGTAAATGCAGTAATATCAATTGCTACTGCACCAAACCCTGCTAAATTTTATCCATTAAAATCATTTTATTCTAACGAAGAAGAAAAGAACAATTCTTTTTTTTTTATCCATTCTTTCAACATTTTATAGTTTTAATTCAGAAATATAACAATCTTGAAAGGGACAACTAGTTGTTTTGTGTTCGTTTGTATGTAAAAACAGCCGTCTCCAGGCTCCAGGTTTTCATATGATGTTGGTTTGTGTTTTTAAATAAGAGTTTATGTATTAATTTTAAATTATGCTTATTATGTATTATATTATGTACTCCTTCTGTTTTAATATATAAGTTGTTTAAGAGTTTTTTTTTGTTTCACAAGGGGTTCTCATATTCTTATGCAAAATTAAAAGTGTTTTTGTTACTTTTTATTTTTTATATTTTGCAGATTAATTTTTCACTGGTTAAAATATTTTGAAATTGATAATAAAACATATTTTGGTTTATAAAATACAAAAATTAAATGAGGTATTAATATGTGTGCAAAAAAACTTAAACCTCTTATATTATGAAATAGAGAGAGTATATATATAATTCAATCCGTCTTGCAAATATCCATTTAATCTACATAACTAATAAGGCTTGGACAATCTCCAGCCTTTGACACGTGGCACTCTTTTTTTTTTTTTTTTTTCGCCTAACACCAAAACGACGTCGTTTTGGCTTTATTTTTTTTTTTTTTCGTCTTACACCAAAACGACGTCGTTTTGCGCTTTATCTTTTTTTTTTCGTCTTACACCAAAACGACGTCGTTTTCGTATTAAAAAAAAAAAAAAAATCTAAATCAAAATTATGTGTAATGCTGTTCGTTTTGATGGGCTTGATTATTTATCGGACCTCTTCGTTTCCATGGTAGCTTTAAATGGGCTTACTGGCTAATTAGCTCATTTCATTTCCTTTTAAAAAGGATTGCAATTATTATTATCTATGAGTCTGTAGGATAATAATCAATCTATAATGATTGTTAGTATAAGGAAAATTAGAAGAACTCAACTCCAGTCGATAAATTATTGTATAAAAGAACAAAAAACATATGAAACTATTCACTATGAGTCTATATAAGATTTCACGTAAATAACAACTAAATTTTAAAACTATATGAAAAAAAACAAAATGCAAAACTTACAGAATCTAATATATTCGAGTAAAAAACAAATGATATATTCGAATCTAATGTTCTGAATAATTAAATTAAAAATATTTGGTTTAATAAACCCGCGCATTGCGCGGGTTCTCTCCTAGTTAATTATAATAAGAGCAAATGTCATTCCTCTGTTTCATAAATATAAGAGGTTTAATTTTTTGCACACATATTAAGAGTTCATTTAGATTTTGTACTTTATAAATTAAAATATGTTCTATCATCAATATCAAAATATTTCAACCAATAAAAAAACTAATCCGCAAAATATAAGAAGTCAAAATAACAAAAATGTATTTAGTTTTACATAGGAATTTGAAAACTCCTTATAATATAAAACAAAAAAAACTTTTAAACCCTTATATATTATGATCATATTTACATAATTGCATGAGATCGTGTTTTAATGTATTTTGTTTGCCAACGTACACGTTAGAGTTGAGACTACACTTTATATAAACCCAAAAAGTTAAATCCTTGTTTAAAATTTCGGCGATAAGTAACAAAAATCGATCGATTTATCGTATTCCGAGAGTGAACCGTAGCGATACGTGAAATCAGTGTTAACCGGTCAACTGTGGTTTGACTGATTTAACCGGGAAATTCCGATAACCGTCCGAGACATTGTAAACCCGTTTGGGCCAGATTTTTTGAATTTGATATTGAGATCCATATTTTTATAAATTGAGTTCACATCATCTAGTGCTATCCTTCATATATCTTTTGTATGTTCTTAATATGATTAAGATAATATTTTTTTTTGTAATATTTAGGAGTTGGAACTATTATTTTTTGTATTAAAAATGTTTGTGAATTGGGAAAAAAAAATGTTAAAAGTTTTGTATTGTTAATGTTTTATATAATTATAAATTTAAAATTTCGCCCAGTTAATACCTAAATTATTAGCGGTTTTTTAAAAAATCGCTTTCGGCGAGAAGCTAAATTTTGAACGTACTTTGAACTTTGGAATCTGAATGTTAAATTAAATATTTTAAAATATAGAATATATATGAGTGTGTATTTAAATGTTATAAAATTTTAGATACTGATTAATATATGAGTGTATATTTACTATGTGATTTTTAAGTTCTGATGATATGAGGCATATATAGTATCAGTTTCAAGTTTTTGTGGAACAATGATTTAGCTCTGTAACAAATAAATCTGAGTTTTTCTATCTGAGTAGTTTTATTCATCTCTCATAACAAAGATAAAGTAGGTAAATTAAGTCGGTGAACGATTTTCAAAATTTAACTCATTTTACCCACATCCCTAATATACTAAAGCACAAGTCACTCGCCCAATGGCAGAGTGACATGTGTCAAAAGTAAGTTAAAAAATAACGCTAAAAGCAGTTTTATTAATTACGTGTATTGTTAACAAACAAATCAGAATTATAAAATAAAACAACAAGAAAAACAAATGGGCCATATATCATATTAAAGTTAAAGCCCACGAAATGAGCCCAATATTTCGAAATAAGTGACAGTGTTATCGTGTCTTCTTCCACGATATGAATAACTCCCTATACCCAGAAATCCCTATTTTCGCGTTACTTAACTCACCACGTCCAGGATCGTGATGAAAATCAACTGTAATTCTTGATCTTCCCTCAATAACTTTCATCTTTTTTTTCCCCCTTTCTGTTTTCCGTCATTCTTTCTTTCACATTTTCTGTTTATATTTCGAATCCATTCAAAATTTCTTTGATTCAGCTGTTATAACTTCACAAATTTCGAGTTTTTTATACGATTTCTTTCTCATATCCATCTTTCCATTCAATTTACAACCATCCATTTTCGAAAACCTGTTTTTCTCTAGCTTCGTCAAGCCGTTTTAGGGTTCATATTCAAGTTTTGTTCACTAAATCAGTCCGTGGGAAGTTTTATCATTTTCATCATGCCATTGGATTACTCTCCTCTTTCTAAGCTCAATTCTACGAAACAAGAATGGAAAATAAGATCTTTGATTTCACGAGTTGGGATTTTCATCCACAAGACAAGCCTGATTTTAATCGGCATGGAACTCATACTGGTTGATGAAAAGGTAACTATTCTCTCTATACACCACTGTTTAATTGTTTTCTTTTTTGTCTCTTTTGCTTTTGAAAGAACATGAAAGTTTCGATTTTTGGTGTTTTGCTTACAGAGAGATAGGATTCAAGCCTCTGTACAAACAAAATTGGTCAAAAAATTCAGAAACCAATTTCGTGATATCATGAATTTTGAAGTCTTGGAGAACAATGGTGATTACAGGGAACCACACACCCTTACAAAATCAGTTTATTGTTCAACACTTACCTAAAGCCCAGTTCTGGTAATATCCCAAATGTGTCCCGCTTCAACTTCTGCTCTTTTGGAGACATTGAAAGTCAATGTGATGTTTTCATTGGTATGTTACTAAACTAATTCCTTATTGAAATTTCGTATAATTACACCAAGTGCTTATCGTGTTTAATGGTTTCATATTGATTTTCGTATAGATATACTTGGTCAAGTTGTTTCAATGAGTGATATTCGTGTTCCTGGTACCAAAAAAAATTTCAGAAACTGGAGTTATAAAGTTGTCAAACTGACTAAGGAAGATGCAATAATAGCAAGATTTAAAGACATTCTCGGCTTAATGGTATGCAAACTAATTCTTTGAAAGTCTTTAAAAACATCATTATGTTACAAACTTGGAATCTGACCTCTATCTATTTACAAATTTCAGGAATCAACTCTTTCCGAATTGCCTCTTGTTTCAAGCAAATCTTCTGGATTTCAGGTTATAAGTTAATCATGTTTATATCCGGTTACCTATTATTATAGAACATAGATGACAAACTGATATGTACCTTTTTTTTTATTGGAGATGGACAACACTTCCTCTGAAGCGGTCAACATCATCTAAGTTCTGCTGTTACTCCATCAAGCAAAAGAGAACGGGAAGAAATGATACAAGATGAAAGAGCTGAAGAGTCATCAAGCAAGATTGTTACAATGCCAAAGGGAGATTGTTACAATTTTGGTGAAGAAGGAAAACCAGTACGAAAGGAAATCCAAAGACACTAACAAAAAGTGAGCTAACATTGCCTTAGTTGATCGTATTTCCAAACAGATACCACTGTCTTATTCTGCTGTGTGAATCATTTCATTTCTATCGTACTTTGCATAGTTTCTTTATGTTTTTGTTATCCTTTGTATTATTTTCAACTTGCATGTACTGTTATGACTTTCTAAGTATATTATGTTCATAACCTTTTTTATATTATTAAGCTTTTAGCTACTTTAACTTTAGGCGGACAAAATTTATAGTCAAACTTAAACTTAAAGAAGTGAAACAAATTTTGCTTCGTACAACTCAAATTATACAAAACTCTTTTCATACATCAAGACGAGATATTAAATCACATTGACAACTTACTTTCTTCCTGTGAATACATTTTTTTTTTTTACTTTTTAAACACATAATATAGTTGCATTTCCATTTGTTGTTCAGAAAAAAAAACAGTTGTATTTCCATTTCAATTTTTTTTTAAAATAACTTATAAGACAAAATAATGTGCCCCGTGCGTATGCACGGGTGGAAACACTAGTATGATGAAGAAGTCAAGCTGTCATGTACCTATTCTAGTTAATACAACCCCAAAAAGTACCCAACCAATAAAAAGATGACAACTAAAAGGATATTCTAAAAATTTCTTGTAGTCGATTTTTTGTTTTCATCAAACACAGTAACACACTATGAATTACATGTCTCGATCGTTCTTTTATACATTGATACATGTCGAGTTATTCATAGAAAATATCAAACATAAAATATGAAATCAAATGAAGCCCAGAGCAAGGCATTGAAGCGGTTACACAATAACCGTAAAAGACGTGGATAATGAGATTCACGCATGGAGACGGTTATACGGAAGCCGAAGCAGGTTAACCGAAGAAGACATGAAGAAGAGTCACGCACGATACGTCAAGGAGACGTTGTTGATGGTGATCAAACGAGGACACCAATCAATGAAGCAGGCTCCTTACCTAAGAGAAAAGGGAGTATATGCCATTGGTGATTCAAAGGAAGACACCAAAGGAGGATGCTTACCTCTGTGAAATATGGAGCAAAGGAGGATGCTTACCTCGGAGAAAAATGGAGCACAAAGAGAATGCTTACCTTGGAGAAAAATGGAGCACAAAGAGGATGCTTACCTCGGAGAAAAATGGAGCAGGAACGGTTACAATGTTAACCGAAGAAGATGTGGACAAGAAGATTCACGCATGGAAGTGGTTACACATTTAACCAGAGAAGAAGTGAAGAAGTGGTGAAGGAGTTTCACACACGAGACGTCGAGGAGACGTGATGGGGATTGATGGAAGTCGCCAAAGGAAATGACGCATAGGCTACAAAGGAGAAAGAATAAAGAGGTTCTACTCCAGAGCTGCAGAAATAGGAACTGTTGAGACGTCATGAGATGTCATGGAGAAGGCTCGTGGGTAAGAGAAACCTAGGGTTCCAATGTCTTGATGCTCACGCAAGAGGTTGTGTGAAGCATAATGAAGAAGACATTACTCTTAAAGAGACAGAGTCTACAAGTTCAAGGAAGCAACTTAGAGTTAGACCGAAACTCAATTAAGGGGAGTGTTGGAACATAATTGAGTTTGTTGATGTCTTTTAGTAACCGTTTGACGGTTTGCTTTGGTTAGTTTTAGTAAAGAGACACAAGTGTGAAGCGACACAACTATTGTCTTGTTGTGTCTGCTTATTATCTGTATAAACCTTTGTTGTTGTAATGTAAACAATCAAGTTTCAGAGTAATAAATCCATTTCCTCGTAATTGTACTTCATCACAAAAGAGAAGAGAATAAGTAATTATCTCTTGCTCTGTTTTTCATTCTTTCTCTTCTCTGTTTTTAAATCTACATTCAACAAACAACAACTTGTGCAAGTCGACATCAAAGACCAAAACCAAGAACAAACAAAATCAAAAGAAGGTGAAGAGCACCAAACGAACAAGTCAGAAACTGTCATTTACTTGGTGGAAGAAGCTAAGCGTGATGAGCACCAAACAACCCTATCCCGCCAATCAAAGCTCATAAATATCCCACATCGGTTGGAGAGTAAAAAGTACGTAGAAACCTTTTGATATAAATATCCCACAATATTCTCAACTCGACTCGCTATGATTAAATTTAAAACCCGTTACAGCTTAGATATACAACATACATATTGTTTTGGAAAGCCCAAAAGATTGCATCTTAGATCCCTTCACGATGAGTTCCTCAGATATCTCGATCATCTCGAAACAGATGGAATCAATTTCGATGACGACACACCGTGTTCTCCGTCGTAACAAGACCATTCCTCCAGCCAGATATTCACCTTACAACAACACTACAGGGACTGATTCCACCAAGGAGAAGCAGAAAGAGGAGGCTGTGCGACTAGGAGTCGAGCTCTCGATCTTTGTGGCTGAAACAATGTTTGTATTATCTGATGACATACGATCTATGTTAGTGTTCTGTTGTTACGTATTCAAGTATGCAGGGAACAAGTCTTACAACGGTCCTGTGTTCGGAAGGGTGTGTTCGAGTTATGGAATATGTGACTGAAACATATATCAAACCCAAGAATGGAGTCTATCAGGATGGTACCAAATTGCTGCCATGGGAACAGTACCCCCAAGTTTATTTTGGAACGAGAAGTCTGGGTCTCATTGTTTCGGTTCTCAAAAAAGGTGGCCTTGTGAAATCGTCTTTTTTGGTACACTATAAGCAAGAGCTGAAGAAGCTTGAAGAGAAGTTGAGGTCTGTCAAGGATGTTTCAGAGGCGAATGGGTTTGCGAGGGAAGCGATAGAGTCTCACATTGTACACTTGTGGAAGTCTCTCTTTGAAACAGCACCTGAAGTGATAAACTCTAGCGCAAGATTTCTTGAGTTGTTTGGGCTTGCCATCAACGAAGGAAAGCAGCTTTCTTTCTGTCGCCGTCTAACTTCTTTACGCATATGAATCCGTGATTCTTAGATTGAAAAAAACCAAAAAAACAATCATTGTGTAATTTAGTCACTGAATAAAATTTCGTTTATTAATAAGGAGTAAATAAATATCTACACACTGCACCCTGTTTTTTCCTCAACGTTACAGATTTACCCATGGATACAGAGCATTGCAGTTGTAACTTAAACATTACAAACAGGGATGTTATAAGTAGTACGAATACTCGCAGGTATCCCTAGGGTTGTGCTTTAGCTTTAACACATTTTATGCTGTCAATAAACATATTTCTTGTAATGTACATTACGAAGAAGTCAATCTATCATTCGTAGCTATTCTATTATACAGAAAGACGAGTATCCAACCAATAAAAAGATTCTTTACAGCAACCAAATTTATTAACATAAAATATCAAACATAACAAATTGAACATGGAGTCCCTGCCTATATTATTTTCAACAATCTCTCTCTCTAAATCCTTTATAATCTCTCTCAAAACATGAAGCTCTCTCTGCGTTTGGTCTCATGCCGTTCTCATCTCTTTCATGCTTCTCGCTGCCACTGCCAGAGGTTCGTTACCCCCATATGCCCATAATCTATAACCCTTGTCTCGATATATACATACCAATATGTATAAAACTACCGACATTTTATGCGTATAATCTATAACCCTTGTCTAGCTTTGCTATATACCTTATTCTTCATTTTGGTTGTAAGAACATATAACCAAATCAATGGGTTTTCTTCATTCTTTATAATCTATATATTAATATATATAAATAACCTTTGTTTCCATATTCCTCGTTTTGGTAATATTTATATCATTGTGGTTTAGTTTTTGCAGAATATACCTTGAGTTTACGACGTACGTACTTTGTTTGTGTTCTCTCTACTATTTCCAATTTAAATAATTTTAACGGATTTTTAGTAAGGTTCTGATTACACTTAAACAGTGATCTTAATATTAAAGTTAAAACCCAAAAAAAGAAATTGTTTTAAAGATTATCAAACATAACAGTAAAAGGAGAGACACACAATGACACAAAGTGAAGGATAAGTCTAGGATGTCTAATGCTCCCACATTGTAGTGTGCAAGTGACTTGTTGTCGTCCTCTAAAATCCCGGTCTTTCCACGTAAAATATGTTGGCTTGCTGGAATTTTCACCTTCTGGGCTATTTTCTCCTTCAAACTTGCCACGGTTTCGGACAAGGACGCCATGTCGAAATCAAAGTATTCACAATAAAACACGGACGAGCAGTCGGGAGCATAAACACAGATTGTAACACAACCCACCAACGGTTGTGGTTTTGGTGGTGGATCAAGTGGAGCCTTCTCCTTGTCCTCCCTTAGCTCATCCTCATGCTCCTCCAGGAATCGATCCAACTGAAGACGATTGAAACAAGTCTCAAGAACCGTCTCCATATCAGCAGCATTCTCCCTCAGCGTTTCTCTCAAGATCTCAGGACGATTCACTACTTCAAAATATGCTAAAGAAAGATCAACGAAGAGAGTAGTGGACCTGCTTCCGCTTCCACCACCAGTTAGCTTCATGAACTCAAACTGAGGATCCGTATCACTTCTCTCCTTACATCCCTCCCAGAGACGCCCCCCATTCAGCGCCCGAAACTGGGCTGCGAGCTTAATAACATCAAGCTCCTTGCACGTGATCCCTTCAGGGACTCTGCATGTACACTTGTGAGGTTCGAAAAGCAGCGAAGCAGCCCTGTCCCCATCCGGAATGAGCCTTAGCGAACCACCGCCTGAGTGATCAGTGGCACCAGCCAAGTGTTTAGCTACCATTCTCTCCCCTTCAGCTAGGTAAGCTGCTAGCACATCTCTCACTTGAGGTGGAATCGCCGGAGCTTGATTTGAACCGTTTCCTAGGGTTCCCTGATCCGTTACTTGCGAAACATCAAGTGGTCGTCTGAATTTCCCATCAGCCCCGAGTGGCCAGGGGAGCCTCTGTGGTGGCATCCCAAGTATTGCTTCCTCAATCGATTTGCCTTGAGTCACAAGCAATTCGCGATGGTGGTGCCATTCTTTAAAATGCCTTTCAAAAGACTTTTTCCCCGCATAGCTACTTTTACATATCTCGCATCTGTACTCCTGGCCAAGGCCAAGTTTGTCCAGCCAGTATGGTATAGGCTTCCCATCCCAACCCACTGAGCGTTTCTTGTTGCAAACGTCACCACTTTCTGGATCAGAAGATAAGTCCAAGTACGGACCAAAGCAATCCTCTCTGGTGAACTCAACTAATGATTCCTCCTTGGAGAGTGCTTCATGGTCTACAACCATGGGTGCACAAGTATGCGTTCCATGATACTCAAGAATCTCTTGCAAACGAGAAGAAAAGGCGCTAGACAAATCTGTCCTTGAGCGACTCTGGTCACGAAGCGGTGCTATATCACCTTCAAACTTTTCATAGGTCTCAACAAGTTTCTCAGACTTCAGCATGATAAGCTTAGCCATGTTTCGGAGACGGTGGCCTTGCAACAACGGCTCCACCGGAGACATATCTTCTGTCTGTAGAGCTTCCATAACCGATTGCTCCAGTCTTTCAATTTCCTCGTGACAGGAGCGAATTTTCTCCATCATTATTCCGATTTCCACCGGAGAGGCATGAGGAGCCCCGAGTGACGTTGAACCGGACATTGATTCTCAGCCTCTAAGGAACAGCCGTGTTGAAATATCTAGGTAAAAGCTTGATTGTATTGATTCACATAGCATAGTATATATACAAGAATGGTAAAGCCTAAACCGACTATGAAACCTAACAGAATGTGAAGTTATCCTTATTACAAAATAGGAATATATCCTTATCAAGTACTAATGTCACTATAGTCCAACCGATTTCTAGTTTAATCTATTCGAAAGCTAAAAACATTTATCACCGCAGTTCTTGTTTCGTAGATAAAATAAGAATATCCTCATTTTTTTTTTTGTTAATTATGGATAGTAATGAGTTTCTAGATGCTTTGAACTTCTTTTGATTCATATACATCCTCATGTTTGAATTATTATAGGAGTAAAATTTAGGAATACACCAAAAAAAATTCTTGATTACGTAAGCATACATACAAACTGCTGGTAAAGATAAAAAGTGTTCATAAACTACAAATTGGTCATTTAACAGCATCTTTCATCAAAATCTATCCAACTTCACCATATTCACTGTTTTGGTCATATACATTTTTACATAGCCATACAATATATAAGCTCATACTTAACCAACTTGTGCCTGGAAAAAATTCCGACACTCAAGCAAAAACTATGTCTATCCTCTATATCCCAAGCCTCTTGGAACCACACTCGGAGCAGAATTTGGATGTCTCTCTCAAGTACTGTGATCCACACTGATCACAGAATTTCGCCGGACTGGCTGTCTATGGAAAGACAAAAGATACACATATGAAGACTATCATAATGGACATCGAAACAATCGAATTGGAATAGAGATTTAGAGGATTCTGTGTACCATGACATGGCCTCCAGTGAGGGGTTGCAAGCAAGCCATATGCTGCGACATAGATGGTGACTGGTGCTGGTTGTGAGTCAGCTCAGGTTCGCATTGACCGGGAAAATGAGCGGCGGCGTGTTGACCTTGGTAAATAGATTGATGGTGGTGTTGGTGGTGGTGGCTCTGGTGAATAGCTTGGTGAAACTGATGAGGATGGTGATGAGACATAGTTGACATGTGATGTTTGGAAGGAGAAGGAGTGTGTTGTTGCTGCTGTTGTTGTTGACTTTGCTCCTGCAATCATCAGAAGATTATTGATCAATTTGACAAAGCTCAAGATCATTTACACTTGGAGATTGCTGTAAGAATAAAAGCACTTACTTCACTAACAGAGCGAAATCCTTGTGTATTAGCTAACGTTGAAGGATCTATACCTGGAAATGTCTAATAAGCAAAGAAATAAACAACAACAACAACAGACAACAAGAAGAAGCTATAAACAGAGTGTTGATTGGTCTTACAGGTAAGCCATGGATGTTGTTGGAGACAGAACTCTGAACACGCCTATGCTTGTGTCTCGGGCAATAGAATTTATAATCTCTTGCAGAGACAGCCACTTCACTACGCCCTGTTAATCGCTTAAACCTGTAGTTGACAATAATCCAATTTATATTCCAATAGTAAAATCTTGTGATGATGATGACGACAATTGCAAGATGTGTTCTTCACCATTCAGCATCTTCAACAGGCAAAGCATCAGGCTTTTCAACGATATCCAAACCATTGACCACCACAAACCGAACTCGTTTCTCTTCATGAGTTACCAATTCTGGAAACCTACTCCTTGTTTCAAGTGAAGTTGCTAGTTCTCTTCTCCTGTACATGCAACTACCTGTAAATGAATCAATCAAAAGCAATCAGTTTTTGGAAAAATAAAAAATAAAAAAACATCAACAGATGCAATAAATACAAAATTACCTTTCTTAGGAAACTTCTTTGTTAGTTTCCTATACAAACCACCAGCTGCTTCAAGAGCCACCCCAATGGACTTTTCCCTTAATCCATTCAATGAAGCAAGCCTCACATTTGCTTCACCGACTAAAGTCTCGTACAGATTCGCAATATACATCAACGGCAATGAGAAACTCGAATCACCTTCGTATCGCGTATCATCAGACTTCCTCTTCACTTTACTATTAGCATCATGTCCTCCTGAATCAGTTTCTTGATCACGCTTGCTCGCACAGACTTCAACCACATGTTGGCTGATAAAGTGGTCCAAGATGATCTGCAGAAACCTCCCTCTTGCTGATTCGATCGGTGAAACATCTAAAACATACACACACAAAAACAGCAATTGGAAAAAATGATAATGAAATCAAGAAACTTCGTGTGAGAGTCAATCCAATTACCTTCAACGTTTAAAAGATCGTAAGAAGATCCCTTGTTGTCCATGTTAGAGCCATCTTCTTCAACTCCTTCGTTGTGAATTTGCATAGCGTTTCTGTATGATTCGTGCATACAGTCCTGAAGAAAGATTACAATTTTCGATTCAATTCTCAGATTCGAGCTAAGTGACGCATAAACCCTAAAAAACTGAGAGCAATTTGGGAATTTTTTACAAACCACAGAAGAGGAATCGCGGTCGTTGTCCAAGCTATCTCCGGCACCTGAGCCTCCGATGCCGTCGATATCTCTCGGCGGACCATCGACGGAGTTGAGATCGTGAAGAGAGCTACCGATGTAGGAATCGGACGATCCCAAATGGTAGTGCTGCAGTCCAACCCTAGCTCCCATCTCTTCCACAGACAAATCGAGAAAAACCCTAAACACTACACGCGAATTTCAAAATCATAATCGATTCCGTAACAATCAGCCATTTTCGATCGCAGTTTGAACACTACAAGTTGCAGAATCATCTAGAAATTTCATCGGCATAGAGTTTACTAGGATCTATCGTTGCTCTCTCTACTGCTGATTCTGTGAGAGATTAACGGCTATACAAACCGTGAACAAGGCGAAAGAAAGAATCCGGACCTGAATCCGTACCTGAGCTTATTCAGACGCCGGAAGCGATCTCCGAACCTGGCTCAAGACTCCACACCTGTTACCCGAGCCAGTCAGTTTCGGAAACTCTCGCAAGTTATTTTGGGGTTTTCCGGAAACTAATAAGACATCTTTTAATTCATTTCTGCATATAAACGGAGTAACACATTTCTCATTTCTTATATCTCGATTTTTCGTTTTCGATTTTTCGGTAACAAATATATATTAATCCAAAAGCTTTCGATTTTTCGGGCAACAAATTCATAATGCTTTCAGTTATTTAATGTTTAAGTAAAATGAAATTGTTCCATTTTAAGTGATGTTTTATACTTTCAATAAGAAAAAATAGTTTTCCATAAAGATTTTTTGAAAATTAATATTTTATAGTCTTTCTTATCATGGATTGGATTGAATTGTAAAGATGTTTTTTTTAGAATAAAACAAAAAATATTGATTGAATTTGTGTTTTTGTTGTGTGTCAAATCCATAAACATCACTTATATTTTAAACAGAAGGAAGTAATATTCCATTTGAACCAAAAAAAAAGAGAGGTATAATATTCATACCTCAAATTTTCAACCTTTTTGTGATTATTTTCGTTAAATATTCAATTCATTTACTGGGCAATTTACATACACTAGGTTTGAAGCCCCATGCAAGCGGGGTTGTTTGCGATAGTTTTTCTATTTAATTTTATTTATACTCGTTGATTTGAATTATGATGGTTTTGTATTAACTTTCATGTTTTTGTTATGTTTTGAGTTAACTTAACCACTAACACTAAAAATATGAATAATTTGTTTTTATTTTAATTTATTAGGATATTAACACTCTGCTTTATCTCGAGTTTTCTATTTCTAAAATTTTATCATGTTATAAATATTATGTTTGTTTACTTTTTTTTTACTTCTATTAGACTGTAAACATGTATATGTATTTGATTGAAGGTTAAAATTTATAAATATGTATATGCATTTGACTGAAGGTTAAAATTTGTAAACATATTCTTGTTTTTCACTACAATTAAATTTACATATAAAACTCCATTTCTATTTGTTTAGAAAAACAAACTTTTTTCATTAGCTTTCTATTATCTTAATTAATTTATATTCAACTTTTTAACTTGTAAACACATTATAACATTTTTAAATATATAAATCCTTTGAATAAAAAGGTAAATATATATACTATTTGAAGTTAAATATTTATTTACTCCATCTCTATTTTATATTCCAACTTTTTGATAACTTTTAACATCAAATTATCACATACTTTCTATTAATTAATTATATTTATTTGTATATTTTTATTAAATATGAATAAATGTAAAGAAATATGAATAGTTATATATTTAATAAATATTTTAAATAAAATTTAATGTTTTTGTGCTGATGGACACTCTATAGGGAGAGAGCAAACTCCCTAATTATATATAAGATGGGTTTAATGTCAAGATTCTCTGCATAATGAAAAATTAGATTTGTTCAAAACTGATGATTCAATCATCAACAAAAGAAAAATACATTTTGGGGGTTAGAAAAGAAAATATGTACACACTACACACCAAAAAATGAGGGATTGATCGGTTCCTCAATGCAACAATACAACACAACAATGAAGAACCCTCAAGGCCTTGACCTATCTGTATTCAAATCACTTCATAATCTTCACTCCTTTCTCACCCATATTTTCCGCTCCACACATCACTACATCAGAGCTCAAAGTCTGCAACAAAAGGACATAACCTTTTTTCTATCACAGACCCAACTCAAATTTCAATATCAAAGCACCCAACATTGGATTTTTGTCTTCATACCTCAGCTCTTTTCGATGAACAAATATATCCATCAATAAGCTTCTCCTCGGATGATTAGCTCAGGCTGAAGATTCCACCCTCTGATTCTTGTTTCTTCATGTTCTCTAGAAGAAACAAAGGTTTGGATCCGAGTATCTGAATCATTCACCAAAAAGATTGCATCTTTCGAGTTTCACATGTTTGGAAGTGCGTTGTTATTGATGTCACTGGTCAAGAGTTGATGCTTCATCAAATAACTCTGCAACTCCACAGCTTCGTCTATACATCCAAGCTCATAATGTTTCTTCAAAACACCAATACACAAAACCTCATCAGGCAGAATCCCTTCCCCGATCATTTCCTCGAGGAAAGATCTCGCTCTCTTCAACTGATTGCACTGCGAGAGTCCCCACACTAACGAAGTATAAGCAAACAAATCAAGCTCCATACCAATCTCAGCCATTTCGTCTCGTAAAGCCAAAGCCTCTAAAACATTCCCTTGCTTCAAGTTCCCATCCATCAACGAAGTGTACGCTGTTCTATCTGGAACTAAACCCTTTTGAGCCATCTCTTCAAAAAGACTTGTCCCGGCCTCAACTTGATTCTCTTTACAGAGACCATCAATCATCGCTGTGTATATCGCTGCGTTAGCTTGGAGACCAAAACCACTACTCATCCTCCCAAAATAACCAAACGCTTTAGATACTAACTTGTTCTTGCACAAACCATCAATCAAAACGCAGAAGGTAACAACTGTGACTTCAATATCATGCTCCACCATTTCATCCAGCAAACGCAATCCCTCGGCGGCGTTTCCAGACTTAAAGTAAGCATCCATTAACGTCGTGTAGATCACCGTATTCGCTCTAATTCCAAATTCTTGCATCTCATCCATCACTACCTTAGTGGCCTCGACCTTCTCTACACCGCACAAACCCCAAATCAAAGTTCCATAGAGCAGCAAATCCGGTTTCATACCTCTTCCCTTCAGTTCGTCTAGAAGCTTAAACGCTCTGTCCATGTTTTTCTCCTTTACAAATCCATGAATCAGAGCGCTATAACTCGCAAGATTCGGAACCACACCAGCAACATCCATTCTGCTAAAAAGCTCTTCAGCTTCTTTAACTCTCTCTGCATCACAAAGTCCATCGATCAGTGCAGTGTAAGTAACCACATTCCACTCCACACCAGCCTCCAACATCTCACCACCCAAACTAAACGCATCCGAGAGATTACCAATCTTACAATTAGCATCAATAAGCGAAGTATACGTATGCTCATTAGGCACAAGACCAAGCCTTCTCATGTCAACATAAAACTTCACCGCTTGCTGCATCATACCCTCTTTACAAAACGCATCAATCAAAGTGCTATAACTCACAACATTCGGTCTCAACCCACTCTGCTTCATCTCCCTGAAAAACTCCAATCCCTTAACCAACTTCCCAGCTTTACAGAAACAGTTAATCAGCTCGTTGTACGTTATCACATCAGGCTCGCAGCTCATACTCTTCATCTCCTCCAAAAAGCAAACCGTATCATCCAATCTCTCAGCTTTCCCATAACCATCAATCATAGAGTTATACGTGACAGTGTCTGGAAACAAACCTCTAAACTTCATCTCCTCAAACAAGCCCCTCGCAGCTTCCACATCTCCTTCTTTAAACATGCAATCTATCATTATGTTGTAAGTAAACACAGTCGGTTTCGAGCCAGCCAAGTTCATCTCTTTGAAAAACTTCTTCATCCCATCTCCCTTCCCCAATCTCGCAAACGCATTCAACAAACCGTTGCAAGATCGAGTCTTTGCGAAAACCCTGAACCTCTTCATCTTGGCGAAACACTCAACAGCTTCCTTAAGCATTTCCAAATCAATCAAAACGCTAAACAAAGCATCAAACACTCCGAAACCAGGGACGCACACGTTCCTCGTAGACCACAGAGAATCAAAAACATCGCAGTCTCGAAATTCAGCGACCATCTCTCTAAGGATGAGATTGGCATCGTAGTACAATCTAGCACAAAACAGAATATGCGCTACTATACAGTAAGATTCAACAGTGTGCTTAAACCCGTCGCGAGTCGCTGACCAATTGAAGAATTTCAGAGCTGATTTTGGGTCTTCTCTCAATTCGACGAGCGCCCTCGGAACCCAAATCGGAGCCGATGTCGGATCAAAAAGCTTATCGATTTCGGGATCGTCCCATTGATTGTTCCGGACGACCTTACGGATCCAATCTCTATCGAAATCTTCGGGATAGGTTGAAGAAGGACCGCTTCTGGTGACGAAAGGGTATCGAATGATACAGAGAAAGCTAGTGAACCAGACGAATGGGCAAGAGATGAAGGAAGATTGAGAGGGAGAAGACAGAGGTCCTTGAATTTGAATTTGAGGGAGAGAGGTTGAGCAAGGGCTTATGTGGCGAGGGAATCTGCGATTAACGTGAATAAAGTTGCGAAGAGAACAGAACATTTTCAGGATAAAATTCAAAGCGAATACAATGAGCCTCATCGTTTAGCTCGAATACATTGTATTCTACTATTCCCTCAACTAATTTATTCGAGTGAACAGAACCGAGCAAGACGAAGAAGAGGAGGAGGAAGAAGGAAGAAGAAGAAGAAAGTAGGGTTTATGAACTCTGGGTTTTGTTGGTTTTTCTTTTTCCCCTCAGGACGATTTTGTTTCTCCTGTTCTTTTCAGTTTGTAAAATGTGGGTTTCTCATTGGGCTTTTTTTGCTACAAGGCTATAAAGGCCCAGCATATAGTTTTTTTTTTGTTTTTCCTGGTTTCTTCCTTCTACAACATTTTGTTTTACAGGGTTAGATAATTAACCAATCTGTGGCACTAAACTAGTAAATTAGGTAAATTAGTTTGGCAAAAGAAAAAAAAAATTATACTATTATTTGCAAGGTGATTTTGAGAAACAGAGATCTCTCATTCACTCTCAGATAATGACATAAATAGATTTAATGAAATTATTTATTTTTTTATAATAATCATTTAATTAGTTTTCTTCTAAAATAACCTACAAAGATAAATATTAAAATACTTGCATGGATTAGTTTTCAAAATAGAATTTTTTTTGAGAATTTAAACCAACTCTCCCTTTTTTTTCTTTGTTATTTTTTTTTAATTAATACAATTTATATATATTGTTAATCTTTATGTTAAAAATATATTAATATCTATTTTGAAGGTTAAATTCGGAAAATTTAGCATTATAAAGTATATTAGGACAAAATATAGTCAAAAAGGTTATGTGGACAAGAGATGAGTTTTTTATCCCTTTTTATTCCTTTTTGCCAAATTTTTTTTCTCAGTCTCACACTTAATAATACTTTAGGAAATGAGATCACCAAGAAGGCAAGAACTATTATATCGATGTGAGATACTTTAATAATATACTAGTAGAGTACCCGCACGTTTGTGCGGTGTGACGTTGTTGTTTTGTGTAGAAAATTTAAACCCTAAATCCGAACCCGACAAAAAACCCTAATCAAAAAATTTAAAAACCCAAACTTTTTTAATAGGTCTAAACATGAAAATCCGAAATCAAAAAAATCCCGAAAACCCTGACTGAACAAAAAAAATCTGGAAACTTTTTCACCCGGAACCCGACCCCAATACCTAATCAAAATTTTAAAATACTCAATTTTTTTAATATATCTAAACCCGAAAACCAGAAATCTAAAAAATCCGGAAAACCCTAAACTGAAAAAAAAAATTGAACCTAACCCGAACAGAAATTTTCAAAGAAACCCGAACAATTTCTATATCTCTATATATATCTCTATAAAATTATGTCTCAGATTTTCACCCAAACCCGAACTTGTCTATAAAAACCCGAAAATCCAAAAAGCATATTCTATTGATTTGGAATTATCGTTAGATTATGTTAAGTTTTTTTTTTGCAGATTTTTAAGAGATGGAAAACGGAAGTTTTCTAAACCATCGGTTTATTTTAAGTTATTATTCTTGTATCCAAACAATTTTTTCCATTTATTCTTCTATCCAAATAGATTTTTCTCTTATTCTTATATCCAAACAACTTTTGTTTCCATTTATTCTTCTATCCAAATAGATGTTTCTCTAATTCTTGTATCCAAACATTAGAATGTACTTCTCAATTAATAATATATAAAGATGTTTTTTACACTTTTCCTCTCTCAATTTTCTGTTAAGTTTTGTAAACAAATCCTAGATTTTATCAAGGATTTAATCAAAAGTTTTTTGAAGGTGTGTTTAAAAAAAATCAGTCTAGGGTTTTGATGTCCTCATTAATTATTTCCAAGTAAATATATTTTAGGAAGGCATACGATTTGAGGTTTACGCAAAAACTGTTGGCTTTTTTCAAAACTGTCTAATAAAATGGATTAGAATGGAATGTCAATCAAGTGTGTGTCTTTGCTCTTGTGCTGTAGACAAGTTATGTTTCAACTGAATCAAACAATGGAACACAAGGTATAGTACACAAAACTAAATGCGTATAATTTCGGAGTTTCAGTTGTACCTTTATACGCCTGTTCGTCTACAGGTCCAATTTCGGCATCTAGTAAAACGACAGTCTGCTGCACGTGGAGTCGAAAGAGGAGATCGAGTCAAAGCTGTTCGATCGAGATCCCGTAAAATCCGGAATACATGCTCCCGATATCCGCGCAGCAGTTAGAAGTCGAGCAGGATATATAAAGGAAGCATGAAGCAGGCAGAAGATCATCTCTTACTCGTTTTATTATTCTCTTGTATGTTCTCGCTTATTGAGCTATCACATTACGAATCTTCTTTGTAAACACTCTTCTTGCTAATATAAATCCACTTGGTTAATCTAAGTCTTGTTCTTGTTTGGTTCATTGTGAGATTTCTACTTTTTTTTCATCTCTTCATTCACTCTAAATACTTGGGTGTGGGTATTGTGTCCCACACCCGAGGTGATAAAAAACCTTGACTTCCACTTATACATTTGATGTTCATCGCAATCTTATCGAAGTTTATCAATAGTGTTGTCAATGGTCAGCCTCATATATCGTTTACAAACAAATTCATTTGTAATGATCTTTATATAGTAAAATTATTATTTTTGCTTGGGAAGCTAGCCAATGTTTGTTGTTCTATGGGGCATTAGCTAAATTTTTCTTTCTTGAAGGTAATTTGATAAACAATAAGGATACAAGGGTTAATATGTGGAGCTGAGACTATTGTGTGGTAAAGATGCGTTTTATCACCAACCAGATTCCGTCATGAAATTTATCTGATGTAAACTTCCAAATCAAAGGATCCAATCCCTCAAACCTCCGTTTTCAGAATAATAAGGTATATTACTTATTTTGATTTTGTTAATCAAGAATAGAAGCCGACGTAAAAGAAAAGTTCTTATTTTGTCAATCTCTCATGGGTCGTTTCACGAGAACACATGAAACGTAGCATGACTTTGTTGGATCTTCATTGTGCTTCCTTTCTTTACACACTTAATAGTGGTTTTCATTTATGTTGTTGTAGCAATATCAGAAGAAAAAGATTGTGAGACACGGTGAGAAAGTTCGTAATCATGTTTAGTGTGTAACGTGTTTGGTGGTTTCACCGGCTGAAAGAGACCGAGGTGGCTCTTCGAAAGTGATGGTAGCGATGTAAAGGATGAAAAAATATTATTACGTGGCAAAGTTATCGAGCTGGAACCTGATTACGTAAGTCCAATTTTATAAGATAATTGGAAAGAGAGCGTGGCATGCATATATATCGTGTGCTCTCCGTTATAAACACAGAGGATTTGAGGAGAAAGGAAAAAAGCGAGCATCGATGAGCCCGAATGCCTCAAATGGCTTGACAAGTCTCCAAGAAACCAGATTAGGTCATTTACATTTCATTTGGCTTGCTTTAAGAACACAAAATAATGTCTTTTTAACTTTGTAAAGTTCTAATTACATTTGTTTGTAGTTTTTGTTCTTTAAAATGTATACAGACTATGTAAAATACAGGATTGTGTATACAAAATCTAGGGGAATATGTGGATTAACCGTTGAAAGAGGATATGGTGAAAACTGGTAATCATAGACCTATAACCTATTGAAAGAGATGATAACTGTTTGGTTGGTTTTGCGGCGTAATCAATAGCTAAAACCTGTCAATATTCAATTCTCATTTCGATTAAAACCTAAAGTTAGATTTTTCAATTTAGCTTACCTTGAGATTTTTTTTCAGATGAAACCAGCTTATAAAACAGATTATTTTCACCCATAAATAGATAAATTTAATCAATTTATTACAACAGAAAAAATGAACCCCGCGATTCGCGGGGAAATTACCTAGTATACTATATATAGAGAAGTAAATATAACTAGTTTGTGGGACCAGCTTTATGGATCAATAATTTATGCAAAAATCGTGCAAACATCCATTGACGTGAGGCATTCTTATTTTTCAAATAGAAATGAAATCCCCAACCAAAATAGAAAGTACTTCATTCAGGAGGATTCACATAACTGAATTTGCTGATGTAGAGAAGCTTGACATTTGGGGAAAAACAGATAAAGGGTCACCCGCTCATTCTCATTTTCATCTTCATCGGTTATCAACGATAATGCTTTTCAGAGTTTCTAATGATATGTTATTCGAGATTCTTCTTCGAGTGCCACCTGAAGAAGTCCACCACAAGATATTTGTGTCAAAAAAGTTTAAGCAGATCAGATGCAGCAATCTATTCCGTATGGCTTACCAAGCCCGTTGGAAATTGAACTGGGAATTTCTATGTTTTTCTCCTACATTATTAAAATGACATTAAAAACTTACATGAAGTTTTCATACGTTAATCATCTGAGCACTATAAGAAGATAATGGTTTTGATTGGGCATATAATACATTGGAGATTGATATATAACCTAAATCTAAGAATTAAAAGTGTCCAAAAGATACCTAAGCTTTCTAGGGCACCAGCTTTTTGGCCACCCTGCCATAACTATCATCACCTCAAGACTTACATCCAAATATCCATAGTAACCAACTATCTCAGCATTACCATAGGCAGATCTAAAAATATTTTTCAAGGGGGGGCAAACCTTGTAAAAACTAAAATTACAAGAGGGACATACACCAAAATTATGCAAAATAACACCAAAATTGAAAATTCAATCCAGGGCAGTTGCCCCCCCTGGTTTGAACGTGGCTCCCCACTGGCCATTACTAAGCTTACATATTGCACACTTCACACCATCTACAAGTTTGAAATCAAATATAATCACATCATGCTTTGTAGAAAATTTCATTGACCATCCATTTTCTAGCTCTTTGTAGATATATCCTAAACTCCTTTTTTTTGTCCCACCCAGCATAGAGTGAGAGGGTGGCACCAACTGGATAACCTTGCCTAACCCTCTCCATCACTTCTTCTAGAGTTGGATGATAATAAAGATCCTTAATTCGAATCAACTCCTCATTACCTAGAAATTTCTCTGTACTATGACAATTCAATTCTTCTCCTCCTAGCCTCTCTCTCTTAACTCCAACTCTTTTGGCAAACTCAAGTGCTTTATGCAGATTGGAACCAAAGCATCTGTGACTAGTTTTCACGCTGCCACATTCACTTACACAGATACCTTTCTGAAGGTAATTCATCATATATCCTCATCCTTGAGAGATGATCTGCCATTTCATTCTCAACTCTTTTTTTGTGCACAATTTCTATGTCGAATTCTTGCAAAAAGGAGAATCCAACGAAGTAGTCTCAACTTTCTATCCTTTGTATAAATGTATCTCAAAGCCGCATGATACGATAACCTTAAATCCAACTAGGTATTTCTAAAGGGTTATTATTTACTATGAAGATCCTTTTTTCATTGAAGGAAAAGGTAATATATCGAAAAAGAAATAAGAAAAAGAAAACAAAAATCAGAAATTTGAGGTTGTACTTGTACCATTGTTTCTTTTCTTTCTACGTACTGTTACAATTTAAGAAATCATAATGAAACAAAAAAAAATGGCGACTTAAAACTCAGTGCCAAGCTAAAAGAAGATAAAAGCGACTTTGCACTATTTGCTCTCCCACCAGAGAAAATGAGCAAAAAGCTTTTTTGTGTCACACAACATTAATCATCCATCATCTCTTTCTTCGTAAAGTTGAAGCTTCTTTTTCTTTTCTTTTATGACAACATCTCAACATTCTTCTCAATGTCTTCTTCACCCTCAGGTTCACCTCCTTCTGTTGCTTCTTCTTCTCCTTCCTCAGCCGCGTAAACAACTTCTTCGCCTTCTTCATACGTGTACTCTCCACCTTCTTCATATCCTTCTTCGTAATAATACTCACCGTTTAGCTCATCGCCTTCGTAAGCTTGCTCCTCTTCGTTTCCTTCATACACTTGCTCTCCCTCTTCCCCAATCACTTCCTCTCCTTCCTCCATAATCGTTCCTTCTTCTAGTTCACCTTTGGCTTCAGAGACAATCTCCGTTTTCTCTTCTGTTATGGGTCTGCTCTCATCTCCAGCTTCCTCTTTCGATGTCTCGTCCTCCTTCTTGCTGCTACCACCAGATGCAGCCGCTCTTTTTCTCTTCAGAATCTCACTGAAAGGCAATGGAGCTGCAAATGAATCTCCTGATCGCCTATGTTGATGATGATGATGATCATCTTCCTCCAAGCTTTTCCTCTTACCAAGAGATGGCTCTGTCTTACTTTCCTCTTTTCTACTAGTTTTACTTTCTGCAATGGCTGAAAAGCCTGATGATCTTCTCTCGTCGTCCATTTCTCCTCTTCTCGCCCATGGAGCTCGGTCTCGGAGACCTCTTTCCTGATGGTTTTCCTCTAACCTACCCTTAATTCTATCTCGGAGTCTACCTTGAGATAACTCGCTTCTCTCCCTCCCTCTCTCACTTCTCCTGTCAAAGTGACCTTCCTCGCCATTGCTTCTCTCACGAAGCTTAATCCTACCCTGAAGACGGCTGCTGCTAATGGAGCTTTCCCTAGGTGTATTCCTACGAGAGTCTCTATATCCTCTTTCCACTGAAGAGTCCTGAGCAGTATACTCATGGCTTCCTACTGATCCCATACCGTTCACTTTCCTCTGCTTAGCCAAGCGATATCTCAGATCCGACGCCGGTATGTTCTCCGATCTCTCATCTTCCGCGTAAACCCTTCTCTCCGAACGATCTCCTCTCTCGGAAGAAACTCGACGGTGGTGGCCCCATGCGTACCTCTCTTCCCTCTCAAAACGTTGATCACGAAACGCTTCTCCATCTCCATGAGCAATCGCGCTGAAATCAGGGTCATACTCATTTACAGAGTTCCCTCTTTCCTGACTTCTCCGTCCATACCGATCCTCAACGTGGTAATACTCAGAGTCTCTATCCTCGTTATCCACAAGAACATCAAATCCAGGAGACGACTCTCTCAACACCTCGTCCGTGTCCTTACCATTGTGGAAACTGTTATTATCCTCAGATCCATATTTCTGAAGCAACTGAGTCGAATGGTTTCCTTCATTAAGAGAAGTAACACCAACGCTCTTTCTCTGCACAACAGGCTCGTAACCCACATGTTTTGGAACGTATCCCTCTACGCTTCTACTATCCCTAAGGCCAGCAGCAGATGTGACTCTTGGAGCAGCCGATACGGCTTTAACTGCCTTTGAGAAGAGATTAGCATCAGGCAGTTTCTTCTCCTCAGCTGGCTTTTTGGGAAACTGGGTATCAGCAGCATCAGGCTTAGCTTCTGCGGGAGGATGCTGCTTTTTATAACCAGCAGGATTCGGAGTGTGCATGAAAGAACACATATCTCCTTTCACACACATTCCCTTTTGAAAGAAAACACATGGAACCGGCTGCTTCGCAACACCGGGATGAGCCTGAGCGGTTGCATGTGATGGTGGCTGTGCAGAACCAGCCGGAGCACCTCCTTGATTTCCCAACAATCCCTCCAAAGGCTGTAACAAAACAAAAAAACCACAGCATAAGCACACATTTGATAAAAACAATGTTCAAGCTCAATTAGAATCATTCGTATTGAGGGAGATAGTAAACTCACAGGATGACGAAAGCCACATTTGGGGTTCATGCAATTTCCACTCAACCAGTAATAGCAATCCCTTGGGTTCATTCGCGCAAACTCGCTGTGGCGATACTCACACTCAGCTCCCTGTTATCAAAGAGAAGAAACCATAAGAATCCATTTAAGCAAAGATCTCTTCACTGACGAGAAAATCTCTTTACAAGAGTAAGTAATTTTTCAATCTCGATAGGAAGCAGCACGAAGAAAACAAGCATAATTGGATTCGCTAAGTACGAAATCACCAGATCTCAATTTTGCACGAATCAAGCAGTATCAATTAACTTCGAAACGCAACAAGAAACACGAAATCGGGCGAGAGAAAATTGAGATCTCAGATCAAAAACCCTAATTAGAGCAGGGACTGGATAAGATCTAGAAATAGAATCAAATCAATACCTTCTTGCAGGTTAAAGGAGACGCAAGGAAGTAAACGCAATCGGTGTTCCACTTCAAGGCGTCTTCTTCAGCAGATGAAACGGACTCCGATTGGTTCTTCTGCATCTGCTGCTGCTGCTGCTGTTGCGGTTGGGTCGCAGGAGCAAACATTATTCTAAATTTCCAAATCTATCTTCCGTAGATCGTAAGGTTTTAGATCGAAACCCTAAGCGTGAGAAGAAATCACCGATCAGAGAGTCCCGTAGAAGAAGAAACGGAGCCGCCACAGAGAGCGAACCAGAGAGAAACTGCGACTGTGTTTGTGACAAGTTTTTTCTTTCTCGCTCTTTTTCTTTTGCGATTGGGAATTAATAGAAGTTCGGTTCGTTTTGGTTATCAATCAAATATAGACACGTGGTAATCTCTTATTGGGACATACGTTAGCCGAATAAAATTTTCTTACTTTTTTTCTGAGCCTTGATCTTATACTTAGTGGAAACCGCGCATTTGGAATGTTGTGAAACAGACAATGATAAGGTCTTTTAACCGACCTAAACAGAACCGACTCTGAACCAAATCAAAGTTATAAATCGGTTAGTAGAGATACTGTACCTTTTAAACTAACGATATTCAGAATTTAGACCAAACGAACCAAATAACCCAATTTATATAAGTGAAAAAAAAACTTATTTCAAACTAAGTATAATTTTTCCCAAAACAAAAACAAATCAAAATGATGTAGAACCGATTTTGGTTTTCAATTTGGTAAGGACATTTTTATCCAACAAAAAGTTGATAAACCAAGGCTACTGCTAATTTAATGGAAAACCAAAACAGAACCGAACCTAACCGATTCTGAAACCAGAAATAAAATTATACGCCGATTGGTAGATATTTCCGCAATCAAACCAAAGTGGTATTTAGTATAAGCAAATCGAACCAAATAAACCAATTCCACACTCTTATATTACTGTATGTTCGTTATTATTTACCCAAAACCAAACCAAACCAAAATCAAATTTCAATTTGCTAAGGACTATTTGAACCGAATAATTTGAGAACACCAAAACTTTCAACGTAATCCGGAATTCTTAGATCTACAAAGCAACTATGATTGATATAGATCACACAATAAAGGTACTTTTACAAAGCTTTTTTATTATGCAGAACGATACAAAGATGAGGTTCTTGAGAATGAACAAAAACCAAAAAGATTGGAATTTTGTTTTAATGTTAATCAAGAACAAAAGCTAAAACAAGAGGAGAACAATGAAGGCACTTTCCCTGTTCTTCGGATTTGTTCAGCTTGTTTCTCCGTTTTAGCTGCTTGACGATCCTTCTTCGCTTCAGCCGCTGCTCGCTTCTCCTCTGCCTTGTTCTCAATCGCAGCTAGTTTCTTCATTAACCGGTCATGCGCTCTTCCCTTTATCCTCTCAACCTCCACCTACATTATCAAGAACTCACCATCATCACACAGACTTATAATAAGCAAATGTATATAAACTCTGACTATGTTTCTTGAGGTCACTTACCTCAGTTTTCCTCATCTCGGCTTCAGATTTGGCCTTCTGATGATTCTCCCACGCTTGAATCTTCATCTCTTCACGTCTGAATCTGCGAGATCACACAAGTCCATTGTAAAGCCAAAGTTTTCCAAGAGCAAACATGAGTCTCAAACCCAAACAATGCACCTACCTAGCCATATGCTTAGCCTTTTCAGCTTCCTCCCACGCGGAAGCACGAGCTTCAGAGACACTTTTAGAAGTTTGCAGAGAAGCTTTGGTCTTTAATGATGTCGAAGCATCTTTGTCTTCGTCCTCTTTGCTAGCCCAAGCTGCAATATTCAGTTTACCAAGCTGAGTGCCCAACACCATTATCTCTCTCCTTGTCTTCATCTGAAGCTCTTTCTCCGACAGTGATGAAGCTTGTCTTCCAGGACTAGAAGGTGCAGAAGATATAGGACTCCGCATCGGCGTTGTTGCCCTGATCGGCGTCCCGGTTCTCGATGGTTCTTGGCTTGCTATTGGAGTCATCTCAGTCCCCATGTCTCTCATTGACACAGACCTCGCTGTTGAAGGCGGTTGAGCAAACGCAGTGGCTATTGACGAGTCATGTCTACTGAGATTCACTGCAAAAAGCAAGACTGTTAGGACCATTCACAATTCAAATAACTCAAAGAGAGACTGATAGGGACCACCTTCGGTTGCTGATTCTATAAGAACAGGTTTGACATAAGAGTCTTCTTCTTCCCAGCTAACAAACTTCTGTCCTGACTCCTTCTTCGCTTGGCTTACATCTACGCGCTTTGTATCAGGCTCTTCAACGCCAGCTGCAACTTCAAGAATCTTCATAGAAGACTGCCGACCAAAGCTCGGTCCTTTCTTCGGTCCGGTTTTGGTTCGGTTAGCTGTAGGACTAGCGATCCATTTCTGAGCATCGTCCCATTTAGATGGAGCCGGTTTAGAGAATGATCTCATAGGCATTCTCTGTGTGGCTTTTTCCTTTTCTGTCTTTTGAAACTCAAATACAGTTGCAGCAGAAACGTTCTTGCAATCAAGACTCGGATATTCATGAAGATCCGAGGTAATCGAAGATTGATCCATCCCTGAAGTAGAGCAATCAACAATCTCACTCACAGTCACAACATCAACGTCTTTGCAATCATCTGATCCACTAGCAACTGCAATTTTTTTGAAGTTGAGAGTAAAGTCACACAAATTTGATTTTCATTAAGCAAATAGGGACAAAGATGTTTTTAAAAAGGGTATTAAGGAATGATTAAGGGGCTCCACCATAAACCCTAGATTCCGAATAACAAAAGGGGGAAAAAAGTGTACCTGGGTCGTCATCGATTTGATTTGACCCAGATCTTATAGTAGGAGCTGATTCAAGCATTTCTTCTTTCTTCTTTCTGTCGACGCCGAGAAGCATACTCCTTAACTTTCCCGGAGAAAATCCGCCGCCGCTAGTGACCTATCACAAACTCAATCGGAGAACAAAGAGAGAGTTTATATAAGGGAACTGGTGAAGTAAGAAGCTTAGTGAAGTGGAGACTTGTCAAATCACACAGAGATTTTGAAAATGACGTTTCGGACTCAAATCAACACGAAAAACGACGCAATCGGAACGAAATCAACAGAGGTAAAAAGCAGCTGTAAAGTCGAAGAAATCGGAAAACGCCAAATCTTGCTTTTCTATTTCCCTAATTCCATTTCCACGCAAAACCCTGTTTTGAGGAAAACGTGAATCCGAAGCATTTTCTCAGGAAAAATCGAAGTAAAGAGAGAGAGAGAGAAAATCTCACCTGGGTCTTTCCGATTCGCTCGTAGTCCATCTCGAGAGAGAGAAAGAGGGAATCTTTTCCTGGGTTTGCTTCACTTTTGCGTCTAGTCTACTCAAATCTCGAGGGAGAAGCTCAATCACCAACAAAATCCTAAAAAGATTGATGAAAAATGTGTAAGAAATAGAAAAAAAGAAGAAAAACAATATTCTAGTTTTTCAGAGCATTATTTGAATGGAAGAGTACAGTGATAAGAGCTTGGAAGCTTGCGAAAGTACAGAGACTGATAACACACTGTTGTTGTTTCTCAAAGCTTCTCTCTTTCTTTCTTTTTCGTCTTAGCTGACATCAAAATAAGGGACATTCACAGTGATGGAGCCTTTTAATTGAGCAAACCGTACTTTTTAGTCATCATCAAATTTATTTTAAATCTTGATGATCTCTTTATTGTCTCTACTTCATAATTTTTCACATTCAAAAATCACAATTAGTTGTTGATAAATAAGCCGGATTTGGATTTTTGGATTGAACTTTTTCCCAATATAAAACTATTTTTATAGTATTAGGATTTAGGCTTATGTCTAGAATTAGTATCTATATTTTTGTTTTCCAAATCAAATTCAAATTCTAAACATACTTAAGAGAAAAAAACGGTTTTGGTTATTGTACATGTTAACGCCAACACACAAAGGGAATATAATGTTATCTTTGGCATTTCTATTTACAATTTACAAAAAAAACTAAAAATGCAAATATATTTACAAAGGGTTAAGTTTTTGTTTATGTAAATGCAAACACATGTCATGTTTGTATTTATTAATTGCTTTTGAAAAACAAAATCCAATTTTATGAAGCCCAACAAATTAAAGGGGGCAAACATTTTTAAGCTTAGATTGATTGTAAGTAAATTTGTGTAGTTCTGTTTTTCAGGATTTGGGATAAAGTATTGACGGATGGGATAGGAATGAAAAATTTAGGAATATAAATATATTGTTTGAAATATTTCTTTATGATAATAGGACGGAAAATAATGGAAATAAGACAAAAGAAATGAAAAGTTTGAGATTAGGAATTATATACCCTAAATCTTACTAATAAACAGAGAAAAAATTATAGAGGTTTGAGAAAATATAGGAAAGTATAGAGAATTTCGGGTAAGTACGGAAAACATTCAAGAAATTTAAGAATATTTAAATAGGTAATTCGAGTACCTGTTTCTTTTTCGTAATCTCAAACAGGAAATGGTAAGAAAATTAAGATGGGTAAAAAAGAGAACGAGTTCCTCCTATTCCGAAATGCAGATAGCTAAATTCTTTTACTGATTTTTGATTTTTCCCATTCACTAGACATTAGGGATAAGTATACTATAATTTGGCACTATGATTAGAAAGAAACAAACGGTGGCCTGGCTTCCATAGGATGCTGTCTTTAAAGGCCCATAAGGCCATAACTATTTCACGGTCAAGGAAATGGGTTTCCATTTGACTAATGTTATATTACGACAGCTATTGTACTCGCCAATTCAACAGACCAATTACCTGTAAAGGTTGTATATTGATCTTATTTCTATACAATGGAGGAGGAAATGAGAATATAAGCTAGGGTATTACACAAATGCAGTAAATGAGAATATACAACATTCCATAGAGGGATCCATGAGTCAAGGAATCAAGGATATGATTGATGATATCCTTAATATTACCAAGTCCGAAATTAATCACTCGATTCCTTCAACTACAAATATACTGTCCTCTTCTCTCTTATTCCCGAGCCAAAATCCTTATTAATCTCCGAAATTCATAAAAACCATATATTAAAAATAAAACCATGATTTACTTGTAGATGGTGGAACTCGATATGTGAGAAAATCACGTACGTATGTGAGATAGTCGACTGTAAAAATAATAAGACCATGCTCATCATCAGGGTAGATCAGTGAAAATGTAAATTACCACCATTAACTGTCTTAATCACACTTACTTTGTTGTCGCTTTTCACTTGATTAATGCAAAATGTTTGAATTTGATGTCATTACATATCGCGTTTATCCCATCATCATATTTCGTGGATCAGCCAGCTTAGCTTTGCGCTTTATCTACACGTGCCACGTGGAGCAGCGTGTCAGTCAACATTCAACAACAACTTCAATCTCCACAAGGCGAATTACCGGCTATCACCGGTGCTCCCTCCTTCTTTTTAATTATTTTTAATATTTCTTTTATTCGTCAATCTCTTTCGTCTCCGACGTCGGCCGTTTCTTTTTGATTATTTTTATTTCCCCAAATTTTTATTTCCGGAAAATAACAAAAAAATAGAAAATCAAACCAAGAGAAGAAATAAAATGTGGTGATTCGAATCCATTTCTCCTTAGTGTTCAAAAAACAAAGATCGAGAGCTTTCTCCAGAAAGGAATCTGAATCGTTTCTCTCCATAGAATGAGAATCGGCGGCGTCGAGATGATGCAATTTGCGTCGGAGATGATGTCATCTTCGGCGGTGGAAGCGCTTGATCTCAAGGAGGCTTCGAATTGGTGGTCGGACGTAAATGCGTCGCCGATTTGGCAGGATCGTATCTTCCATGTCCTCGCTGTTCTCTACGGAATCGTTTCCGTCATCGCTGTGGTACGCCTTCTCGTTCTGGATTTTGAAATCATCGTTTTGGTAAAATCGGTGTAACATCTTCTGATTCGTTTGGATTATGATCATTCTGCATAGATTCAACTTGTGAGAATACAATTGAGAGTTCCAGAATATGGCTGGACGACGCAAAAGGTCTTCCACTTTCTCAATTTCGTGGTGAATGGAGGTTTGGTGATGCCGAATTATGATTCCGTGTGTTGTGTTGCTTGTTGATTGTTTCGCTGTGTTGATTGATTGTTTTACCTCGCAGTCCGTGCTGTGGTTTTTGTCTTCAGGAGAAATGTGCAGTTCATGCATCCAGAGGTCAGGAATCACCATCAATCAACATTGTAATCTTACTTTTTTTTGCCAGGTCTATGTCAAACCTTCTAAATTTGCAAATCTTTGCTGGTTATGTACCTTGTAGATTCTGCAACACATCTTGCTTGATATTCCGAGTCTTGCTTTCTTCACCACCTATGCTCTTTTGGTCCTCTTCTGGGCAGAAATTTACTATCAGGTAGCTTCTGATCAATACATATAGTTTGGTTTATTTGTTTTCTTGGTTATTTGGGTTTGACACCCTTTGATTGGACAGGCGCGTGCGGTATCCACTGATGGATTGAGGCCAGGATTCTTCACAATTAATGCTGTTGTATATGTAGTTCAGGTATTTGTGAATTTCAAAAAGTTTGAAGTTTATGTCTGTGGGGTCAATGGCCTTTACAATGGATTAACTCGTGTGTGTTTCTTCAGATTGCTCTCTGGTTGGTTTTGTGGTGGAAGCCTCTTCGAGTTATGGTAATCCTCTCTAAGATGTTCTTTGCAGGTACTTGCTTCAATTTTCACCCCAAGCATGGATACATCTCTCTTGCTATATACGTATCCATACTACTTGTCTCACCTCCCTTGTGAATATAATTGCAGGTGCTTCACTGTTTGCGGCCCTTGGATTTTTACTTTACGGTGGAAGGTACCAATTTCCAATCATTACCAGTCGATAAATTAAGTAGGAATTGCGTTGCCAAGAGTCACTAGGAGTGTAAATATTGGCCATCTTGCTTGCAGCCACAGTCACTTACATTCTTGTTCTCCTTTGATTCCTGGCTAGACTAGATTTGGGCTTGATTTATTGTCCTTAAACTTCTGGCAGGCTTTTCATAATGCTGCAACGGTTTCCAGTAGAATCTAAAGGGCGGCGCAAAAAGCTGCAAGAGGTATAAAACTTCAATAGCACAAAAAGTCTTGACTATTTTCGTCTTCTCGATTGTTTACCTCCCTTTCTCTCGTGTATGGGTATTGGTAGGTTGGTTACGTGACAACCATATGCTTTACGTGTTTCCTCATCAGATGTATCATGGTAAGGTTCACACACAATTACATTGTTAATGTTGATATCTATCTATATCGTTTTGGTTTATCTTCTCTAATATAGCCAGTTTCAAAATTAGCAACTAAGCAAAGCTTTTGTCATTTGATGTGGCTTAGATGTGCTTTGCTGCTTTCGATGAGGGAGCAAACCTTGACGTCTTAGATCATCCAATCCTTAACTTCATATATTACCTGGTAAACTCTCTCTCTCTCTTTAGCTTAACCATAGATTCTGATCATATGAATCTTAGCTAAACAAACAGCGCTTGAAAAAACCTGATCTTGTTTGGTTAATTACAGTTGGTAGAGATATTACCATCCTCGCTGGTCCTCTTCATTTTGAGAAAGCTACCACCAAAACGAGGCATCACACAATACCATCAGATTCGCTGAAGTGTAAAGAGACAGACAAAACAACTAATGTGAACAGATGAAGACGGGACAAAGTGTATGAAGATTGATCTCTAAAGCTGATCAGTCTTTTTGGTTTGGTGATGGGAATTAATTTTGCCTTAGTTTTGGAAAAACTGGGTCTTGTTCCCTTTATATAGGTAATGTTGTAAAGAAAAGGTTTTATTTTCAAAATGAAAAAACTGGTCAAAGTAATCGAAGTGTCTCTTTTGTGTCTTGATGATTCATTCAGCTAATCTTTCTTCTTAAGAAAATTAGGAATTTGAAGATGAAAAAATACTTTTCTGTTTTGGCGATGATGATTTTTTTTTTTTTTTGAGAATACCATTGAGAAAGATGTCTTTAAAGTTGAAGCAGTGATTGCAATACTGGACCGGCCGGTTGAACCGGTTTGACCGTGACCCGCATACCTGGGTTGGTCAACTACATAAAACCGGATTTTGAAAAACCCAAAAAACTCGTTTGTAAACCGGTCAAAACCGGTGAACCGGTTGAACCACAATAACCCGATTCACAAAATTTTGAAACTTTTTTAGTGTATTAAATTGTTTCTTTTGAGTTTCTTTAATCGATTTTGAGATATATATAGATATAAGGAAAAGAAATAAAAATAAAGAAAGCATATATTACAAAAATTCTGGAAATTGAGAATCAACACAACAAAACTTCTTGTTTCTCTTCAGATCTTGACACATCATCTTTTTTAGACTTCCTGATACTGATATATCAAAAAAACAACAACCAATCAGAACATTTTAAATAATCACAGCCTATTGGTTTACTTGCCACGATTTTAACCGGTTTTGATTTATTTCTTCGACTTGGACCGACCGGATTCAACCCCGTTTCTTCTCCGACGCCGTCCAATATCACCCTTCCATCTCCGATGGTTTTCCACAGGCTGAGGAATGATCTCCGTCAAGGAGCCTTCTTCAACACAATTCAAGACCAGAATCATAAAAGCAGGGAATCTGATATTGAGATGTAATTTTCGAGACTTTACCAGAGAAAGGTTTTCGTTTGAGGCAAGGGTCAAGCTGATTACACCAACGCAATCAGCAGGATTTACCAGAGCGACAAAGGATTCCACGAGCGATCAAACTCCAATTCCTCGGGCCCAGCTTATTCACAAGCTTCGTAAGCACCGCATCCTCCTCCGCCGCCGCTTGAATCTCCTCCGGCAACTAACTCGGTGAGCTCGGGTTCAATTGCGACGCTGCTGATTCCTTCATTGGAATCGGCAGATGGTAAAGGTAAAGGTAACGGCTCCGATTGATGAGTTTCTCCTCATTAAGGAATTCAAACAGAGAGAAAAATGTGATTCAACAGTAAAGAACAAGTAAGTGTAAGTGTAAAAAAGGATATCTTGAATGAACTCCGATGGTGAAGCGTTATGTGAGCTACGATATCAACTTCCACTTTTAAAGAGCAAACAGGGCATACCTGCAAAATAAGTTGATTCCAAGTCGATTGAATGCTACAATATCAGTCTGAGACTATCACAATGCAGCAAAACACATCGACAGAGAGAGAGAGCTATCCCGCGTTCTTTGACTCTAGATTATGTTCATCGTCTATGTGACAGCACAAGCCAATGATATCATATGATTCGGCACAGAATGGGAAAGCAAACTCCTCCTGGAAATCATCATCTCCATCTATTTGTAAAGATCATTAAAACTTCTGCAATTTTCATCTAAAATAGAGCATGGTATCAGTAAAGACATAGCATTCTCATCTAGCCAAAGAACAAGAATATGAAAGAAAAACAAAACTAGACTGCATGATGCAACCAGTGAATCATGATGTATCCTTCATATCAAAAATCTTAACCAAAATTCAATACAGAACAAGCCTAAAAAGATTTGTCTTTTACTTTATTTTCCTGTTTTCTTCTCAGCAGCAAAGAACCTCAAATAATTAACTTAACACGAAACAACTTAAAACCCAATAGTAAGAGATCATCTTTCTTCTACTACTACTGTATGTACATTATGGGGAAACTTATGAAGAATACTAAGGAAATTGGCATACCCTTCTCGGTAATTAATAGATAGGAAAACCAAAATTTTCAGTATAAATTTCAGATTTGTTCATTCAAGCAAAACATCTATTACATCTCCATAAGCACAACAAAGTCAAAAAAAAATTTACCTTCCGTAGCTAAAAGTATAGCTAGAATTAACTAGAAAAAGAGCTTTTCTTACATATGAATCTCACCATTCTCTCACTTTTACATCATCCCTACCAAAAACATTTGAAAATAAAATAAAAAATCTCATCGGCCAAGTAAGTTTCTCGATTAATTTTTTTAACTAAGATTGTTTTTCAAAGTTTCTCGATTAATTTTCCAAAACCAGTCTGATTTTAGATTAGGTCCTTAATTTATGATATCTCAACTAATTGTTTTCTTTGGTTTGTCTTAGTGCTCAGTGGAGAAATCCAGTCTCGGCCTCGGGTAATCAAAAGCTATAACGAAGGCTGAAGAAGTACTAAAGAAGGTACAATAAAGGGAAAGAAAGCCGTGTAAGAGGTATATAAGTTATACGAACTCTGGATTAATTTTTTAACTTGAATGGTTCGTGTCTATAAACGAAGAAAACTGAGGAAAGATTTGAGGTGCTTAATATTTTTGTCCACAAAATAATAACACCAAGGTGGTAACAAAAAAAAACATAACAACCAACAAAATACATTTCAATAAATTATAATTACATAAATAAACAAAATCAATTTCCCGCAGCGTAGCGCGGATCAATATCTAGTAAGAAACAAGAACGATGGCGGTGTTTAGGAGAAGATGTAAAAAAAGTTATTTTTTTAGGGCTTTGATTACGGGTGCTTTTAAAACAAAATATTTTTATCGTAAAACATGCAATAAGAAACTACATTGAATACACATATAATCAAAGATTTAATGCCATATATGTGTTACACTAATAAAACTACAATTAATGTTATAAACCCGGTTGAATCGGTTGGACCGGATTAATCCGTGATCCATACACTTATCCAGTTCATTTTCCGGTCCAGTTTTAAAATCATTGGTTTAAAGTTATAAATATTGCTATCCCCAAATTGTAGTACTAGTACAAAAACTCAAGACCACCAGACCAAAAATTCATGTCTAAACTTGTATCTCAAGATAGGATTTATACATTTCTCTCAAAGAGAAGATATGAAAACACCAAAAGCTTAATGCAACTGTAACATCTGCAAACCAAACAATTAAAAATTGATTTCCAGTTCAATTTAAATGATTTGGTTTGGGTCGGATTAGTGCGCTGATTAGAAAAACCCTAGGATTTAGGATTAAAAGGAAGAAGTCGTCGTTTTCCAGAGTTTGGCACAGAAACAGATCAGAAAAATTGCAGAGAAGAAAAGAGGAGTTTTTGGGCGATTATGAAGTTTTAGAGCTTGATTCGTCACAATTCATTGGATACTGTTCATTGAAACTGTTCATCGACAATGTTCATCGGATATTGTTTATCGACATTGTTCATCAGGTATTGTTTATCGTCGCGATTCGGCATTGTTCATCGTGTTTCCTATTTCCTTCAGTTTCAATCTATTGTCAAGGTGAGTGCATGACTGTGGATCCGCGATTTGCTAGATTCGGTTTGGTTTGTGGTTGTTCTTGATGAGTTTATGTGTTTGATTGTTATTTCGTGGTATTTTGATTGTTGATGTGGTGAATGGAGTGTTTCATGACTGACCGGTTCAATTGGAATTTAATTGCGGTTTAAATTGATTTGATTCTGATTAATTGGTTTCATTGAATTAAAATGGTTTCATTTAAGTTGGTTGATTTATTTTCGAATTTAATTAATTAATGGTTAATTTAATTAATTAATTGATTTAAAATAATTATATTAATTATGGAAAATTATGGAAAGTTATTATTTAATTGTTGAGAATTATTTAATAATTGAAAAATGAAATTTATTAATTATTGAATTTTTTTGATAATTATTTAAATTGCTAGTAATTGCGTAATTGACCTATATGCAGGGTGATTGTCTCACTAAATATTTTTTAAATAATATTTCTTACGCAACTCTATCACAATGTATTACATGTAAAAGGTTTATGTAAACGCGGAATCAAGGCTGAAGAGGAGATGATAAGAGTTTATTTATTTGCATTGTTTAAATTGTTAGCATCGCCACCCAAATAGTGGACCGCTAACTCCACCCAAATTGTTCGCAACCTAAACACCAAGTGCTAACAATTTAAACAATGCAAATAAATAAACTCATATCATCCCCTCTTCAGCCTTGATTTCGCGATCACATAAATCTTTTACCTGCAACACATTGCGATAGAGTTGCGTAAGTATTTGAGAAATACTTAGTGTGACAATCACCCTGCCTACGGGCCAATTACGCCATTACTAGCCATTTAAATAATTATTAACAACTCCAATAATTAAAAATTCCATTTCCCAATTATTAAATAATTCTCAATAATTAAATAATATTTTTCTATAATTAAAATAATTAAAATATTTTTTAATTTAATTAATTAAATTAACTATCAATTAATTAAATTCTAAATTAAATCAACCAAATTAAATCAAACCATTTTAATTCAATTAAATCAATTAACCATAATGAAATCAATCTAAACCGCAATTAAATTCCAATCAAACCGGTGTGTCATAAAACACTCGATTCACCACAGCAACAACCAAAATACCACGAAATAACAATCAAACATATAAACTCAAGAACAACCACAAACCAAACCGAATCTAGCAAATCGCGGACCCACAGTCATGCACTCACTTTGACAATGGATTGAAACTAAAGAAATAGGAAACATGATGAACAATACCTGATGAACAGTATCAATGAACAGTGTTGATGAATAGTATCCGATGAACAGTGTCGATGAACAATATCCGATGAATAGTGACGAATCAAGCTTTAAAACTTCAGAATCGCCCAAAAACTCTTCTCTTTTCTTCTCTGCAATTTTTCTAATCTGTTTATGTGCCAAATTCTGGAATGACGGCTCCTTCCTTTTAACCTTGAACTCTAGGGTTTTCTTTAACCATCACACTAAATCGGTCTAAACCAAATCACTTAAATTGAACCGAAAATCAATTTTTAATTGTTTACAGATATTACAGCAACAATGGTTAATCAATACTCCCTCCTTTTCAAATTAATTGTCGTTTTGGGAAAATGTATCTGCAATTATTTGGATGTATCGGCAATGTAAAACACGTCCATATACGTCCAAATATTTGCAGATACATTTTGCCAAAACGACAACTAATTTGAAACGGATGGAGTAGCAGTTAAGGCCCATAAAACCAAATAAGCATACAAGAGAAATTCTGGAAGAGAAAACAACAAGAAAAGAGTATAAAACTAAAGTTTATACTATAGTTTTGGTTTGGTAATGCGAAACAATTATTATTAGATCTTGACAGATCTTGGTGGTTTGCCACTAGTGATTCAATCATGCAAAACTGCAAAGCTTATCTCTGAGTGGGAAGAGCTTCATTTTCGTAGATGGTCCAATATTATTACTGTCACCTTTATGGAATGTTTTTCTAAGAGCAATAAAAAAGTTGTTGACAGTGGGATTTGAACCCACGCCCTTTCGGACCAGAACCTTAATCTGGCGCCTTAGACCAACTCGGCCATATCAACTTGTTTGAACCTTGTATTTTACGATATTTTAATTACTGTAATCCATAGTTTTGGACTTTTGAGTGATGGAAATTAAATCAAGTTCTGGTTTATTATTTCTTCGCTCATGAGGTAATGAAGCCTACCAGCAAAATATCAAACCAACAGAAAATGAAAGGAAGACACTGAATTAATCAAAATTTGAATGCTTCTACTATAACCGCATTATCATGAAAAACGATAGTGATAGATAGATGTATATGCATTAATGCATTATGAGTTTTAGTGCTCTTTTTCTTTCTTGTGCTTTATTTGTCATAGTTTTGGAAGTTTTCATGTAATGTTGAAAAGAACCAGAAGTGGACATCTAGACTACACTTTTTAAAAATTTAGAGAAATATAGGAAGAGTCTTAATATTTTTCGTGCTCTTCGGATACTGGAATATGCTAAATCATTTTCAAACTTTTCCTGCGAAGCAAAGTGTTACATTTGACCGTACAAAGTCAAGTTCTTTGAATGCGTTTTGGTCCAGTGAGTTGAACAATATTTTTCACACCCATTTTTTGAAATGGTTTCTTAATGAACATTGACTATCGAATCGCCAAAAGACATTCTTTTGTTGAAATCCAAAAAGAATTTAGCTGGCGAATCTAACAATTAAAAAAATAATCAACCAAATATCTCCGAAATCCATAAAGCAAATCATACAGAAAAATATTCATATAAAATATCAGATTTTTTTATTCTGTGTTTGCTTACTCAAAATGCTTGAGTCACAACTTTGTTCAAGAACTAAACAGTTTTCAGTTCTCTCACACACAGTATGTTTTTCATTCTCGTATCTTCAATATCTGAATCTGAATAATAACAAATGGAAATTAAAATTTAAAAATAACGAAGAAACAAATTATTCTCTGGAAACTATGTACATTGTTTGTTGTATCACTTCTAACAAAATGTATCACTGTATCTCTGAAGATTAAACCTGCAAGAGAGATTGTTTTGTCCCATCTTCTTCTAGACATCATCAAGCCAAGAGACTAACTGTTGAGTCATTGGTCTCTGTTTCGGATTCTCACTCAAACACAAACAAGCAACCTCAAGAACCCTAAGCATCTCTTTCTCATTCTCTTTCCCATGAATCAACGGATCAAAAACCTCACTCGCACGATTCTCACCCTTCATCCTCACCACCCACGAGATCAAATCCCTACCTCCCTTTGGCTTACACATATCCACAGGCCTCTTATCCGTCAAAAGCTCCAAAAGCACAACGCCAAAGCTATACACATCTCCTTTGAAAGTAGCAACCGAAGCCTGACCATACTCCGGAGGAATGTAACCCAAAGTCCCAACCAAATCAGTGCTCACATGGGTCTCGTAAGGACTCAACAGCCTCGCGAGCCCGAAATCCGCCAAATGCGAATCAAAATTCTCATCAAGAAGTATATTACTCGACTTAATATCTCTATGCAAGATATGTGGATCACAAGCTTGATGCAAGTAAAGCAACCCTCTCGCTGCGCCTCTAGCGATCTTAAGCCGAGTCTTCCAATCCAGTAAAGCCGGTCCGTCGTTACGCTCGTGTAGCCAGTAGTCTAAGCTTCCGTTCTCCATATACGAATAGATCAAAAGCCGGTCCGTTCTGTAGAAACAGAACCCTTGAAGCAGAACAAGATTCGGATGCTGCGCTCTCGATAGCGTCTCGACCTCAGCTTTGAACTCTCTCTCGATCTGACCGCAGTCGCCGGATAACCGCTTGATCGCGACTTTCCTCCCGTCCGGTAACATCGCCTTGTAAACCAGGCCGAACCCGCCGCAGCCGATGATGTTGGCTTGGTCGAAATTGTTCGTCGAGTCCATAAGATCGTCAAAGGAGAGATCTTTATCATTGTTCTGAAACAGAACCACAAGCTTCGACCCAATCTCCTCGAGCTCTTTCCGGTTCATGCTCTCTTCTTCAATCTCCGGATCAACTTCCCCTGACCGTCTTCGAGCTCGCAGCACGATCACCGCGAGAAGCGTCAGGAGGAAAACAGAGCCGAACGCGATCCCAATCGCCATCCCAATCTCGCCTCCTCTGCTTCTTCTCGACCGTTTTGTTCCTTGTTCGTAGCTACGATCCAACGCTTCTCCGGAACAGGGGAACCTATGTTCGCCGCAAAGGTCGTTACTTTCGAAGCTCGAGTTCGGAAACGTCTGAAACTGACCGCCGGAAGGGATTCTCCCGGTGAGACTGTTGCTCGCAACGCTGAATTTCGACAGAAACGTTAGCTTCTGGAGAGAAACCGGGATCGAACCGGAGAGACGGTTATTGGAGAGATCAAGAACCTCCAAGCTCGTCATACCGGAAAGCGAGCTCGGGATCGAACCGGATAACTCGTTCCATTTCAGATCAAACACATGAAGCTTCTTCAGATTACCAAACTCCTCCCAAATAGGTCCAGAGAGGTTGTTGTGGCCGAGCTCGATCGTCGGCGGGAAACCGAATATCTGATTGTACTGCAGAGCTCTCGCGCTCTCGTTCCTCTTCATGAAGAACGGAAAATCCGGCGACGGTTCGTCGAACGAGATGTTCCGGGTAGTGAGGCTCTGCAACTGCGTCAAGCTCTTCGGGATTTCTCCGGTGAAAGAGTTGTTAGACAAATCCAAGTAGAACAGATCCTTGAATCCACCGATCCAGCTCGGTATAGCTCCGGTTAACCGGTTCCAAGAAAGATCCAGCAATTGAAGCTCATCGCTCGATCTTAACCATCTCGGTAACGAACCGGTAAGCCTGCAATTGGCAACGACGAGGACCTTAAGCTTCTCGAAACGAAGAGGACTCTCATCATCAGGTAAAGCCTCTCCGTGGAAATTCAACGTGAGAACGAGAGTCGTCAAGTTCCTGCAATTCTGGAGGATCCTGAGAGCGGAGGAGATGTTAACCAAGCTCGAATTGGATAAGGAGAAGTAAGAGAGGCTCTGGAAGTTCTTGAAGCTCTCTGGGACTTGTCCGCGGAAGGCGTTTCGCGCGAGGTTAACGTTCTTTAACCGCTTGCAAACCGGGAGATTCTCCGGTAACGAGCCGTTGAATTTGTTAGTTCCCAAATCGAGAGAGTTTAAACCGATCATCGCCGTGCAATTCAATTGCAGAGGACCGGTTAACGAATTGTTCCTCAGGTTGAGCAGATTCAAGGTAGGCGAATTCGCGAGCGATTTAGGGATTCCTCCGGTGAATCTGTTGGTCTGAGCTAAGAGAAAGTTAAGCCGAGGCAAACCGTCGAACACGTCGGGGATTTCGCCGAAGAATCGGTTCCAGGAAACATCGAGACGGACGAGGCTGGTGAGGTTGCGAATCGAAGGGCTCAACGGCCCAGAGAGACGATTCTCTTGGATCCCTAAAAGGTTCAGACTTTTGAGATGGAACAAATCCGCAGGGATGTTGCCGGTGAGATTGTTCATGCCCAGACAGAGATGCTCGAGGGAAACGCATTTCCCGAACCCGGAAGGGAAATCTCCGGCGAAGAAGTTCACCGCGAGTTTCACGAGTTTGATTTGAGTCGAGTTGTGGCAGATGTGAGACGGAAGCGAGCCGTTGAGCTTGTTGGATGAAAGATCGAGACTTTGCAGCGAAGGAAGGTTTATGCTGTTTGGGATTTCGCCGGAGAGATCGTTGAAGCCCAAATCAAGGGTTTGTAGATTCGCCAATGCGAAAATCGAGAGAGGGATCGAGTCTCTGATGAAGTTACGAGAGAGATTGAGAATTTGTATCTGATCCAGCTTACCTAGAGAATCAGAGAGTGTTCCCGACAGCTTTGATTTCGCGAGCTCGAGTTTAGTGACTCTCCTGGTTCTGTCTGGATCGGTGGAGGAGGAGTTGCAGGTGATTCCGGTCCAATTGCAGCAATCTGCGGCGCCGTCGTTGACCCAGTCGTCTGGTTTCGGGTCGAGGTTGGCTATGAAGTCACGCAGGGCCTCGAGGTCACGTGGGTTGCACGTGAGGGTCTGAGATTCCGAGGCCCAGAAGCATAGTAGCTCTGTGAGGAAGATGACGATCACCCACAAGTGGTGATGATGAATACGCATTTCAAGAAGAGAAGAATTAAAAGAAAAAAGAAGAAACTTTGAGATATTTTGCAGAGAGAAGAAGAAGAAGAAGTGTACTTGATAATCAAAATTCAGCAAAACCCTTGGGAAATCTGAGAGAGTACAACATGGGTTTTCTGATTCTCGCCATTTAGATGACGATCAATGAAGAAGGTTCAAGAGAGAGAGAGAGAGAGAGAGAGAGAAAATGGCGACTTTTGACTTCAACACGCTACAGCAAGTGGTGGGGGCTTAAGTGCAGGCTCCTAGAGAGAGAATCAGGAGAGAGAGAGAGTGGTGGAGTTGTGTTTGGTTTTTTTCCTCTCTGTGTTACAGAAAACAGTGAGTTTACAAAAATAAATATTAAATAAACAAACGAATGTGTTATATATTGAACGTCATAAAACAGTAATTTAACAATGATGAATATTTGTTGATTTTAATACTGTCTTAACGTAAATACTCGTTATGGAAATTCAATCTTTTTTATTCAAGTCCCATTATAGAAGTTTATTTTTTCTCTCAATTATCATGGAGGTCGTTTTTATGAAGTCCTAATCAATATTGACTTGCTAAAGTCTAAACTCTATTTTTTTCTAAATCTTGCTTTGAATAATAGGTGCTCTAGCTTTGGCCTTCAACGGATGAAAATTTGGACGATTAATGAATAATGAAAATGATGTAACTCAGAAAAATAAATGAAAATAACAAAAGACAGAAGTGAATATTATTATACAAATGGTTAAGTACTGTTCCTTCGTTTTATATTAGTTGTCATTTAAAAAAAAATTATATGCAATGCATCTAAATGTATTAAATTCAAAATATATCTAGATACATCTAAATACATTTAGATAACTTGTATTTAGATAACTAATATAAAATGGAGGGAGTATGAGTTTTTTTAAAAGTCTTATAAAAATATCAAATGAGTGAATAATTTTTTTTTTAAAAATGTTCCTTTAAAAAAAATTGCGTTTATTTTGAAAATGTAAATTATTCTCTTAAAGATGTTCTTTTGTTAATAATAATTAAAAACGACTGGAGAAGGAGGGCGTAACCGGTTAGGTCAGCTTGAGGAATAAAGATGAGGACAAGAGAAAGAGAGAAGTCAAAGCACGGACGTTGACACCTTGCATCTCTCTTCGCAACTATAATTTTGTTTTTTCAATTAACCAGTTCTTTATATATTGCAACTTGATACCAATGAATGAAAGTAGACCTACAAGATATTCTTAAATTTCCGATAAAAGCTTCGGCAAAAATCTAGATTTTTTTCTGCGAAACATGATACTCCAAAGAGAGAAAGTTCTCGACATAATTTTTGTTTGTTGGTTAATTTGTCGCTCTCTCGCACACTGATCAATTTATTTGGGTTGCCATATGTTACAATTCCAATAAAATCCTTACTATAAAACACCATTAATTACAAAAGTATAGTAGATTTTTATACATATTTGCACTTCTCCATTAAAATGTAATCACTTTTTTTTTTTTGCTAAATATATATATTTGTCACTTTAATATATTTTTCTTTTGAAATACCGACAAATTTAAGATACATTTCAATATTTTTATATGTAACACTACTTTAAAGTGTAAATATTTGTCGTGAGAATCTGTCATTAATTACTATTTAAATTATATAAGATTAGAAAAGAGAACGAAAACAAACTAATTACGTCTAACAGCTCGAAAAAATGGATTTTCTTATAAATATACTTCTATACATATATGCACTTTCCATTAAAATGTAATAACTTATTTATTTGTTGCTATAAAAATTATATTTATTGGTTTATTTTTTTTTCTTTTGCAATACCGACAAATTTAGAATATTTCAATATTTTCATATGTAACGCTAATTTAAAGTATAAATATTTTATATTTGTCATGAGAATCCATCATTAGTTACTATTTAAATTATATAAAATTCAAAAAGAGAATGAAAACAAAGAAACTACGTATAACGGCTCAAAAAATGGATTCTCTTATAATTATACTTTATACATATATGCACTTTTCCATTAAAAAGTATTTTCTTTTTGTTGCTAAAACATTATATTTGTTAGTTTAATATTTTTTTTTACAATACAGACAAATTTAGGATACGCTTCAATATTTTTATATGTAATGCTAACTTAAAGTGTAAATATTTGTCGTGACATTAATTATTATTTAAATTTTACAAGATAAAACAACAAATTATCTAACGGCTCGAAAAATGGATTCTCTTATAAATATTTATGCGTTACAATTTGGTTTATGAAAGAATAAATAAATCAATATATATTAAATTTTGTTGTACTGTTTTGAGAAAAACAAAAAGGAGAATAGGAAACAAGTTCTCATTTTGACACAATAAAAGCGAAGAGTCACACTTTTTGAACCTGTTTACACAACTTTCTTTAATGTTTTACTTGATTCATAAGTAAATGAAGACAATATAGGTGGAGGGCCGGGTGAAATGAACATAGACATGAAAGACTATATTGCTTAATAAATTAATTAGCCTACATTCAAAGTTGGTTTACCATATAAGAAATTACTAATAAATAATTCTAGTGTGTGCATGATCTTTCATAAAGAGATTAAATATTGTTTTACGTAGAAAGTTAAGATACGATTCTACGTTAACAATAAACAAATTGAAGTCGATATCTATAATGAAGGAGACAGTCAAAGCATGTGACATCGACTATTCAACTCTATAACTATTCCTCCATGCCATGTGGGTCGTAATGCCTTTGATATTATCGTTTTCGTTAGGACTTCTATCTTGTTTAAAAAAAAGTTTATTGGTTCTAAATTTCTATTGTAGATTTTGATAAAATACTAAGTTTGATTCGTTAGAACTTAGAAGAGAAGAAAATCCCTTTCATGAGAGACTTTCTATCTTGTATTATTAGTGTCAAGTCTTATAAATTATTGATTATATATACGTCTATTGCAGCTTTCTCTCACTGTCATTTTATTAAGAATATGCATTATGAAAGTTTGAGTTCGGATGATGATTGAATTCAGATACATGACAAAACTAACTTATAGTACGTCATATAGTCACACAATCTCTCACAGCTCAACATTCAAGATTGTCTTCGTAATGACTAACTTAACCCACAATTGATTTTATAAAGGCCTTTGAAGTTACAGATTAGATACCTAGAGCCCATTAATGTTTCTATTTGGTTCCGGTTGTTACAATCCTCTGGTTTTCATATGTTTTGAGAAAATTTGATTTTTTGGTTCGGTTTGACAAAAGTTCGATTGATATTTTCGACAAAAGAAAACTCAATGGTCATAGCTTCTGTCATATAATATCAAGTGCTTGCCATTCAAACATTGCTACACAAGAGACACAATTCTCAACATTTTGACTCTTCATATTGAAACCTTGAAACTGTAAACAAACTCGAGACATTGGAAGCAGTAACAGTAACAGTAACATTTAGCTTTAAACTCTGTTCATACTTCAAATAACACACAATTTTGACCCCCAGATGTTCATTTCGTAACCCTAATCTCTCCTTCTTTCACAGGCCTGAACTCAATCCCCTGAATAACCAAACCACTCTTCCAATGTCCCATCTTAGTCTCCATCAAAGCAATCTCAATCTCATCACCATCATCACAACCCACATCGCTCATGTAAATCTTCCCAAGCTCAACTTCACTCCACCCATCTCCTCTCTCCTTCGGCTCCTCCACACTCCTACCAACCCCACTCTCAGCCGACTCACCTTCTTCCTCCCTCGGAAACCGCATCCACGGACGCCCCGTCCTAAACGCTCTAGAAACCGCTCCGTGCGAAACTCCAGAGTAACGATAACCGCCGCGCGGATCCGTACCTCCGGCTTCCAGAAACACAAACTTCTTGGTAGCTTCTTTCCCTACAAACCCAATTTCAGCTTCCACAGGTGTGTGATCAAACCCGTGTGATCTATGGCTTGCTCTCTTGAACACCGCGTACACCGAGTAATGCGTTCCTTTCGATAGCATTCTGCTGCTTATCTTGCCACGTATCTCGAACCAACACACGTTATGAAGCTCTGCTACTTTCTCAAACCTAAGAGAAGAAGATCATGTAAATTCCAATTGCACAATCTCCGAAACAGAGCAATTAACGAAGCAAAGGAGAAGAGAACATACTTAGACTCAGGAACTGTGATCCATTGCCAATAAGCAGGAGAATCTCCCCAAATGATCGTTAAATCCATCGCTGATAACATGTAACACTTCTTTCCACTAGATTTCTCCAACCAAAAGCTCTGTTTTTTTTTTTCCATTGACAGGCAAAAATCAGAAAATTTGGAATCTCAAATGGTAAAATGAAACCCTAGATTTCTGTAACACTTCTTCCCACTAAATTTCTCCAAGCCAAAGCTCTGTTTTTTTTTCATTGACAGAGAGAAAAATCAGAAAATTGGAATCTCAAATTGTAAAACGAAACCCTAATTTTCACATTCCGGAATCGGATTCGATTAGATTTTTTTACCTTTTTGCCGTCATCGATCAAAACGGAATCGTCAGCGAGAGACATGTAAATCGCTTTTTTCGACGGTAGATTCAGCGATCGAGGAGCAAGAGACGACGAATGCTCCGGCGGAAGAAACGTCTCCCAGACCAAATCCGATTGAGCCGCCGATTTAACAGTTTTCGAAACCGAAGCCACGACACACGCATCGCGCGGACTAGTGTGAGAAATCACCATCGAGATACAATCTTCCGGCAAAGTATCGAATCGAGAAACAATCTCATCCTTCCGGCCATTTCCTCCGCCGGAGTTTGAATCGCCGACTTGAATTTGATCCATAGCTTTCGAATCTAATTTAAGAATCTTAAAATTTTGGAATCTGATGTGTTTTTTCAACTTGAGAAACGAGTGTTGTTGTGTTGTGTGTCGTGAAGCGTGGAAACGAGTCAGATATTTATAATCCGTTTCGTGATTCGTGTAAGTAAGACTTACAGGTTAAGATTTTAATGTCGATTTCCCGATATTACCCTTATAAGCGTAACGTCTTTGGAAAAATATCAAAAGTTTTTTTTTTCTTTTCTAAAAAAAATAAAAAATTTGGCCTTTATGATCTAATCAGCCAAAGCAACCAACTTTTGTTACGTGTTTACCTTACCTATGAAGTCTTTGTAACGAACGAGACACATATATTAAATAAATTATACTATTCAGAAAGTCAATACTTTATTTTTTCCATAAATTTGATGATGCTTTTGTTATGATCACTGATCAGATCATGTATAGATAAATTTAGTCATTTTGTTATTCTATCTCTCTGATTTTTCTAGGCTAAGTAAAGTCTACAAAGCATTGTAGATGATAAAGAAAAATAAGTGCACTTTGTAGATGATAAAGAAAAATAAGTGCACTTATAGACTTATAGTTGATTACTTTGGATCGCTTAAAATAGTTAAATATCATATACTTTGCAAGCTTTAGAGATTAGTTTAGCTTTGCAAATGTAGGTTTAGAGATCAGAGAACAAAAACACACAAAACTAAAAAAAAAAAACAATTTCACAAAACATTACAATCCCAAAAACATAAAAAGATTCATGTTACAACAACACAAACAAAGCTTTTGACTTGCTTAAACATAAAACTGAAAGCACATTAGCACACAAACACATATAAAAGCGAAACCATCGAACCAAAGATTATGTATAAAGTTTTACTGATTCTTCGTTGGACGAAATTCAAACCCTTGAATGATCAAACCACGTTTCCAATAAGGAGACTTGATCTCAACAACACTCACCGAAGTATCATCACAACATGCTTCATTGTAGAACTCACCAAGCTCAGCTTCCATCCACCCATCTCGTCTCTCCTCAGGTCTCGTCACATCTCTCCTTTCTCTATCTCTCCTTCGATCCATAGGCCCAACAAAGTAAATCAGCTTCTGAGAAGACTCTTGCCCCACCAATCCAACGCCAACTTCAACCGGTATATCACCTAAACCGGGACATCCGTTCTTGGTCTTGAACACAATGTAGACCGAGTAACGAGTTTTGGGAGATAGGTAACGTGTATGCAACCCGGCTCGAACCTCAAACCAACACACATTCAGAAGCTCTGCTATTTTCTCAAACCTACATTATCTCAACATTTTTTTTTTAATCCATCACCATAATAAAAATCAGAATGAATTATTACAATCTTGAAAAAAAAAAGATTTACCTTGATTCAGGAATTGTAATCCATTGCCAATATTGTGGACTACTTCCCCATGTGATCCACACTTCTTTCGAAGACACCATTATACATTTTTTTCCACTTGCTTTCTCTAACCAAAAGCTCTTTGATTTTTAGAGGAAAAAAGGTAAAGAAAACAATCAGAAATATTGACTTCATCTTCAAAATTATATTTACAAATAATTTTCCAATACAAGTCGATGATTCTACACACGAATTAAAACCAGATTGAGTCATACACATATTTGATTTCCATAATTCTCTAAATAAAACTCGATGATTATAAATTTTAAGCACTAAATATAATTAGATCCCGAGGCATATCGTTATTCTCTAATGGAAATGGATAGATGAAATTACCTTTTTACCATCTTCGATGAGACGAGGATCATCGCAGAGGAAGATATAAAGCTCCTTCTTCGATGAGAAAACTCGAGATTGAGGAATCAGAGACGCATAGTCAAGCGGAAGAAACTTCTCCCACACGCAATCGTTATTAACCGCCGATTCAAATGTTTTCGAGACGGAAGCTGCGACGCACGCGTCTCGTGGACTCGTGAAGGAGATTATGTTGGAGATGCAATCTTCCGGCAATGAATCGAACGGCGACGGACCGGAGATGATCTCTCCTCCGCCACGGCCACCGCCTCTGGCTTCGACTCTTGATTCAACGCCATGTTTTTGTCCCATTGTTGTTGCCTCCAGATTCATCTGTATCTCAATGATTTTGCTTGGGAAGGTTTTTGAGAGAGAAACCAAATTAAAGACTCTTTAAACTCGTGAGTTTGTTCTGACCACTTCTTAAAGTCGCCTCTGTTGTAATAGAATTAGAAAATGACTTGTGTATAGTCGTCCCCACAAATTTACGAAACTACCCTTATTTGACATGAATACCGCGTATTGTCCGTTTCCCTTCACGCTGCATGTTTAAAAAATTAAATCTTGAGTTTGAGCAAGCAAATCTATATATTATAGCAAACCCACTTTTTGTGTCTGCTGATGTCATCATTTTGTGTAGGAAAAGAAAGTCTAACCCAACGGTTGATATTGTTTTGATTATGTCATCTAATGGAGAAGATTATTATAGGTTTTGGAGAAATTAAAGTTGTTTGTGAATGTGTGAAGATGAGAATAGAAGTACAGGTACCCCTCGACATAGGCTTCAAAAGTCGTTGCCGAGTCTTTTGTAACCTGACACATCACTACAACGTTAATTAGTCCTTAACTTACATCACTTTCCCCAGGAAAAGCTTCTGGAACACAAATGATTCCCCTCGTTTCTCAAGAGCCATTAGAAGCATGTTACAATTGAAGCATCATCTCCCTATGTTCCTAAAGTGTGAGATAGGAAACGGTAAAGAGGCTTCTTTCTGGTGGGTTTCTTGGACAGATTTGGGTCCTTTAAGGGATTTCATTGGGCATAGAGGACCGCGAATGCTGCGTCTAAGTCTGGAGGCTAGAGTGTCTGAAGCGGTGAGAAATGGAGACTGGTTTCTACCAAATGCGAGATCGGAGGAGGTTCAAGAGCTGCAGATAAAACTCACGGCTTTGACACCTCCGGGTCCAGATCGTGGGGAAGACAAATATTTATGGCGAACTCCAGCAGGGACTTACGGAAATAGCTTCTCTTCTAAGGGGACTTGGGAGCAGTTAAGAAACCCGTCGCCGCAGCTAGGTTGGACCAAGCTGGTGTGGTTCAAGGAGGCTGTCCCGAGAGCCTCTTTTATCCTTTGGTTGGTCTGTTTGGAACAAGAGACCGTTTACTCCAATGGGGTATGTCGGTGTCTGATCTCTGCCCGCTTTGCTTGGCAGCTCCGGAGACGCACCCACATCTTTTCTTTGACTGTGGGTATTCGAATGCCCTGTGGATGGCGTTTGCATCAAAGATCTGTGGGACTAGCACACCCACGAACATAGCAGACCTCTTGAGCCACCTACAGACGCCTGTAGCTGCGGCTCAAAGGAACAAATGCATCATTTTGAGACTCTTCCTCCAAGTCATTGTTTATGCTCTGTGGCGAGAGCGAAATGCTCGGATTTTTACCTCAACGGCAACTCAGCTTCAAGGGTTGAAAACCACTGTAGACCGTACTATGCGGGACCGTCTACTTTCTTTTCCTTCACGGGACTCCACTCCATCTCTCCTAGAATTGTATTTTGGTTGTATTTCGCATCCGTTGTAATTCCGTTTCTTTTGTCGCATTAGGTAAGTAGGTAAGCAAGGGTAAGTTCCCCTTTGTAAATTGTAGTATTCAGCTTTTGGTAATAAAATCTTAACATTAAAACAAACAAAAAAAAACTTACATGGCTCTAAAACTCGATGTGTAGTGGGGAGAAATTTGTTTTGATGGCATTGTTTCGCAATCATGTTTGATTCATTGTTTTTTTTTTTTTTTGGAAAATAGATGTTTGATTCATTGTTTCCCGTTTACTTTGGGTTTGGTATTGTATTCGGCTATCGGATAAAAAGGATTGTATATAATTATGACCTTTTGCAGAAACAACTTGCTAACACAAAAAAGGATTAGGTTGGCTGTGGTTTTTCCCATCCATTTTCGTTTACTGGAGAATATTTATTTTTTCTTTGTATATTTTCCGAAGAAATTTTGATGTAGCTTTTTTTTTTCACAGAAAAAAAGAATCTAACGATTCCTATTTACTACTCTTTAATGGATAAATATTATCTGGGAGAAAAAAAAGGTGAATCGACATTTGTAGAGAAGCACCTTCAACAGATGCTTTATGTCCTTAGATTTTAAACTGCTTATGGCTTAATAGTTCTCTCATCTTACATATCTCTTGTCCATGCATCTGAAAATTTGCATCGCTGGCAACCATTTTTGAAGCCATTAAAATGACTTTGACGAAGACACACAAAATCAAGGTAACAGAAAAAAAAAATAAATTCCAATCAAAAACACAACCACTGGAATTGGTAGGGATCCTAAATTCAAATCCTAAATCACTTTAAACTGGTACTAGGCAGCTGAGATCAAACATTATATAATTGTTTTTCACATTTATACTAATGCAACTTGGAGAAAATAAGTGCACTTTTTGAGTTATCATTTCACAAAGTAAGTTTACACTCTTGCCCTTTTTTTCACTTACCCTCTTTCTGTAATTCATTTTCACATTCACCCCACAATTATTACATTCATCTCTTTTCGACAAACACGCCGGTCACCTCTTTTTCCGCCGGTGACCTATTTTCCGCTCCCGAAGCCTCGGTGCTGTTTCTCACTTCGACTTCTGGTGACTTTTCCGCCGGTGACAAACACTCTACTTCCGTTGCTGATTCTCGCTTCCAGTCTCACGCGAAGCTACTCTTGTTGCTGTTCTTCACTCAGATTTCGATTTCGATTTCGCTTTTCTCCTCACCAATATGGAAGGTATGTCACTCATAAATCACCAATCACAGATTTAGTCGCCGCCGAAGCCTCGGTGCTGTTTCTCTCTTCCACTCTCACGGGGGCGACTAAATCTGTGTTTCGGCGATTCGTCTCTGAATTCCAACGTAATCAACTGGTTTTAAAACTCTTTAAGGTTCGCTTTCGTTTTTTCTCTTATGCCAGATTCACTTTACTCCAAAAGCCACTGTTTTTTTAATGCCGTTAGTTTTCTCGATTTGGTTAAAGCATGTTTAATTGGACTTGATTGCTGAATCTATTCATCGCTAAGCTCTTCTTTTTTAATCTCGTTTTGCTTCTCCGTTTGTTTTCTTTCATCTTGTTGTGGAGCAGATTTGTTGCAATGAAGGAAGAGCCTGTGTCCGGGTTGATTGGCTGCGGGGAGCTCTCCGGTGGCCGGAGCGGTTCGGTTTGGCAATCTCCGGTTAAGCGGATGACTTTAGACGATGCGTGTGGTGACAGGAGTAGGACTAGCTGTAAGAGAATCAAAACGACTCAGGTCAATGGTTGTATTGTTTACACCAGAACTAAGAAGACTAAATTCACCAAGCTTAATGAAGGAGATGAAAATGCTGGTTTTTCGGAAACTAGATTCTCAGATCGACCAACTATTGGCGTCACAGTTTCTCAATTTGTCAGGTTTTATATCTCAAAATTGTCAAAAACTCGGGAATTCTGTGTTTTTTTTTTTGTTAATTTAATCGATTCAGATTTTTTTGGTTTGTATTTCTTTTAGCTGTTTACCTTTGATTTGGCTCCATGGATGCGTAATCTTTGTTATTGTTTTAGTTGGATATTTATGTATGTTTCAAGGACATTTGAGATTAGCTATGTGTTCAATTGAATCTGCTTGTTTGAGACTACTTTATGTATTTGGTGGTAAGGACTAAGGACTTAGTTACATTATTTGGTGTTAAGGACTAAATACTTGGTGTATTTGGTATACCTGAATTAATTTCCTGCTAATTTCAGTTATCTTCTCCTCTGAGTAAAACACGTATTTGGTTGGATACTAGTGCGTGGATTTATGTCGGATTTATAGTTTGCCAGTTGTGGACTCTTTTACTCAATTTTACTTCACATATTTTGACTGTCTATTAGACAGATATTGTTCTTAATTCGGATCATAGGCTTTACATTATGTATTCATGGATACTTTACAACGCAATTGGATGCTTTTACTATATCTACTTGGACTGTTTCTTCGTAGATACTTTCAAAACACACTTGGATGCTTACCTTGACTCATGTTTTTTTTTTTTTTTTTTTTTTTTTGCGATCTTTAAAACCCTGCTTTGGTCTCTGCATATTTTTTTTACTGTGGATGATCTTATTGGACGGATACAGATTGGATTCTTTACTCGTGGATGCTTTTATATTGCACCTTTTGTGATACAGATTGGATGCTCTACTCGTGGATGCTTTTATATTGCACCTTTTGTGACACCTGCTCTTGAGTGTTGATGATATTGATATGGAACAGTTTGATCATTTCTTCTTGATGAGTTTTTGGATTCGCTTTTCTGTGTTTTTCTATTTAGTTTCAGCCTCTTTCAGTTTGGGAATCTGCTTCATCGAACCCACAAAAAATCTGCTTCAGTTAATGTTTGCAATAGTTCCCTCATGGTCTCTGATTCCCAATATGTGTAGTTCCCTCATGAACTCTGATTTTCAATATGTGTAGCTTCTATCAAAGAACCAAGAGATCACGCTGGAGAAGACAACAAGCTGGAGCACAACCAAAGAGGGAAGAAAGGAATTCACCAACTAAGTATCTGGTGGACTTAAAGAGAGAATAGAAGGAGAAGAAAGTGAAAGGAAAAACCTTTTGGGTGCCATTTGTTTGCTGCTCCTTTGTTAAATGAACAAGCCATCTCTCTATTGTATAATGTTAGAATGATGATTCTAAAGACTTATAATTAGTAGTGTGGTTCTTGAAACTGCTTTCGCTGCTTAGCTTCTTTAGTTTTTTTATGTACTTTCATTTCATTACTATAGTATGAATGATTTCTATCGTCTTGTTTGCGTTTAAATTCTTCAAGACACTATTGTTTGTTCTCTGCTCTATAGCCTCAAGAAAACATATAGCAGACTTGAAACTATCCATCCATCTTTATCCATGCGTAAATTATCCACGGTCATTCCATCCAACAACCACAATCCGCAACTTCGAAAAGAATCGTCCACTATAACCATCCAACAATCTAAAATAAAACTGTACAAATTCTATTTGTAATAAGAGAACAGAGCGATATACCAGTTGGGAAAATAGATTTCCAGAAAACAAGTTTCGATTGTTGCCAATGACAATAGTCTAGACGAAACACTTCTCAAGTTCCGTTCAATCGAACTTCATTGGAACTTCCATAAATTAAAAGTGGTGTTCTGTGTGTTGTGTCGACGAACTTCAGCAAATTTGGATTTATGTTCCGCAAACTTTTCTTAAGAAAACAAGTTCCGTTCCAAATCGAGCTTCCAGTACAGCTCCGATTATGAGAAACCGTCAGCAAGTTTCCTTCCGTCGAACATTATGAGAAACCGACTTCGATTCAATACAACTCCGGAGAATTAGCAAGATTTCGTCTCGTGGGAAATTTATTTTCCTCCGGCAGTGAACAGTACGAAAATTAAAAGGACCAGAGTTAATCCGGAATTCACTTCCCTCTCATTAAGGGTACATATGGAATAACAGGTCACCAAAACATACACAAAGTACACATTTGTCAAGAAGTCCTCATAATGTAAAGATATATTAAAAAGTCCCTTATAGTGTAAATCACTCTGCAACTTGGTACAAACATGTCTTTACAAAATAATGAACAATTTAAAATAATAATGTATATTAACAGAGAACTATATATAGCTCATATTATAATGATTTAAATCATGTATACAAAAAAATGTTATTGGGTGTATCTTTTTCATACGTACTACAAGACTACAAAGCTATAAATAATTGTTATAGACATCAGAAAAAAATTGTTATATAATTAAATATTCATATATCTATACTATATAAAAGTTGAGGCTATAAGCCATTGAGAGCGTCCACATAGGATTATAAGACACATTTTATTGGTCCACATAAGCATCTTCAAGATTAAGAAAGTTTCCAAATTTTAAAACTAATAGTATCATTCCACATAATCATATAAAATTAAGAAATTTTCCAAATTTTAAACAACCAATAGTATTAATCTATATCATCATATAAAATTAGCTTATTTGTTAAATTAGTTAATTTCTTTTTATGTTTCAAGAAAATTAATTAGTATAATCTTTAAATTAGAAATTCCCAAGTAAAGTGAATTAAATAATATTTTTTAATATAAAATTTGAGGCTAAATGCATTTAAGAGTGTCCACATAGGATTATAATTGTCCACATAAGCATTTACATAATTAATTTTCCATTTTAAACAACCAATAGTATTAATTATATATCATCTATTTTTTTCAAATTTTAAACAGCCAATAATATTAATCTATATCATCACTAAAATTAGCTATATTTTTAAAATTAGTTAACTTCTTTTATGTTTCAAGAAAATTAATTAATAAACCGGTTTAAATTAGAAACTCCACAAGTCCAACGTAATTAAATTAAGATTTTTTTATTTTGTTAAAAAATAAATTTACTAATTTTAAAAATTATATAAAAAACATTTGTATAACTAAAATATTAGTTATAAAGAATTAAATAAACCTTAAGGTGAATTCTCTTTGACAAACTTAAGTTTTTACAAATAAAGAGTAGGTTACACCAATAACTGAAGAATTGTTCTAAGCAAACAAAGCCAACATTGCAAGAAAGTCGATCTCAACATTACATAATCTATGAATAAAAAAATGGAGATAGAAACAAAAATGCGTAATGTCGTATAGAAGACATATGAGTTCATTTGCAGTTTTTTAGGTGATGAGAGAGATCAAGCTTTGGGAGCTAAAACAAAAAATCAAGAAAACAATAGCATACTATATAATATTTAGTTCATCGTAGCTTCAAAAAAATGGTCGAAAAAGTAAATAGTTTGTTTGGATTACTATGGAGCAGAAGAATTCAAAGGAGATTTAATAGTGCAACTCATACAACAAATTTTCGAGAAAGCATTCCACCCTACATCAACAAAATAAGAGTTTGTATTCGGGAGGATAATGGAGGTCAGATGGAGAGGAAAGAAGAGGTTGATGTCTAGCATCCTTCACATCCTTTAAGAAGATTTCATCTCCATGTAAATAACGATTTTCAAATAAGAGAAAATCACGAACCTTCCAAAAATGGCAAAATATATAAGGATAAAGAATATAGGCAATAAACCTATTAGGGGTAGAATAATCAGTTTTTCTACATCTTCAAAGAGTTCTGAAAAAGGTGTGAGTTTGCCATAAGTTTATTGAGAAGCAGGCTTGATCCAAGACTCATACTGTAGAAAGACATATGAAGAAGATATGGAGACTGTTTCTTTGATGATCACAATGATTGCAGAGGTGTATCAATTCATGAGCAGCCAGAGTTTGATCGGTCAAGACAAAGCTTTTGCCATCAAATTCAAGAGGAAATATTTCATTTTTGGTGTAGTATAAACTTGCCAAATATGATTACTCGATTTGATTAGAAACATGATATGAGGTGAGTTAATAACCATTTTTGCAATTAAATAAACACTAACTGAATTTTGCAATTTCTAAACAAATATGTAACTAACAAATTTTTTGAACAAAAATGTATTTATAAACAATTTAAGGCGGAAATATTCAAGTAAACATTAATATAAAACTACTTCTAAAAAGAAATGTATACCATAACGCATAAAAACGTGACAAAATTACTAAAAAAAATCAACATTGAACAAACAATGATTTAAGATTTTCTTTAAGCCATAAAAAAAATATACATAATTTATATTATATAAAAGCTAAATATATACTATTATGATCAAAGTTTATAAACTAATAACACGATGTGTAAGTTAAATGTACTGAAAAATAAATTATATGTTGTTTATAGCATTTTAAGTTCTAACATAACGAATTGAAGTTATTTTAAATAAACATCGTGTTACATACAAATACTGTTGACATCTAATTTTAAGAATTTCACTATACATATTTAAAAATATATTTCTGTTTAGAAAATGACTAACACGTCACAATAGTTCATAAATTAACATTACATTTTACAATATATATATATATATATATTACTAATAAAGTTTGTCCTATTATAATGATTTGAATATCTTCAAGTAAGTTTTGGTCATTAGACATACACAAACATTTTTGTTACCGGGATATGATCTAAACAATATTTTTGTATGTCAAGATTTGATCTCAACACGATATTATATATCTAAAACTTTTGTTTTCCAGAGAAATTTGGTATTGAAATATTATTAAATTTTAATTGTTTATTTTTGCAGTTTAAAAAAAATACTTTAAGAATATATTTTAAACCGATTTAAGATACAGACCCGCGCGTGCGCGGGTGAAAATCCTAGTCTATACTATATAAAAGTTGAGGCTATAAGTCTCTGAGAGAGTCCACATAGGATTTTAAAACACGATTTGACTGGTTTATATAAGCATCTCCAATATTAAGGAAGTTTCCAAATTTTAAACAACCAATAGTATCAGTCCAGATTATCATATAAATTTAAGAAATTTTCCAAATTTTAAACAACCAATAGTATTAATCTATATCATCATCTAAAATCATATAATTATTTGTGAAGTCAGAATTTCCAAAAGGTTATAGAAATTATTCCGTTTTACCGAATTACCATCAATGAAAATCTAAGCAATATCTTTATTTTAATACAAATCCATTTAATATTAGCTAAATTTGTTAAATTAGTTAATTTATTTCTTATGTTTCAAAAATATTAATTAGTATAATCTGTTTAAATTAGAAACTCCGAAGTCTAAAGTGATTAAATTAATTTTTTTTAATAAATATGTTTTTAATATGAAAGTTGAGGCTATAAGCCATTGAGGGCGTCCATATAGGATTATAAAATAAGATTTTATTGTCCACATAAGCATCTTCAAGATTAAGAAAGTTTCCAAATTTTAAACTACCAATAGTATCATTCCACATAATCATATAAAATTAAGAAATTTTCCAAATTTTAAACAACCAATAGTATTAATCTATATCATCATATAAAATTAGCTATATTTGTTAAATTAGTTAATTTCTTTCTTATGTTTCAAGAATATTAATTAGTATAATCTTTTAAATTAGAAACTCCCAAGTCTAAAGTGATTAAATTAATAACTTTTTAATAAATGTGTTTTTAATATAAAATTTGTGGCTAAATGCATTTAAGAGTGTCCACATAAGATTATAAAACCGCATCTTATTGGTCCACATAAATTTACATAATATTTTTTTTCCAATTTTAAACAACCAATAGTATTAATCTATATCATCATCTCATTTTTTCAAATTTTAAACAGCCAATAATAATCTATATCGTCATCTAAAATTAGCTATATTTTTAAAATTAGTTAACTTCTTTTATGTTTCAAGAAAATTAATTAATAGAACCGGTTTAAATTAGAAACTCCACAAGTCCAACGTAATTAAATTAAGATTTTTAAAAATTATTGTTAAAAATATAATTTACTAAATTTTTTAAAAATTATATAAAAAACATTTGTATAACTAAAATATTAGTTATAAAGAATTAAATAAACCTTAAGGTGAACTATCTTTGACCAAACTTAAGTTTTTACAAATAAAGAGTAGGTTACACCATAATAACTGAAGAATTGTTCTAAGCAAACAAAGCCAACATTGCAAAAGAGTCGATCTCAACATTACATAATCTATGAATAAAAAAATGGAGATAGAAACAAAAATGCGTAATGTCGTATAGAAGACATAAAAGTTCATTTGCAGTTTTTTAGGTGATGAGAGAGATCAAGCTTTGGGAGCTAAAACAAAAAATCAAGAAAACAATAGCATACTATATAATATTTAGTTCATCGTAGCTTCAAAAAAAATGGTCGAAAAGTAAATAGTTTGTTTGGATTACTATGGAGCAGAAGAATTCAAAGAGATTTAATAGTGCAACATATACAAGAGTTCGGATTCGGGAGATAATGGAGATCAGACGGAGAAGGAAAGGTTTATGTCTGGCATCCTTCACATCCTTTAAGAAGATTTCATCTCCATGTAAATAACGATTTTCAAATAAGAGAAAATCACGAACCTTCCAAAAATGGCAAAATATATAAGGATAAAGAATATAGGCAATAAACCTATTAGGGTAGAATAATCAGTTTTTCACTTTTTCTTTTTCTACATCTTCAAAGAGTTCCTGAAAAATGTGTGAGTTTGCCATAAGTTTATTGAGAAGCAGGGCTTGATCCAAGACTCATACTGTAGAAAGACATATGAAGAAGATATGGAGACTGTTTCTTTGATGATCACAATGATTGCAGGAGGTGTATCAATTCCATGAGCAGCCAGAGTTTGATCGGTCAAGATAAAGCTTTTGCCATCAAATTCAAGAGGAAATATTTCATTTTTGGTGTAGTATAAACTTGCCAAATATGATTACTCGATTTGATTAGAAACATGATATGAGGTGAGTTAATAACCATTTTTGCAATTAAATAAACACTAACTGAATTTTGCAATTTCTAAACAAATATGTAACTAACAAATTTTTTGAACAAGAATGTATTTATAAACAGATTTAAGGCGGAAATATTCAAATAAACATTAATATAAAACTACTTCTAAAAAGAAATGTATACCATAACGCATAAAAAACGTGACAAAATTACTAACAAAAAATCAACATTGAACAAACAATGATTTAAGATTTTCTTTAAGCCATAAAAAATATACATAATTTATATTATATAAAAGCTAAATATATACTATTATGATCAAAGTTTATAAACTAATAACACGATGTGTAAGTTAAATGTACTGAAAAATAAATTATATGTTGTTTATAGTATTTTAAGTTCTAACATAACGAATTGAAGTTATTTTAAATAAACATCGTGTTACATACAAATACTATTGAAATCTAATTTTAAGAATTTCACTATACATATTTAAAAATGTATTTCTGTTTAGAAAATGATTAACACGTCACAATAGTTCATAAATTAACATTACATTTTACATATATATTAACATATATATATAGATTACTAATAAAGTTTGTCATATATAATGATTTGAATATCTTCAAGTAAGTTTTGGTCATTAGACATACACAAACATTTTTGTTACCGGGATATGATCTAAACAATATTTTTGTATGTCAAGATTTGATCTCAACACGATATTATATATCTAAAAACTTTTGTTTTCCAGAGAATTTTGGTATTGAAATATCATTAATTTTTAATTGTTGATTTTTGCAGTTTAAAAAAAAAAATCTTAAGAATATATTTTAAACCGATTTAAGATAAGACCCACGCGTGCGCGGGTGAAATTCCTAGTATTATTAAATGTTGACATACAATTTTATTAAGTTAACAATTTTTTTTAAATAAAGAATATTCTTATGATTAATTTTACTTGATTAAAGTTAAACTCATTAAAAAAAATTGAGATTGGGTAATGGGTGATAAAGAATAAAAAATTTAAAAATCATTTCAAGAAGGTAATGCTATTACCTAGAATTTATAATAAATAATATCATTATCTCTGCACGTTAACGCGCGGGTTCGTTTCTAGTAATTATAAAAAGAGAACATCAAATGATCTTCAAAATATTGGAGAATACGAATCTTCTTAGGAGTTTTTACTGCCATCCATAGAGTTCCACTTTGTATGACCAATCTCGAAACTCGATAGCCATGACATCCATTTTCTTGTCTTGAAAACAAAGTAATAACTTATACTCTGTTCTACATTACTTATTCTATAATAACTAAAAACAACGTAATTTACCCAATGTTCAAAAAGTCGTTAGGCGTTAGTCGGGCGGTGGCTTCAAAATTTTTGATTTTTCAAAAATCGGAAATAAAACGGAGACTATTTGAGGAGGAATTTTTATTACATTTTTAATTTATTAAACATTTTTATATGAAATATAAAACATAAATATGAAAATTATATATTTCAAAATTAGATAAACATTTTTCAAGTTTTGGAGGACAAAACTCTTACAATTAGTAACAAAATTTCTTGTTTGGCTTTATAAATCCTCAAAATCGATTTTTTCTCATGTAATTGTTATCAATTATAGTCTTGTTTTAGCTAAAACAAAATTAAATAGAATGAACATTCCTTAGTTGGCCCTCATTTTTGAAATAATTTGGAATTGGGCCAAATAAAATTCGGAAACCAAAGATTTGGCCCATCTCATTTTAAAAATTTCAAACGATTTTTCTCATTAGTCGGATTTTAAAAAGTCGCCACGTTTTCACCCTGAATCCGATTTTTTAACCGATTAGTCAGAGTGTTTTCTTTTCTTTATATTAACAATTCTAAATGTGTTTGGTCAATATTCTCTTTACATTACTACCAAGTACCAAGTGATTGCAATCTCGTCTGCTGTGGCGCTTGTGTTTCGCATATTTGTGTGCTGGCTTTTTGTGTACGGCCTTAATCTTAGAGTCATAGGCCCATTGCTACTGCTAACGTGTCTTGGTGGCTCAATGACTTCATCTTATTTATCTACATCACTTGTAGCTGTTTTCCGCTTACTTGGACCCGTTTCTCCATGAGAAATATATAATATATATGTATACTATTAAATATTAAACAGTTTAACTAAAGATAATAAATATCATAATGTTCACAACAAAAAATTTCAAATATTCTGTATTATTATTGGTATGCGTTTCATTAATCTCGAAACTATCTTTAGCTATTTTCATCGGGAGAGAAAGATATACAAACTTAATATATAATGCTAAGACTAATCTCATCTAATGAGTCAAATAAATCATTTAATTAAACTAATCTGTTAATATTATTATTATTGTTATGTAGTTGTTTAGTTATTATGTTTTCAAAAATAAGATATAAGTTTTTGTCAATTTGGAAACACACGTCTTCAACGAATTTCCAAACTACAAATTTTATGAAACATGGAAAAACAGTTTCCGAAAGTTTTTGAGAGTTTTCGATTCAGAAAATTTTCCGAGATGGGATACTTCGGATGGAGTTTCCATCTAAACATAGTGATGCTAATTCTACTAGTTATTTAATATTTTAATACCATTTCTCAAATCGATGATATTAAACCGATGTTAAACATAAGCTTTTTAGTAGTGTCTTTTTAAACTTAAATATAGTCTTGAATTACACTTGATTGTTGCAATTTCTTCGTGAGTTATGGGGGTTTGAAAATCAACAATTTTTTTTTGGAAATGTTTACTTCTTGCCCAAATCTAAAAGTGGATCGATGTCGGTCTAAAAGTTTTTAATGCAATTTTTCTTATTACAAATTAGACAAACACGAAAAATATTTTCACATTGATAAAGTTTATTACACGTTGCTGTCACTAAACAGTGACCACAATCTAAAAAGCAAAAAATATAAACTATTTTACACCAAATAAAACGAGAAAATATACTAGAAAACGAAACAAAAGCTCATCGTTGTTTATTTTTTTACTGTGAAATACAAATTTACGTTTATATTATTAGGACTTTTAAAAAAACTCTATATTTTGTGGAGTTCGACAACACAATATGCATAAGCATGACATATAATCTCACAACGAGAGAAACCCGAATTAGAGGCTAGAGTTTGGATCTCATAAAAAGACCTTTCCTTACCACCTGAGCATTGTAGTAACATGTGCATGTCACTGGAAAACACAATGTTAGAAGCAAAATCGTTGATCTTTGTCTTCACTGGCATATTCATCTCGACTATTATCACTTTTCCTTTCTCGGGAAGACTTTTCCAACAATTTTTTAGAATTTTTACACAGTCTTCATCGCTCCAATCATGTAGTATCCACTGTCATTTTATCCATTTCATTTTCTAGTCAATATATGTTTGACCATAATCATATTTTTTTATATATATATATATATTTGTTAGTGATAGTTTTTTTTTTCAAAAAGTGAAGTATATATATGAACTTACTTTCATGAAGATGGCATCTCCTTTTGGGATTTCAATAAACATATCTCCCGAAACATGCTTCACTCCTATATATCACCCAATTTTAGTAAATTTAAGCAAAACAAGTATAACAATTTTAAGATATAGTTATCAAAACTAGCACTTCGACATTGAAAATTTATATCCTTTTACAATCAAACAATAAAAAATTGTTAATTTCATCAGTTAGTGTAATTTATACCTGGATAAAGAGGAGCATGGGCTATAGCCGAGGCTAAATCAAAATTGATGCCTTTAATATGAGGATACTTGGAAGTCACTAGACCTACAATGGTTCCAATTCCTCCTCCCACATCCACCAAAGTGTTTACATCTTCGAATCCTCTGTAAACTTCTAGAACTTTCTTCATGGTCAGGGTAGAACCTTCTGACATTCCCCGGTTAAGCAACTCAGCCAATTGTTCATTGAAACCAACGTATTCAAAGAGTTTCATGCCATGAGCAGATGTAAATGCATCTTTTCCTTCTAATATCAAATCTTTCAGATGTGCCCTGTTAAAAATCAATAATCAACTGTTCATTAACCCGTACGTATAATATATATTTCTTTTTAGTGTGTATATATATATATATATTTCTTTTTAGTGTGTGGAAAAACGTTATAGTTATTTAGTACGTACCAAGTCTTGAAAAAGACTTCGCTTGTGGATAACATGAACAGAGACGCGAGGGACCCTGAGCCATCTCCACGGTTCAAGAAAGACATGCAAACCGGTTCAGCAGCATATACCCTCTCAAATTTTCGGGTTGCACCATTTTCTCCGGTTTCAACCATACGGTACTTCAAGATCGAGTAACTGGCTAGTAAACCCAGCATCCGGTCCAACATCACCGCTGCATTTGGGTTGGTGGGTTTGGTTGGGAGGCGATGCACAATCTCAGAAGATGAGAGCCACACACCTTCATCTACAGCTGCAATCGTGTCAATAACGCCAAGCTCCAAGGCAGATTTGAATACCATAGGGAAGGCCATCGCGGTGTACAAAATCCTCTCCCCTTGCAAGCTCAGTGTTTCTTCATCAAATCGTTCTTCTTTGTTTAGACTTGGTTTAGTGGAAGTGGTTAATGGATCGGGAAGATGGTTTGCCATTGTTGTGGTTGGTTAAAGCGTTGAGGAAAACTGATAAGATATTGTTGGTAAGAGAATGTTGTGACAACATTCACATTTTATAGAGAGAAATCTCAAATCCTAACAGCATCTCCATTTGTCGAGACCACAATATAATAATAATAATAATATTATACATTTCTTAAGACCATAAACCAAAAATTATATTAAAAAATATAAAAATATATATATGAGAGGGTTTGTGCCCCAAAAGTTATATCCAATAATGCCTGGATTGAACATTGGTTAAATTTTGTTAAAGGATGTTCTAAGTGTACTCTAGAGCACCTCAAATGGTGATAGCCTTGTTTTGAGTCTCTCATCAATATAGTGTTAATATTTTAATATAATTTAGTTATCTAATTAAAATTTGAGCTATAAAATAAATAAAAAGATCACTCTTTAAAAACCATGTATCAATGGAGTCTCTAAGAACATCTCCATTGCACAACTTTGTATGAGTGTCTTAACATATATTTATTCATAAAATAGTAATATTATACAATAGATGTCTTAAACATAGTAAGACATTCACTAAAAATGTCTTAATGAAGAAACTTTGGACACTAGGTTTTCACACTCCAATAAATCTCTAATACAATACTAATATATCATTTTAATTTTTTTTTTAAGACATCCTTGAGTTTTACAAAGTCTAATGAGTTTAATAGAGATGGTCTAGTAAGTTTTTCAAAGTCTCTGTTTTGAGACATTCTCCTCTTTTTCTCTTATTATTTTATTATATTTTGAATATGAGAGACTCCATTTAGAGACTCCCATTGGAGATGTTCTTATAGATTATGCATGAGGAAATATAGACTAAAATTTAACCGATGGTCAATCCTAACACATGAAATCGATACAAAGAATCTACGTGCATACATTCGATATGTCCATCAATGATTTTCTGATCTTGAAAGCTAAAGATCATATTTATTGGCATAGTTACTGAGTATATAATCTCTTTCTGTTTAACCATAAAAAGGCCACAATAAGTTTCTAATCACTCCATAAATCAACTTACCGAGCGTCTGACACCGATATTATTGACTTGTCTTACCAGACTATTCAAAGAATCAAAGTATACGCTAAGTTTCTAAATATTGTCGACTTGACTGATCAGACTATTCAAAGTATACGTTAATTTCCAAATATCAACTTGTCTTTTACATATGGATGCAGAAATATTGACTAAACTTACGGTAGCTAGTGGTCCCTTAACGCATGTCACAAGACTATTGTAACAGATATTTTGACTTTTTTAATTTCCATATATGCAAATGATTTTGATGTATATGGAATTATGGATGCTGCGATTGTCCTTATACTGCGATTGGATGCAGTTTTTTTTTTTTTTTTTTTTTTTTTTTGCATCTATATATTAATACCAAATGACCAAAATAGACAATATATATTTTATCAGAATGCTATACTTTAATGATTTAAAATATATTTACAGCTAGATAATTTTCAATTTTCAGATTGTTATTTTTGATATTTATAAATTTATAATTTAATAAAATAGGTGAATTTAATATATTGTTATTTAATAAATTACTTTTACCCTAAGTAGAGAGATGTACTAAATTGAGCTAGAAACTAAGTTAATCTAGAGACAAGAGAATCACTGGCTATGAACATACCAACAGATCCTCCACAAAGGTTATGAGCTATGTATAATCAAAACCCAACAACTGGAAACAAGCAATTCCATTTTCTGGCATTGCAATGACCTAACATAGTGATGGCATTGAATAAATTTGTGATAAGACTATGAAGTTGTGGTCTCTCTTTTTTCAAAAAAAAAAGTTATGGTCTCTCTCACCAAAATAATACAGTATGTGATTTCTCCTAATCGTGTAGAGGACAAAGTGATCTCATTGAATGTATTTATCTTCTTGATTCGGACCACAATGTTTATTGGTTTGGTCCTGCTTCTACTAACTTCATTGCCTCATCTTCTACTTATTCACTGCTTGATGATTATTAACTCCTCTTTAAAGCTTCTCCGCTGTGCTCCGAAACCCAAGCAGGGACATCATTAATTAAAGATACCTTTTACAACAATATAAAAAGTGTGAAGTTACACAGCTACATGAATTACAATATTTTTATCCGAGGCAGAAAAATTTCAATTATAAAAACAGCGAAAAAGGTTGTTGAAACTATGGCGTAAACTAGTGTGGACGTAAACTAAATATATGAGGCAAAGCTGTGGAATATATTATGGGTTTGATTGTTTAGGACTTTGGCTTTAGGCTTTAGACTGTCACTTTTGGCTGTAGAGAATGTGGCTTTAAAGACTCTGACTGTTACTTTAAATATTTTTGAAAGTCTGATTGGTAATAAAGACTTTTAAAACTTTGATTTATTTTCAATTTTCACAAGTTTTTTTTCATGAATAGAAAATATAAATGAAAGTAAAGTTTTATTTCTTATTATCTATATTTCTAACTTACATATTTTAATTTCTTCTTTAAATTTATTTAAATCATTAATTTTGTTTTTGTTAAAAAATAATTTGTAACTAAAAGTATTAGAAAGTGGATCTCAAAAGAATGAGAAAAAGATATTAGTTATTAAATAGTCAAAATTGTAAAATGATAACATTAATTTTATATTTAAAATAAGTTTAGATCTATTTGGGAAAAGTAGAAAGAATAAAAACAATTAAAGAAAAAACAAAAAAAAAAACTCACAGTAACAAAGAGGAAGAGAGAGAGTAAAAGTGTTGAAAAGTGACTTTTAAAAGCAAAGAAGAAAATTAAAGTAAAACTGAAAAAGAGACTTTCATGTAGAAAATTCTAAAGTTTAAAAGCTTGATTGGCTAAAAATAAACTGTAGAGACTATTAAAAACCTAAAAGTCCTTAAAGCCTGTATGCCAATCAGGCCCTATATAGGAATAAAAAAGTCCTGCAAAACTATAACAAAAGAAAATGTTTACATCATCTAAATTTGTATTATTCAATAAATCCAAATGCTAAGATTAGATCGGGTTGGTGCTGAACGCAAACCAAATTGAAACCATTATATCTGAGATACCCTGAACCGATCCGAATACACGAAATCTCAAGCCTAATTATATCGATCCGTAACAGTAACTCACAATTAAAAGTAAAAATAAAATTATAATCTTTTTCTTTCACACAAAAAAAGTAATAATTAAAAAAAAAAACTGTAAGAAAAAAAAGCATCATATTTTGTCGTGTATCTACTATTCAGCTATAGTACATACGTATCAAAAAATGGCTTCATGAATTTGGTTCCACATATGGCAACATTTTTATTTATCTGTTGTTGAAAACACACATGCAATCCCATCCCTTCTATTTATTGGTTGAAGGTAAAAAAAAAAAAAGAGTCGTTAAAGTGTCGCGTCGTAGTGGAGTATAGCTTCACTCAGAGCCTATATATAGTAGCAACTAACACGTATCTCTCATCTACTCAATTTATTTAACTTTTAATTTACAGAAGATCAGTGATGGGAGAGAGAGACAATGAAGCAGAAAGTGTAGAGAAGGCAAGGATCCCTCTGTTAAGGGATCAAAATGCGGCGGAGGAGGAAGATGGAGACGTAAAGAGAAAGATATGGATGGAGACGAAGAAGCTATGGCGTATCGTTGGACCAGCCATATTCACCCGAGTTTTGACCTACTCGATCTTCGTCGTCACTCAGGCCTTCGCAGGCCACCTCGGCGAGCTCGAACTTGCTGCCATCTCCATCGTCAACAACGTCATCATCGGCTTAAACTTCAGCCTCTTCGTATACACACAAACACACACACATTCTCTAGCTTATATTGTCACGTTTGGGTTAATTAATGAAGAAACTATATATCTCTTAATATATGCAGATTGGAATGGCGACTGCGTTGGAAACGTTGTGCGGTCAAGCGTTTGGAGCAAAGAAGTTTGACATGTTGGGAGTGTATTTGCAGCGATCTTGGATTGTTCTCTTCTTATGCTCCATATTGCTCCTCCCTATGTACATTTTTGCGTCCCCCATTCTTCAGTTCTTGGGCCAGCCTGATGACATTGCCGAGCTCTCAGGCACCATCGCTGTTTGGGCCATTCCTACACATTTTTCATTTGCCTTCTTTTTCCCCATAAACCGCTACCTCCAATGCCAGCTCAAAAATATGGTATATAAGTTATGATTTGAATGATCGTCTCGTCTTGATGGCTCGATGGCTCGATTTCTTGGATAGATGGTTTAAAAATCGTTTTGGTTACTGGAAATCAAGGTTAAGATTATTATCTTGTTTTGCTATTTGACAATGCACATATCGTCTTGCTTTATTATCTTGCTTGGTTTTTGATAGGTTATCTTATTGTTTTACTTTTTGTTTATGTTGTGTAGCTTTAATTAGCAAAAATCCATCAAAATGTAACTTTGGGTAATTTAAAATATTCATATTCTTAGTGAGGCCTAATTGATCTCTGTGGAATTCAACCTTCATAGCACTACAAGAGTACTAATTCACAGTGCAATCTATAGCCTTAGTCACCCAAGCTAATATACAGAGAATAAAATGACTAACTAGAGATAAAACAGTAGATGAGAATAAGAGGAAAATTCCCAATCTATGTCTTCAAACGATTTTTCTCATTAGTCGGATTTTAAAAAGTCGCCACGTTTTCACCTTGAATCCGATTTTTTAACCGATTAGTCGGAGAAATCGCCGACAATACATAGGGAAATTTCCAAATTACATTTTTTTGGGTGCGCATTTTCAAAACTACACTTCTACTTTTTTTTCATTTAGTAAATCAACTTTAAACCCAAAATCTAAACTCTAAAAGACTAAACCATAATATCTAACATTAAACCCTTAAATCTAAATCCTAAACTCCAAAATCTAAACCCTAATTAAGTATTACTGAAACCAAACTTAGATGTTAAACCATAGAGATGTAGTTTTGAAAATTAACACATAGAAATGTAGTTTTGAAAATTAACACCACATGAAATGTATTTCTTAAAATTTCTCTCATATGTTTTCTGCCTTAAAATTAAATTAACACCCCATCGATGATTATAACACGAAAATGACTAAAAACATATCATTATTTTAACAAAGTGAAAAACTGATGAAAGCACATATACAAGATTTACGTGTATATCTTTTTGCCATCTTCGATTAGAAAATGATCACAAAGAGCGAAATAAATCTCCCTCTTGGATGAGAAAACTCGCGATCCAAGAACCAGAGATGCATAATCTGGTGGCAGAAACTTCTCCCATATAAAATCTGAGTCAACCGCCGATCCCCAAACTCTACCTCCATCCACCCATCTTCCCTCTCCTCTAGTTTCATTACATCCTTATTCTTTTCCCAACTTCTGGCTTCGTGAGTTCCTTGCCCAATCAATCCAACTCCAATGTTTTCCAATTCATGATGAAACTGACCATCTCTTGTCTTGTACACAATGTAAACCGCGTAAAGATTTTTTGGAGACAAGATTCTAGTATCCATCACACAGTTGATCTGGAATGGACATGTATAGTGAGAAGCTCCGGTACCTTTTCAAACCTTCACCACAACATTACAAATCGATAAATGAGTCCATATACAAAATATAAATCATTCGAATTTTAAACACCAAAACAAAAAGAGTTACCTAGATTCAGGAATTGAGATCCATTCCCAAAAACCAGGACTATTCCCCCATGAGATCTCGTCTTTGCTCGCAGCTAACATGATACATCTCTTCCCACTCGCTTTGTCTAACCACAAACTCTATCATAATTTCATATAAAAAACATTCAATAAAATCAGAAATCTTGTGTGTGTATGATAAAGGGCTTAATAGTTTTTTTCTTTTCTTTGGTAAAATAAATCAGAAATAGTGTTAGATATATGTATATACCTTTTGGCCATCTTCGATTAGAAGAGAGTCGTTGCATAGAGAGAAATAGAGCTCTTTCTTGGACGAGAAGATTCTCGATGGTGGATGAATAAGAGAGTGATAATCAGGCGGAAGAAACTTCTCCCATACTTTGTCGGAGTCAACCGCCGAGCCAAAGGTTTTGGAAAGCGAAGCGACGACGCAAGCGTCTCGTGGACTTGTGAAAGAGATTATGTTGGAGATGCATTCCTCTGGCAATGCATCGAAAGGCGAAAATGGCTCGGAAACCATCGTAGTTCCTGATCAGCCTTCTACTCCAAAGTCAACGCCGTCCGTCAAATATCGTCGTCTGCGTTTGGAAGCTTAACAGAGTTCCGAATCTTTATCTGAATCTGAAGTCTCCTTTGTTCTTTTTAAGGAATATAACAAATGACTCTCTCAGTCTTTCTTAAGTCGTCCGTACGTATTTTACGAAACTATCCTTATTCGCATCAATGCGTTGGTCACACTTCATGTTTATTATTGTTTCTCTTTTTAAATGATATTCATGTTGCAACTTGCAATATATGCTGCATGTTTAAGAATGGCTGTTGGTTAATTTTCTTATTGTTTTTCTTTTTCTTTTAAAGAATAAGAATGGTTTGAGTTTGAGGTGATTGAGATTGAGAGGTTAAAACAGAAAGAAGGTTGAAATCATTATCATATGTGTTGTTATTGATCGCTGCATGCATGTTTTACTGCCTTACCACGGTTGTTTTTATTCTTATAAGAATATACAAGTCCCGTAAATATACCATTACAAAAAAAAACAAATTCACAAACATGATTCCATGTTACAAAATGTTGTACACAAGCCTCAAACAGTTTTTCATTTTGGCAATAGATAGATAATCTTCTAACAAATAAAAACGTTGTTGGTTTTCCATAGGACGGATTTCATTTTGATACATACAAAACCATATAAGCGGAGCAAGCTATTTCAATTTTCATGGTGTCGTTCTTACTTTAATAAAGCCTTTTCACTGGCCGGAATTCAATACCTTCAATGATGAAGCCAGGTTTCCAGTAGGTGTACTTAATTTCTCTAATACGGAAATAAATTTCATCAGAATCCATTAATCCTCTTTCGTTCAAGAATTCACCAAACTTGACCTCCATCCACCCATCTTCCCTCTTCTCTAGTTTCGTTAGTTGTGTTCTTACCTGATTTTCGCCTTGAGGACCATAGTCAATCACTCCAACTCCAATGTCTTCTCGGAAGTCAGGAATTTTATCTTTTGCCTTGTATACTACGTAAGCCGAGTAACGAGTTCCAGGAGATAGGAATCTAGCTTCTATCACCCCGTCGATCTTGAATGGACATCCAAAGACAAGTTTTGGTACTTTTTCGAACCTGCATGCATGTTGTGAATAGAGTGAATATCAAAGATAAACGAGAGCAAGATTAAGAAGGCAAATATCATTTGTCTAGGGTTTTCTTTTATATATATAAATGAAATATAAACCCTAAGAGTGTCTTTACCTAGAATCAGGGATTGAGATGAATTGCCAAAAGCGAGGATTATGTCCCCATGAGAGTTCGAGTTCCTTTCCAGATAACATTATACTTCTCTTCCCAGTCGCTTTATCTATACACAGACTCTATGATTTTCCAAACAGAAATTTAATTAACTAGAATTGTAGCAAAAAAAATGTTAAAAACTCAAATAGTCAGAAATAATTAATCAAGATATACCATTTTGCCATCTTCGATTAGAACATAGTCGTTGCATACAGCGGAATAAAAAACCTTCTTTGATGAATGAATCAGAGATGAATACTCCGGCGGAAGAAACTTCTCCCATACGCTATCGGAATTGACCGCCGATGCAAAGGTTTTCGAAACGGAAGCAGCGACGCAAAAGGCTAAAAGAAAAACATTCATCTTGAAATGCATAAAAATTCGGCGACGACGACTCGGAAACGATTTAACGCCGTGATTTTTCTCCATCGTTAGCCTGTATGATCGATACAGGCTGTATCATTTAATAGCTGGATCAAGCCTGAGAATTGTTCTTCTGACTTCTTCGAATCAGTGAGCGTCTACGTCATGCTCCTTGTTATTAAAAATTATAGATAGCTCACTAACGTGTAAGAAAATGTTTTTAATTTATCAAAATTTATTTAGTTATTATTATTTAGGACCTTATGCAAATGCAACACTAGATGATAGCATAATGATCAAGAGATGAAACTCGTAACTTATATTATAGGTTAGGTTGCAAAATTTTCAACTAGTGTTCTCTACTCGTCTTAAAATTTAATGAACAACCTTACCTCACTGCTTAACATGTGGGAATCAAAGGAAATCTATAAATTCCACAGTGGTCATAAGAACAACACATTACATTATGTGAGAATAGTGAAAAAAGAAATAAAAAAACCCTCAAATGTCACCAACATTATGATCCACAAACTTTAAATCATGTCACAAGTTTTTTTTCTTTCCAAATGTCATAAAAATTCTTGTTTCTTTTTATTTTCATTATTTAAATTCATATATTCCTCTAACAAAAATATATTTAGAAACCTATAAACCTAGGCAAAAATTCAAAAACCACACAACCTGAAACCATGAAAAGAATTCCATCGCAAGAAACAAGGTTGCCCGCCTATTCCCCCCTCAACTAAATTGGCTCCATCGGGATTTACACAAACTTTTTAGCCCTTTCCAATTCCACCCAAACTTTTAGTCATTGTCGATTCCCCCCTTTGCGTTTTTATTAGCAAAATCCAGTTTTCGCAACAGTGATTGCCCGTTTAAACGCAGTTGACCCAAGTTTTTATCCGTAAACCCGAGGTTTGTTTAAAAAACCAAAACCCGATTCTCTTTTCCCCTAACCCGATTCCACCACACACTATAGCAAATCAAAATCGATTTGGGGGAAATCGAAAATCTAGGGTTCTTCAATTGTGGGTAGATGTCCATAACAGTAAAACTTGGAATTCGGATTCCACTTTATGCGGATTGTTCTTCTTTTGTTGTGATTCCTCTTTTGTTGTTATTTCTTGGATTATGAAGGCTCAAAACTTGAAATTTGGATTCCTCCTTATGATGTTCTCTTGTTGTTCTTTTTGGATTATTAATGCTATTTTCAAGAGATTACAATTGAGATGGAGAGATATTGTATTTACTTCATGTTTTGGTGAACACATTTACTGATCAAACTTAGAAAGATTCAAAGTGGATTCAAAGATGCAAATGGAAGAACCCTAGATTCTTGATTTCCCCAAATCGATTTTGATTTGCTACAGTGTGCGGTGGAATCGGGTTAAGGGAAAAAAAAAACCGGGTCTTGGTTTGTTAAACAAACCTTGGGTTTACGGATAAAAACTCGGGTCAACTGTGTTTAAACGGGCAATCACTGTTGCGGAAACTGGATTTTACTAATAAAAACGCAAATGGGGGAATCGACAGCGATTAAAAGTTTGGGTGGAATTGGAAAGGGCTGAAAAGTCTGTGCAAATCCCGATGGAACCAATTTAGTTTAGGGGGGAATAGGCGGGCAACCCCAAGAAACAAGTATTATCTTTACTAGTGGTTTTTGGTAGGTCGGAATTCAATTCCTTCAATAATCAAACCACACTTCCAATAAGGAGACTTGATCTCAATAACACTACACTCAATTTCATCACAACCTTCTTCATTCAAGAACTCTCCAAGCTCTGCTTCCATCCACACATCTTCCCTTTTGCTTGGTTTCATTACATCTCTCGTTTCTCCTCTTTCTTTTCGAGAATCATTATCCATATACCCATCAAAATATATGAGTTGTTTACGAATCTTTTGTCCCACCAATCTAACTCCGACTTCTACTGGTAAATCTGCCAAGCCAGGACATTTATCCACCGTCTCGAACACAATGTAAGCCGAGTAACGAGTTCCACGAGATAGGTAACGTGTATTCATTTTCCACGAATCTCAAACCACCACACATTGTGAAGCTCTGCTACTTTTTCAAACCTACATAACACATATCACATATGATATGGTAAAGTTTTTTATTCCTGCTTTGATAAATGTTTATGAGTCGTTTTACAAATACATGAATGCAAATATAATAAAAAAGAAGTTGCACCTAGATTCAAGAATTGAAATCCATCGCCAATGTTGAGGACTGTTTCCCCATGTGATCGTGAGTTCTTTCGCAGATAGCATGATACACTTCTTCCCACTCGCTTTATCTAACCAAAAGCTCTTTGGTTTTCAACAAAACAAAAAGAAAATAAATCTCAAGTAATCAATTTCTTTTAACAGAAATTCCCATAATTCTCTACCCTAAATCGATGACTATACCACAAACATGATTAGAGACACATATACCTGATGTTAAAGACATATGTGTATACCTTTTTGCCATCTTCGATTAAAAAATGATCGCAAAGAGCGAAATAAAGCTCCTTCTTGGATGAGAAAACTCGCGATCCAAGAATAAGAGATGCATAATCTGGTGGCAGAAACTTCTCCCATATAAAATCTGAGTCAACCGCCGATCGAAAGGTTTTGGAAACCGAAGCAACAACACACGCATCACGAGGACTTGTTAAAGAGATTATGTTAGAGATACATTCCTCCGGCAAATCATCGAAAGGTGATGGACCGGACACAGTATCTCCTCTTCCTTCACCTCTAGCTTCAACGCCCTGTTTCTGCCCCATTCATGCGTTGTATCAAGAGGAGCCAGAGACTTTGTTAATACACTCATGACCGGTCTAAAATCGTCTCTGCCGTTTAAGATTTTTTTGTTTTTTTAAATTAAAAAAGACTAGTCTAAAGTCATCAAATAACACGTTAGTTATAACTTATAACTTGTTCGTTGGAGAATGAATGATAAACATCAAAATATGTCATGTGAAATAAATCGATTCCACTGGGGATCGAACCCAGAATCTCTGGTTTCGTAGACCAGCGCCTTATCCATTGGGCCATGGAACCAGATGACAAACGCATAGGAGATGCTCTAAAAATTAAAAAACAATTTCAATCTATTAAATAAAGTTATATGTGAGAATGATGAACACCAAAATCAAAAACCCAAATTCACAAACATTTAAATCCACAAATTATTATTTCACAAGTCTTTTTTTTTGTCAGAATTCACAAGTCTTTTCTTTGATTTTCTTTCCAAAGAGATTAACAACAAAAAAACATAACAGGACATCATCAAACCGTTTTTCCATTCAGCAAACCGGTAAATAACACTTTTTACCGGTGATTCTTTGGCCGGAATTCAATTCCTTGAATGATCACACCACACTTCCAATTCCCGGAAGTGATGTCAACAATACTCACATCAATTTCATCGAATCCTCCTTCATTAAAGAAATCTCCAATCTCTGCCTCAATCCACCCATCTTCCCTCTTCTCCGATTTCATCAGCTCCTTCTTTGGCCACGGTTTGTGTTCATCGTTAGACTTATCAAAACATATGAACTTTTTAGGCATTTCTTGTCCCTTAAACCCAACTCCAACTTGTACGGGCAAATCCCGAAAGCCATAACGTCGTTTCCTTAGCTTGTACACAACGTAAGCTGAGTAATGAGTTCCCGTAGATAGGTAACGAGCATTCATACTACCACCCATCTCAAAAGCACATACATTGAGAAGCTCAGCTACTTCTTCAAATCTACATAACATAGTGCGTGCAAATCTTTTTTTGTGTGGATTAAGGCTGCACAATTGGTTTTACGGTTTGGTTTTAGTTAGCAGCAAAATTAATATATTACCTAGATTCAGAGATTGAAATCCATTGCCAATACTCAGGACTTTTTCCCCATGTGATCCAAAGTTGCCTTGCAGCTAACATTACACACTTCTTCCCACTAGCTTTCTCTAGCCAAACGCTCTTTAATTTTGCGGAAGAACCAAAAAAAAAAAAAAAACTCAAACAATCAGCAACAGTGAATAGATGCAAGAACTTAAACTTCACATAATACTAAATTAGTCTAGCGTATCAATTATTTTCTAAAGTCGAATAGAGTCACGTTCTTGTTCCCGTATTTTCTCTTAACATAACTCAAAATATGATCAATATGAAGGCTAGAGACAAGATCTATACCTTTTGGCCATCTTCTATTAGAAAATGTGCACAAAGAGCGAAATAGAGCTCTTTCTTCGATGAGAAAACTCGCGATCGAGGAGCCAGAGAAGTATAATCCGGCGGAAGAAACTTCTCCCACACGCTATCGGACTGGACCGCAGATTCAAACGTTTTAGAAACCGAACAAGAGACGCAAGCGTCTCGTGGACTTGTAAAAGAGATTATGTTGGAAACGCAATCCTCCGTCAAGTTATCAAAAGGCGATGGTCCGGTAACGATCTCTCCTCCTGTTAGTCTTTGTCCCATCGGCGAAACGGAAACTCCTTTGCCTTTGCCTTAAACCGCGTTCTTTGGCCCTACCGTCGAACCGGAAACTTCTTTGCCTTTAGAGTCAACGCCGTGTTTTTGTCCCATTTCTTCCTCTGCGTCTCAAGTATATGATCTTTCTTCTTCTCGAAGTTTGAGACTTTAAAGAATTCGTCTCAAGTCGTCTCTTTGACATTACGGAAAACAAAAGGAAAGAGTCGTTAAAAGTCGTTCCCACATATTTCCGAAACTACCCTTCATGTTGATTTTGATTTTTTGGAAATATTTTAACGAACAAACCATATAAAGGTTCTAACCAAAATCCAATCGCAGAAACATAACGGTCCACAAACTTTGATTAGTGTTACAACACAGTATACTGTATACTTAAAACCAAAACACAAACCGGATCATCAAGAACTGTTCTTCCAGCAAGAAACCGGTTTACATATCAAGAACAAGTTGGATACCTTTAGAGGAATTACGAAGGACGGATTTCAATTCCTAGAAAGACTAAGCCACGTTTCCAATGAAGCAACTTAGTCTCTAAAACACTCATCTCAATCTCATCCCCATTCAATCCTCCTTCGTTAAAGAACTCTCCAAGCTCTATCTCCATCCACCCATCTTTCCTCTTCTCTGGTTTCACAACGTTCCTCCTTCTTCTCTTCCTTATAACCTCCCCATTCTCACTCGCATCAAAGCATACGAATCTCGTAGAAGCTTCCTTCCCCACCAATCCAACTCCAGCTTCCACGGCCAAACCCTTAAACCCATAACTATACTCTTCTTTCAAGAAGACAATGTGAGCTGAGTAACGAGTCCTAGGAGAAAGGAGACGAGTGCTTATCCTCCCACGAATCTCTAGCCAACATACATGTCTAAGATCCATCACTCTTTCAAAACTGCATTTTTTTGCAGCATCATCAGACTCAAACTAATCAGTAAAACCGAATTAACACAAAGCTAACGGATGTTGTTGAAACTATCATTCAATCCCATAAGAAATTGAATAACACGGCTTGTCTCAGCTTCCTCAAGTAGCTCATGAACTTGATCACAATCACACTTCGATACCGTACGAGATTTTGTGTTCCCTAGTTGTTCCCACAAAATCTTCTTCTTCGTGAAGTATGTTGAGAGATCCAGTTCGCCCTGCTTGAGCGTCATCACAGCCTGTTCCAATTGATATCTCCGGGGAAGGTTGTTAACTCGAAAACGACGAAACAAGTCATTCCACATTTCAGCAGCATCCTGACTATAGAGAATACTATCATAAATTTCCTTGTCCACGACATTAAGGATCCATGATTTCACCATACTGTTGCAACGACTCCAGATTTTAAAAGTACGATCATCCTCAGAAGGTCTAGGAAGAGATCCGTCAACAAACGAAAGTTTATTTTTCGCCTCAAGACTAATCTTCATCGCAATAAACCAGCTGTTAAAATTCGTACCATCGAGAGTGTGAGCAACGATCGATAAACCCGGATGATCCGACGAGTGGAGGAAGAACGGGCTGTGAGGGTTGTCAAATGATTCAGGAATCTTAGACGCCGACCCAGTACCTCCGAAGTTCGCCGATCGTGGTAGACGTTGAGAAGAAGCAAACCCCACCTCAGGATCCTCAAGGATCGGTGATTTTTGGCGGTTGTTGAGCTCCGATTCAGCTACCTCCGGTGTAGAGCTCCGAGACTGCATTTTTCCTCGTTGTTTTCCCATCTTCGACGAGTCGCGATTGTGCGGAAGGTTAATCAACGATCACGGGGAAGAAAAATGAAGAAAAACAGAAGAAATTGAAGAAGATCGGAGGTGAAATCACCAGATCTGATGAAGAAAAGTCTCTGATACCATAATAGATCCGTAGAACAAGGATATTGTGAAATGGTTATCTGTTTTCTTAATTGATAATAAAGCTTTACAAGGGCTTATATACACTTAACTAAACCAAAGACAACAAAAAGAAATAGAACCGAGTAAACCGGATTAGACCACTAATCTATACACTAATAAATACCTAGATCCTGGACTTGGAATCGATTGCCAATACAGAGGATTATCTCCCCATGTGATTGACAGGCTCACCGCAGATAACATTATACACCTCTTCCCGTTCGCTTTCTCTAACCAAAACCTCTTTGATTTCAGATTATTCAATAGCAGCAAGAGTTAGAACTTCACAGTTACACCAAATTGCTCCAAAAGAAAGGATAAATTTTTCTGAAACAAGCCTTAATCACATTCTTCGTAGCCATAATTCTATACACCAATTACAATTTTGAGAGGCGAGAGACAGATTCATCATTCTCTAATCGAATTAACGAAAGGTAGAAATGTTCACCTTTTTGCCATCGTCGATTAGAACAGGATCGTCGCAGAGAGAGAAATAGAGATCCTTCTTCGATGAGAAATCCGGCGATCGAGGAACCAGAGATGCGTATTCCGGCGGGAGAAACTTCTCCCATGCAATATCTGACTTCGCCGCCGATTTAAAGGCTCGCGAAACCGAAGCGACGACGCACGCGTCTCGTGGACTCGTAAAAGAGATTATGTTTGAGATGCATTCCTCCGGCAAGGAATCGAACGGCGATGTCTTCGAAACGATCTCTCCCCCGGCTTCGCCTCTAGATTTAACGCTTTTATCTTTCCCCATCGGTGCCTGTATCTGTATCATCGTCTTCTGAGACTCGGCGACTCTTCTTAAGTCGTTCTACGAATTTACGGAAATACCCCCTTCGCTTCAACGGACACGCGTCTTATTCTCAGGATTCGTTTGGTTTGGTTTTGGTATGGGATTTGGTTTGGTAAATTCTTTAACTGACAAACCAAATTCAAAAGGTCAGATCAGGTAGGCATTATGGATCAACGGTTGCGAGAATATGCCCAATTTTATTTTATTTTACTATATAGTCTGTCTGACTAGTTATTCCAAGAAAAGTAAACATTAAGCTATCCAATAAAAAAATGTAAAAGTGAAAGTTTTCTCTTCCTTCTTCTCATTTGAATTTCCGAAACAGAAAAATAAAAAACATAAAACACGCTTCTTAATTGGGAATTTCTTATTTTGAAGCAAAACGACACTAAAAGTAACCTGAAAGCCAGACGTAAATCCGCCGCAACAAACCCAATTCTTCCGGCGGCGTTGGAGCTTACGCCGTCGTTTTCGCCAAGAAGCCTGACTAGCGCCGATTCGGCTGCCGTAGTGTGATTTTGTGTTCCATTTTGTTTCTCTTTACAGGTGGGATTCGTTAAACCCTAGCTCTAAATTCTTAGTCTCGTGATGTTTTCTCTAATCCGGTAATTTTACTCGCTAGATTTGGAGATCTAAGTGATTCGACTACTGTATGATTGTTTTGCGATAATTCGTTTTTAGTGGATTTTTTGTTTTTCCCCTTTTTAGCCGATCGAAAAATTTCCGATGCTCGGAGATTTCGTAATCGAGATTCTCCTTGTGATTAACTTCACTTCTTCGTTATCGTTACCTTGTAAATCATTTCCTTGTGTGTCTTCAAAGCTGTGAAGCTTTTTTGTCAATACTATAATTTATAAGCTAAGCATCGTTGTCGTCTCTCTGCTTATCTGTCTTCTCCTCTCCAATTTATCCCAAATTTCGATTGATTTTGATGTCTCTACGGTTTGTTCTTTCCTCTGTTGGTCCCCACTTGTTTATTTCAATTTTCCTCAATTTGTTCTTGGTCTCATGTTCTAGAAAATGATTGATTTTTCCTGTTTTGATTGCCTACAAATGTTGATTTTGTTCCTCTTTGGCTCTGATATAAAGTTGCTTGTTCGTTTTTTTTTTTTGCTTCTCTCTAGGTTCTGAACACAGAAGATGACAAATCCAACGAAAGAGTCGAGAGACGACGATACTTCAGACTCTGCTCGTCATATGAGAGAAGACAATGAATATGTTCGGCTAGTTGTGGCTCATGAAGCTGCTCCTGCTGAAACCGTCTTGTCCCTAACTCAATCTGAGATTCGGAGTGAAAAACTGACGTGGTGGTTGAAAGCTTTAGGGATATGTGCACTTACTCTCTTGCTCACTCTCATTTTCGCCAAATGGGGTGTTCCGTTTGTATTCCAAAAGGTACTTTCTTGATTTCATTTCTCTAGTTTTCAAGAACGTTTGTTTTTCATAGTATGGTTCATGTCACAAAAGTCCACTCTTTTCGATTTGTAGGTTCTCATTCCAATCTTGCAATGGGAAGCAACTGCATTTGGCCGTCCAACGCTTGCGATTGTCCTTGTTGTTTCCTTGGCTTTGTTCCCTGTGTTCTTGATACCTTCTGGTCCATCCATGTGGTTAGCTGGGATGATTTTCGGTTATGGTCTCGGTTTTGTTATAATCATGGCTGGAACCACTGTTGGCATGGTTCTTCCTTACCTGATCGGTCTAATGTTCCGTGATCGCCTCCATGTTAGTTGAAACCTTTTTCACTTCCCTGTTTCAAGTCATATTGATGAGTTGTGAATATGATTTTGGTTCTTTACAAAAATGCAGCAATGGTTAAAGAGATGGCCTCGTCAAGCTGGTGTTCTTAGACTAGCTGCAGAAGGAAGCTGGTTCCACCAGTTCAGAGTCGTGGCTATCTTCCGGGTCTCGCCGTTTCCTTACACGATTTTCAACTACGCAATCGTCGTGACGAGCATGAGATTCTGGCCTTACCTCTTCGGATCCATAGCTGGGATGATTCCAGAAGCTTTCATCTACATTTACAGGTCAGTGTCCTATTACGCTTACCAAATTATAAAACAGTTAAATCGAGAACTTAACTCTAAAAACCGGTATTGATATGCAGCGGTAGATTGATCAGAACATTTGCTGATGTGCAATACGGACACCAACGTTTGACGACAGTGGAGATTGTGTATAATATAATCTCATTGATCATTGCGGTTGTGACCACTGTGGCTTTCACCGTGTACGCCAAAAGAGCACTGAAGGAGCTTCAAAACGCAGAAGCCAACGAAGATGAAGAAGCTCAGGTGGTGAGGAAGCAGGCGAGGTTTGAGATGAAGAACGTTGTTCAACACGAAGATAGTAATCATAGGCGTTTGAGTTCTTCTCATGCATTGCCTTGACTGAAGAAGATTCTGACGGAAAGATATAAACAATAGATTTTGTATAAAAGCTTAATGTTGATTTTGTGTTTCAGCAGGAGTAAGAAAGAGTAAGTAAATAACAAAAAGGGGAATATCCGAATATGTCTGATGTAGTAAACCAGGAAAAGACTAGTCAACATTGGATCATTTTATTTAGTGTTGCTGATTCCAGTTATTGAAATAAATAGCAGTTCACACTTTTTTAATCCAGTTTAACTATTTTGGATATCGAAAAATTTGGCTGTTCTCATAAGGGTTTGGATAATTATTTGTACTAATAAAAATTATGTTACATCTTCAGTTTATTAGATTGTTTGATGATGTCGTTTCTTTTGTTTCATAGTTTCAGGTTCCAACGGTAGGGGTGTTCAATCCGGATATCGGTTCGGTTTTTTCGGTATTCGGTTTTTCGGTTAATAAAAAATAGCTACCATATTAGATCCATACTTACTTCGGTTTGGTTCGGTTTGGATAGTCTTCGGTTATCGGTTTTTGCGGTTTGGATATTTTCGGTCGAATAATCTCGGTTTTCGGTTTATTTGTATTTTTTGTTTTATGATTATTTTATTAATTAGGGTTTTCGAATTTTCTCATAATCAAAATGATCAAATTCAAAAAAAAATGCAAACTCATGTCTTATTTTAAAATATAAAACTCTTCAAATTCTATAGAAAAATTATAAAAAAAACACAACACATTGAAGAACAAAACTTGAAAACGAATGAAATGCAATTATATTGTAAGCTTAAATATCAAATAAATCCAAACTGATTTAGTTAATCAATGATTAATTAATGATATATTACTCTAAACTTATATTATTATATAAGATATATTATACTATATATTATTATATGAGTAATTTATATATAGACTATTCGGTTTTTTGCGGTTTTTGTGGTTCGGTCGGTTAATATCCAAACCATATCAATATCCACGGTTTATATAAAATTGCATCCATACGGTTTATACAGTGTATCCAAATCCAAACCATATGACTTATTTCGGTTCGGTTTGGTTCGGGTCGGTTCGGTTTTACCAAATTGAACACCCCTATCCAACGGTGCTGATTTGTTTAAACCAGTGTTTTGAAAACCGGACCGGAGGATGAACCGGAAAGACCTTTGGTTCATGGGTCAACACGGTCGAACCGGTTCAACCGGGTTTTTAATATATATTTTTATTTTAATAATATATATTTATATATGGACATTAATATATTAGCAATCAATGTACTTGCTACTTTTACGTTTTCATTTATTAAATATTCCATCCCTAAAAATGAATCTCTTAAAACCCTATTTCATGTCCTTCCTAAAACTGCCGCCGCCCATCTCGTGTAACTCTCCTCCTCCCTCTTTCTTCTCCTTGTTCCTTTCTCTTTGCTAAATTTCTGTAAAAAATAGGTCTTTCAACTTTTCTTTTTCTTAGATCTACAATTTTCTGCTTTCTTCCTAGTATAATATTAAAACCGGGTTTACTAACTTAATTACATTTCCGAGTTTCCGAGTTTTTGCCGGTTTTTCGCTGGTTTTCTTGGGTCAATTACATTTCCGGTTTTCCATTAAAACCAAACCGGGATAGGCACCGGTTCCCGGTTAGACCGGTCCGGTCCGGTTTTTAAATCATTGGTTTAAACTTTAAAGCTGGTTAATCTAATGGTTCCAAAATTGAAAGACGCTCTCTACAGTTGGTGACTTGGGCTGAATCTTGTCGATTATGGGCTTTTGTTTAAAAGGCCCAAAGTTTTTTTCTCAACAAATTTCGTTGATCTGCTTTGACGCTAAACGACGAAAAAGAAATGTTTGAAAATTGGTTTCCAACAACTACAGTATCGTCTCCGCGAATCCGCCAGTTTCTAATGTTAAACTTAAACACATACAATCGCTAGAATCTCTGAAGAACAATCCCTTCCTGATCACGGTGAAGTCTCTTTCTCTCTGATAAATCTTTCCTATGGTGATATCAGACCTTCGTATTCACTCAATGAAAATAAATATATATTTTCGACGTGAAGCAGGCGAATTCCGTCGCAGAGAAGAAGGAGAAGATGAAGCTATACTCTTACTGGAGAAGCTCGTGCGCACATCGTGTCACTATCGCCCTCTCTTTAAAACGTCTCAGATGTTTGTTTTCTCTTCTACTCAATTTTGTTTTTGTTTTTTTTTTTCTTCTTTGATCTGATTTTGGATTTTGGTCGATTGTGTTTTTAGGGATCGAATATGAGTATATACCAGTGAATTTTCTCAAGGGGAATAACCTAGATCCAGGTGCATAGTTAAAGTTTCCAGTTTTTACTTGAGGATGAGAAAAACTCTGATCGTTTTGATCCTAAAGATTTCAAGAAGATCAATCCAATGGGAGCTGTACCAGTGCTTGTGGATGTTGTGATTTCTGACTCTCTTGCCATTATATTGGTAACTGAAAGAAGCCATTTACGTTTTTGTGGATTTGCAAAGGAACATTTCATCATTGATCTTTGGTTTTTTTGATTGACAAGTATCTGGATGAGAAGTATCCTGAACCACCTCTCTTACCTCGTGACCTCCATCAAAGTGCTATGAATTACCAGGTTCTTACAAGCTTCTTGTCTTCTCTTACTTTATTCAATCTCAGCTTCTCTTTTGAATCATGATTGGTTACATGTGTTTTGCCATGATTTGAACACCTTGTAGTTGAAACTGTTAAGCTTTGTGATTGTGAGTGTAATGGTTCCTTTTTTTTTTTGTGAATGTTTCAGGTATCAAGTATTGTCTTGTCTGTCATACAGCCTTATCAAAATGTTGCTTTAATTGTGAGTGCATGAGCTTGATGTTATTATCTTAGACTCTAACGTTGTGGGTTCTACTTCTAGATAAATCAAACCTAATTGTTTTACAGAAGCTTCTCGAAGGAAAGATAAATGCTGAGGAGAAAACTGGTTTGGTTAATAATGCCATCACAAAAGGATTTACAGGTATGAGATCTGTGATCTACCCTAATATAATAACAACATTCTGTCATTTGGATAAGCAATAAGGTATAGAGACGTAACCAAGAACCAAGACAATGTTGTAAAATGTTTTTGGTTGATGAGTGTTCAAGTCTCAACTCACAAACACTCTGTCATTATTATAAAGTTTTATATCTCTCATTTGGCTTTCAGCTCTCGAGCAAGTGTTGGTCAGTTGCGCTGGGAAATACGCGACTGGTGATGAAGTTCATTTGGTATTTGCTCTGAACCTCTCTGGATTTTCTCTAATGGCACTCTCTTCTTTTTTGACAAGTAAGAGGCTGATCTCTTTCTGGCACCACAGATCCATGGAGCAATCAACAGATTCCAGATTAGCATGGTACTCTTTCCTTCTTCCATTACGGACATTGTTTAGCATCATGGATTCTTATATGATAACAAAGATAGTCCTATTGTAGTCACACATACGAAACCCTCTGTTTCTTAACTTCTCTCCCACGCATCACTCTGTTTCTATTTCTACAGTTTTGAGAAAACGTGTTCTCTTATATCTACAGGAACCGTACCCAACCCTTGCAAAGGTTTACCAAGCATACAACGATCTTCCTGCGTTTCAAAACGCATTACCCGAGAAGCAACCGGATGCTCCTTCTCCGACTCCGACCAGCTGATTCTGTGAACCGTAAGCTTTCTATCAGCTTAATAAATTTGTGCTAGGTAGTCATCATTCTAAAAAACGGCACATAGTTTGACTTCATGAGCCCATATGCGATGAGAAAGAGACGGCTCTGATACCATTTGTTGGGCTACCATAAGCCCAATCCAACTTCCCCACTAGTATGATATTGTCCGCTTTGGGCCCAAGTGGCAAAGTCCGCACGGATTTGTCTTTGGACTCCTCCCAAAAGGCCTCATACTAGTTGGAGTTAGACATTGCTTATATCATAGACACTTTCTGTCTATACTTCAGATGTGGGACTTGATTGATATCTCAACAATCCTCCCCTCAAGCCAAGGATCACATAATCCTGTGGCCTTCCACCTTTAGCAATACCTAGCACCCTTCATGCACCGCCGTAATTACCAACGGACCTCTTCAACTAACCCTTGGCCTTATTAGGAAGACTTTCGACACAAGGACTGGCACCCCTAATCGCAAGGTCACCTTTGAGGGCTTCTCCCACCACGGAACACACAGCTGCCCACACCCACTTGTCCCCTAGGTCCACCTTATTGACATCTAGGCTCTGATATCATTTGTTGGGTTTCCTAAGCCCAGTCCAACACCCCCACTAATATGATATTGTCCGCTTTGGGCCAAAGTGGCAAAGTCCGCACGGATTTGTCTTTGGGCTCCTCCCAAAAGGCCTCATACTAGTTGGAGTTAGACATTACTTATATCATAGACACTTTCTGTCTATACTTCCGATGTGGGACTTGATTGATATCTCAACAAGTAAAACCTCAGAGAACGAAGAGAACGAAAACAACTGACGATACTACCTTTGTACTCAGATATATGTGTATCATACAAATATGATACCTTTGTTGTTTCCTGTGTTGTTCTTGATACGTTTTGGATATCGGGCAACCTGGATATTTGCATAAAGTTATACATAATGATCTTTCAATCAAAATGTCTGATATACAAATGTTTGTCTTCTACAACAGTGAGTAAATTAGCAAAAGAGGAATAACGTCGAATGTAAACCAGAAACCAATCTTGGAGACTTGGAGTTGCTGATTACAATTATTGAAGTTCAACATTCTTTTTTTTTTTTTTTTTTTTTTGTAAAGGCCAAATAATCTTCAAATACATATACTGTATTATAGTATTATATTATATGATGACTCGAGAATTTTTTATTTTTTATTTTTTTAAACATTTCTTATTCGACAAGGAAACGACATCAATTTCACGGAAGTTTGTTAGATTTGTTTGGCGCAAAGAAGTCAAGTCAATAACAAAGTAATATTAATATTGCTGCGCCATTTCTCAACGACTCTATATAGTCGTCTCCAATTCGCAACTTCTCATTTCACGATCTGAATAACCAAAACACACAAGTATAAAAGGAGGAGTACGTCTCCCATAGAAAGAAAAAAATAAACAGCTTCCTCATGGTTATTAGATTAGGTATATCACTCAATCGATGATCCCTCTAATTACATTGTGCAGAGTATATAAAGGGATCCTATACAATATGAACGTTATAGGCTATTAACTCAGATGCCTTATTTACATTGGAGAATATATGCATTCCATATTCTAATACCCTCCCGCAGTCACAACGTGTGGATCTCTAACGTTGAGACTGGTCTTGAACTCATTGAAGAGGGTGGAGGGAAGTCCCTTTGTGAAGATGTCGGCGTATTGCTGAGACGAGGAACGTGGAGGACACGCACCTGTCCAAGCGCCAGTTTTTCTCGCACAAAATGTATGTCAAGCTCGACATGCTTCGTTCGTTGGTGTTGGATTGGGTTTGTAGACAAGTATACCGCACTAACATTGTCACAGTAAACAATAGTAGCAGTTTGAATCGGGCAATGAATCTCAAGTAGGAGATTGCGTACCCAGATTGTCTCAGCAACCACATTTGCGACACCACGATATTCTGCCTCGGCACTGGAGCGAGAGACTGTTGGCTGGCGTTTGGATGACCATGAGATGAGGTTATCACCTAAGTACACACAAAAACCAGAGGTCGATCGCCGTGTGTTGGGGCAGCCTCCCCAATCAGCATCAGTGTAAGCCGTGAGCGTCGTAGTCTTGGATGGTGTAATGTGAAGGCCTTGTGAGATCGTGCCTTTGATATAACGGAGAATACGTTTCAACGCCGTGAAGTGTGGTTCTCGCGGGTCATGCATGTAGAGGCATATTTGTTGAACTGCATATGCGATGTCCGGCCGAGTGAACGTCAAGTACTGTAGAGCACCAGCAAGGCTGCGATAGAGAGTCGGATCTGCAACGGGCTCGCCAATGTCGGCTTGCAGTTTGGCGGCAGTATCAACCGGAGTGCGACATGGTTTGCAGTGAGACATATTCGCACGGTGAAGAATATCAGCTGCGTAGTTCCGTTGATCCAAAAACAATCCCGACTTGTCTCTGCGAACAGCAATACCAAGAAAATAATGAAGAAAACCGAGATCAGACATGGGAAATTCAGATTTAAGTGAGGATATGATAGACCTGATGAGAGACGGTGTAGAGGCTGTGAGTATAATGTCGTCCACATATAGAAGAAGATATGCAAACTCAGACCCTTGGCGTAAGATGAACAAGGACGTATCACATTTGCTGCGACTAAATCCTAGCAAATTGTGCAAACCGTTGATACCATGCCCTTGGTGATTGCTTTAAGCCGTACATAGATTTCTTGAGTAGACAGACATGGTCAGGTTTAGTGGGATCAACGAAGCACGGTGGCTGATGCATGTACAGTCTCTTCGAGATTGCCATGTAAGAAGGCGTTCTTGACTTCAAGCTGATGCAAGGGCCAGTCGCGAGAGACGGCAATGTCCAAGATGGTTCGTACAGTCGTCGGTTTAATCACAGGGCTAAACGTCTCTGCGCAATCGATGCCAACTTGTTGAGATTTCCCATTTGCGACGAGACGAGCTTTATGGCGAGCCAAAGTGCCATCGGCGCGAAATTTGTGAGTGTAGAGCCACATAGATCGCACAATATTAACCTTCGGAGGTCGGGGAACCAGATTCCAGGAGCGAGCTGCAATTTGAGAATCATATTCAGCATGCATAGCGCCATTCCAGGTTGGATCCTTGAATACTTCAAGATGTGAACGTAGTAGAGGCGAAATAACATCTGTGTGAAGAGAGATGAACTTCTTAGGCTTGGTAATGCCACTGCGACTCCTTGTCTGAATGCGATCAGGAGAAGGTGCTGGTGCAGGTTCTGGTTGACGAGGAGGGACAGGTGGAGGCGGATGAGGCACAGATTGGTCTGGTTCAGGTGGAGGAGCTGGTCTTGACGAGATGCGAGAGGAGCCAGAGGCAGGCATCGGTGAGTCGCATTCCACATGCGGTGTGGGTGACGGAGGTAGATCCCGTGGCGGAGAAGACGGTGGAGACACAACGAGAGGTGGAGATGGTGGATTCACTGGCGGAGGTGTTGGAGCCGTTGGGACAGCATGAAGAAGCGGTGGTGGATACACCAATGGTGAAACAGGAAACGGCAGTGGAGGTGGATTCGAATCTGCAAAAGGGAAAGTACACTCATCGAAAATAACATGCCGTGAGATTATAATACGACGTGATGCAATGTCGAGACATCTAAAACCCCGGTGATTAGGTGGATATCCTAAAAATACACACCGAGCTGACCGTTTTGAGAGTTTGTTCTGTGAAGTAGCAAAAAGGTTAGGATAACACAAACAACCAAATACCCGAAGGTGAGAATATGAGACGGGTTTGTTAAAAAGATGAGTAAAGGGAATCTGATTCTCAATGGTAGTGGAAGGTAAGATATTAAAAAGATGAGCAGCCATATTCAAAGCCTCGACCCAATATGTAGTGGGTAAGTTTGCTTGAAAAAGGAGAGCCCTCACCTGATTATTGATCGTGCGTAGAGTTCGTTCAGCTCGCCCATTTTGTTGGGACGTATGAGGACAAGAAAATCGTGGCTGTATTCCATGAGATGAAAAGAAATCCAGCATAGTACGATTGTTAAACTCACCTCCATTATCACATTGAAAAGCTTTAAGTTTGTGTGAAAAATGGGTTTTGACGAAGTTAAAAAAATGCAAGAATTTTGAAAACACTTCACTTTTCTGGCGGAGAGGATAAATCCAAACAAAATGGGAAAACTGATCGAGAAAAATCACGTAATATTTGATTCCACTAACACTAGTAACAGGAGAGATCCAAATATCCGAATGTATAATCTCAAAAGGAGCAGAAACAATTGTTTGTGAAGAGTAAAATGGTTGCCGTATGTGTTTTCCCAATTGACATGCATGACACAGTGAAGACACATCAGCTTTAGAGCAATTCAAAAAACCAGAAGTAGATAAAAAACGAAGAATCGAGTCGTCAGGATGGCCAAGACGTTGATGCCAAATCGACGATGGTGTGGAGGTGACCAATGCGTGAGGAGATGCCGGTGGAGACGGTGAGATAATGGCATAAAGAGAACCACTACTATCTCATCGGATTAGTGGAGTTCGGGAATGAAGATCCTTAACAACAAAACCAAATGGGTCAAATTCAACAGAACAAATATTATCACGAGTAAATTGTCTAACAGAAACCAAGTTTTTAAGAATCTGTGGGCAAAGCAAAACATTTTTAAGAAACAGAGGACGAGAAGAAGAAGGTACAGTGGAGTGACCAATTGCAGTTGCAGGGATGAGAGCACCATTACCGACAGTTATTAAAGGTAAAGGGGCCGAAGTGGAAACAGAAGAAATTTTACCAGGTTGTGATGTCAAGTGAGCCGTCGCACCAGTGTCCATATACCAGCCAGCATCTGTCGGGTCCGATAACGTCGTCGTATTGAAGACATTAGCCAAGGCGGTAGGAATCGGATCCGCTGTCGGAACCGGTGACAGAGGCACAGGCGGATTGTGCGTGGAGATGTAAGCCGCCCGTGGGTTGTGTCCGAGAATCCCTGACGACGGCGGCTGCGTGACCTGAGACTGAGGTCGAGGAGGATAGTTGGGCCATGGAGATGGAGTGGGCCAGGTCATGGGCCATGGGGATTGTTGCTGCCATGGGGAAGGCATGGGCCATGGTGGTGTGTTGGGCGAAGCCCATGGTGGAGGTGGCCCAGTATTCCAATTGTTTCCTGACCAATTCGAGTTTCCTGACCAATTCGAATTGCCTCGACCCCGACTATTGCGACCACCACGATTTCCTCGTTGACCTCGATTCCCACGGTTCTGGTTATCAGACGAGTTAGATCGCGGATGATGATCATATGATGGAGGCGCCGCCACTACGAGAATTTGGGGAGCGGAGGCGTTATCATGATGAGAGGGTTCGGCCTGGCGTTTGGTGTTAAGCCGATCTTCCTCGTCTTTGAGCATTGAGCGGGCAATACTGAACGTGCACGGCGGAGATCGGTGCTTGATAACATTGATTATGTTATCAAATTTGGAGCTGAGCCCATTGAGGAGATGCATAACCAGTTGTCGCTCAGTGATAGGCGAGTCAACGTTGGCAAGCAGATCGGAGATAGTTTTTAATTTCTGACAGTAATTGTGGACCGCGAGGTCGCCAATCCGAAGCTGTCGGAGTTCATTCTGGAGTTGAATGGCTCTTGCTTCCTTGTTATCACGGAAAAGGTTTTCCAATGACTTCCACAACTCCGTCGCGGAACATTTGGTCTTGAGCACCGACTTGAGTAGAGACTCGGAGATGGTGCCATAGATCCACATTTTAACCGTGCCGTCGGTCTGTTCCCAGACCGTGTCATCTTCACCGTCGAGGTGGCCGCGAACATTGACGAGTTTCGAATAGCTCACGCCAGATGTCGTAGTTCATCTGATTCATAAAAATAAATAGATTTGATTTGAGTGAGAGTGAGGGATCGATCTGTTGCAGGCGCAGTTGCAGCCATTGTGTAAAACAAGAAAATAAAAATGAGAAAGATGAAGCGTGAAGTGAAAGAGAGATCGGAAAAGAGAAGAAAAATAGAGGGAGGCGGCAGAAGACTTAGAATTCTAAAGAGAAGGTATGCTCTGATACCATATTAGATTAGGTATATCACTCAATCGATGATCCTTCTTATTACATTGTGCAGAGTATATAAAGGGATGATCCCTCTCATTACTTGATAGTATCTTGATGAGAAGTATCCTGAGCCACCTTTGTTACCTCGTGACCTCCATAAACGAGCTTTAAATTACCAGGTGTTTTTTTTATCCAAAAACACTAAAATGGTATGCAGATTAAAAAATTAATGTTTTTTTTTTATATTTGTATTATTTCAGGCTGCGAGTATTATCTCCTCTGGTATACAGCCTCATCAAAATCTAGCTGTTATTGTAAGGACATTTGATTGATCACATTTCTTAAAGATAAAACATAACTAATTACGTTGTAAGGACATTTGTAATTAAGTTGACAAAAGAAAAATACTAATTACGTTTTTTGTTATTATTTTTAATAGAGGTATATCGAGGAAAAGGTAAATGCTGAGGAGAAAATTGCTTGGATTAATAACGCTATCAGAAAAGGATTTACAGGTATGATGAGGTCTCTCTAACTATAATCAAGAACAAAGACATATGTCATGAAAATTGTTAATTTGGTTGAGAGACTTTGGTGAAGTCTTTTCTTATATTGAAATATTACCCTTACGTCTTATTTTGTTACTAAGCTTTGGAGAAACTGTTGGTGAATTGCGCTGGAAAATATGCAACTGGGGATGAAGTTTACTTGGTATTACTCTAAAATCCTCTACTAAGTAACTCTCTTCCAAGATTTCAAGAAACAAAATGATTTACTTAAAAACCATGGAAGCATTGATTACTATTATTTTTTCTTTGCAGGCTGATATTTTTCTAGCAGCTCAAATCCATGGAGCAATGATTAAATTCCAGATTGATGTGGTAATTTATAACCTTTTCGCCTTTAAATATCTCATTATTCTTTTTTTTCGCATAACCATGGTTTCTTACTTGTAACAGTTTTGTATGAATTTTGTATAGGAACCGTACCCAACTCTTGCAAAGTGTTACGTTTCATACAAGGAACTGTCTGTGTTTGAAGATGCAGTCCCATCGAAGCAGCCAGATGCTCCAGCTCCAACCATCTGATTCTCTTGTGAAACAGAGAACCTTCTTGTACCACGTTTAATCATTGTGAATCTATATTCGTGTATTTTCCTTTTGAAACTATTTAAGACTTTTTAGTATCTAAATGATACCTTCATCGACCGTTGTGGACTTGTTTCGCTTATCACAGGGAAAACAAGAAGAAATCTTGATCCAACGGTTCCGATTGCTAAAGCATATTAATCTAATGGTTCCAAATTGAAAGACGAGCTGGCGCTGTATCAGTTGGTGATTTAGGCTGAATCTTTGTCGAGCCTGGGCTTTTGTATAAAAGGCCCAAAGTCACTCCCAACATTACGTTAAACTTTGATTGGTTTCAACTTTCAAATACGCAAACAAAAGAGTCAACTGAAACCGATTTTGTTGATTTTATTTGACGCTAAATAACGAAAAAGAAAGGTTTTAATTTTAAAATTGGTTTCCAACTACATACTACAGTGTCGTCTTCGAATTCGCCACTTCTTCTCTATAATCAAAAACATACAGTCGCTAGAATCTCTGAAGAACAATCCATTCCTGAATCCTGAACATGGTTTATAGATCTTCCCATGGCTTTTTATCACATCATTGTCTTCAATTCACTTACCGCGTAATTTTATTTCACGTTTGAGCGATGATGATGCTAACTTCAAATATATTTCCGATGTGAATCAGGCGAATCTCGGTGAAGAGAAGAAGGAAGAGCTCAAGCTCTACTCTTACTGGAGAAGCTCCTGTGCTCATCGTGTCCGTATCGCCCTCAATTTAAAAGGTCTCGCCGAATTATTATTATTATTTTTTTTTTAATTGCTTCTACTCATTTCGTGGACAATCTGATTTTGGATTTTTGGTCGATTGTGTGTTTTTAGGGATTAAATATGAGTATATACCAGTGAATTTGCTCAAGGGGGATCATCTCGATCCAGGTGCGTAGTTTCCTGTTTTTTTTTACTTTGTTTTGATTCGGATTCAAGGTTGAAATATTGCAGAAAAGTAACCATGTGGATAAGAATTGGTTTCTCATGTCAAAAAGCCTTAATCGTTTTGATCCTAAAGATTTCAAGAAGATCAATCCAATGGGATTTGTGCCTGCGCTTGTGGATGGAGATGTTGTGATTTCTGATTCTCTTGCCATTTTGATGGTAACTGAAAACATCAAATTTAGGTCTTAATTTGTGGGTTTGCAAAGGAACATTTCATCATTGATCTTTGCTTTTGTGGTTGTTTTGATTGACAGTATCTGGATGAGAAATATCCTGAGCCACCTCTCTTACCTCGTGACCTCCATAAACGTGCTCTAAATTTCCAGGTCAATCTCAGCTTCTCTTTTTGAATCAAATAATAGTGCACAGTAGCAGTATTGATTGTCCTGCTTCCCAATCTAAATGGAAATTTATGCAGATTGTGAATGTAATGGTTCCTTTTTTGTGTATGTATGTTTCAGGCATCAAGTATAGTCTTGTCTGGGATACAGCCTCATCAAAACATATCTGTTATTGTGAGTACATGAGATTAACGTTAATTCCTTAGGTATTTTAGCCATTGTGGGATCTCTATATAAAGCAAACCTAGTTACGTCTTTTTTTGGTCATTCCTTACAGAGATTTATCGAGGAGAAGATAAGTAGTGAGGAGAAAAATGCTTGGGTTAATAACGCCATCACGAAAGGATTTGCAGGTATGATATCTGTAAACTACCTTAGTCTGCAACATTCTGCAAAAATGCTTGGGTTAATAATGTTTTAGTTGATATTGTGGTTGAAGTCTTAACTCACTTCTCATTGTATCATATTCATGCTTTGTATTTGGTGCCACTCATTTCATTTGTCTTTCAGCTCTCGAGCAACTGCTGGCGAGTTGCGCTGGGAAATACGCGACTGGTGATGAAGTTCATTTGGTATTTGCTCTAAATCTCTCTCTGGATTTTACTCTATGCTACTTTACTCTCTTCTTTTCTTACAATGAAGCATTGCTTTTGCAGGCTGATCTCTTTCTAGCACCACAGATCCATGGAGCAATCAACAGATTCCAGATTAACATGGTACTTTAATTCCTTCTCCAGTCAACAGATTTTTGCATACTATATTGTTATCTTTTTTTCACACTCACAGTCCTACTGTTTCTGTTTCTATCACTCTGTTTGATCTATTTCTACAAATTTTCAAAACATGCTCTCTTATATCCACAGGAACCGTACCCGACTCTTGCAAAGTGTTACGAGGCATACAACGACCTTCCTGCGTTTCAAAACGCTGTCCCAGAGAAACAGCCAGATGCTCCTGCTCCTGCTCCCAGTCTCCCACCATCTGATTCTGTGAACCGCAAGCTTCTCTCAGCTCAATAAAACCTCTCATAGACAACAACAATGATACTAATTCATTGTAATACTCGTAAATCTATGTATCATATAAACCTATTTGTTTCTTCCTTCTTGCATAAAAGGTCACAGAGTTTGGAATTCTCAAAGATGTCTGTCTTGTTCATTCAGACTTCAGAGGAAGCTATTGTCTAGAGACTTCTGGACCGTCCCCTTAACCGCATCTTCAACTGCAGTAAAAAATAAGCCCCAGCTCAGTCAGTTTCTTAGCCGCATCATTGCCCGGCATAAGCCCTATTAGTGTGCATAGAAACCGAACAATACGCTTCATAGTGAGTTTGAACTTGAATCTGATCGCTTTTAATATGAGGCTATGAAACGAATGTGTGGCCATATAAGTCGACGTTCTTCTCTCTAGGCTTTCTTCTTACTCAAATGTAACAAACGAATTTTTTTAAGGGAGTGTAGAAGATCAAGTTGCTTTTTTTTTCCATTTTCTATGTAAGACCAGCCTAGGTTATCCATCTCTTCCCAGTTCGTTTATTTACATCATGTATGTTCTTTCCTGTCCCGTCCTGTCCTATCCTATCCAATTATGTTTCTTTCTATTTTGTTATGTCCCATTCCATTCCTTATGTTTCTTCTCGTCTCATTCTCTAAATATAGTTAGGGATAGGTGAAATTCCTCTATAGTCCCATCCCGTTCTATTTCGTTTCTTTTCATCTTGTTCCGTTCTTTCCGGTCTCTTTTGTCCTGTCTGTCCATGTCACATCATATACTGTCATGTTCCTTTCCACTTTGTCATGTCTCTGTCCCGTCTCTAAATATAATTAGGGAAAAATTTCCATCCCGTCCCATTATATCCCTTTTCATCCCGTCTCGTCCAATCCCGTTGTAACATCCCAATTTGTGATAAATGAAGAGATGCTTAAGAGAATTTATTTGGCTACCTAAGTCAACAAACTGCACTTACCTTTTCGGTTTAAGGCCCATAAGTAACTCCAGAGTTAAGCATGCTTGGGCTGGAGTAGTTGAAGGATGATGACCTTTCGGGAAGTGATTTCTGAAACCGTGTAAGTGAGGACACAACATGGGGAAAGGTCAGGATTGCAGGAATAGTAAACAAGTCATTAGAGCCTCTAAAAAATAATGCACCAACCGTCGGACAGGGGTAGGGCCCACGGGCCGAGAGAGGGCGTGGGTGACTCACCGGGATGGGCGGTCGGGGCGTTATACCCGTCTCATTCCATTCCTTTTCATCCCGTCCCGTCCAATTACGTCCTATTCCATTTCTTTTCATCATGTCTCGTCCAACCTTTATGTTTTATCTTGTCTCATCATGTTCCTTTCGTTTTTTAGACAAAAAAATTTTTGAAAAAAAATATCTGTTTTATGATATATAAAAATGATCATATTAGTAAATCTATTTCTAATAAAATAAATTTCAGTTTTATGATAAATGAGAAAATGACAATTGACCTTTCATATTCCGCTCAAACCTATTGAAATTAACTAATTAAATGGATGATGAACTCACAACACTAACTTTAAAAAGAGACTAGGGGTGATCCGCCCAAAGATTTATATTGTTGTGTTAATTTTATTATTTTCTGCAAATTTAATTTATTTCTATGGTTTATTATTGTTACAGAAATATTATAATAATTAAATATAATTAGGGTTAGAAAAAATTCTCGTACCATCTTGTTCCATCTCGTCCCACTTCGTTTATATTCATCATGTTTGTTCTTCCCCGTCCTGTCTCGTCCGTCCTATATGTCATGTCCCTTCCAGTCTCATCATATCTCATTACGTTTCTTTCCATGTTGTTATGTTCCATTCCGGTCCTTCTGTTTCTTCTCGTCACGTTCCCTAAATATAATTAGAGGTAGGCAAAATTTCCATATAGTCCCATCCCGTTCTTTTTCATCTTGTCCCGTTCGTCCTGTCTCCGCTGTCTAGTCCCATCATATACTGTTATGTTACTTTCTATTTTTTCTTATCTCTACTGTCTTTAAATATAACTAGGGTAGGTGAAATTCAAGTCCAATCCCGTCCCTTCTTGTCCAATTATGTCTATTTTCATCCCGTCCCATTCCATTTTTTTTCATCATGTCCCGTCCAACATTTTCGTCTTGTCTTGTCTCATCATATTCCTTTATTTTTTCCATTCTCCCCCTTAATATAATTAGAGGTAATCGGGAATCCGTTCCTTTAGATCTCGTCTCGTCACTTAATATAATAAGACGTATGCAAAATTCCCCTCTTCTCATGTTTTGTTTTTTCTTGTCTCGTCGTATTCGATCTCGTCTCATTTTATCACAAAATAATATTTTTAAGTGTTCTTTTTATAATATCTTGACATCAACTTAAATTATATAATCTGACAAAAATAAATTATTAATAATAGTTTTTCTAGATCTATACTTAACCTTTTTTTTTTTTTAATGACTTTTTATATTCTTGTTAAGTTTATTATATTAATCAACTAGATTAGGCCCCGCGTATACGCGGGTTTATTTTAATATAATTGAAATAAATCATAGGAAAATACTAAACAAAAATCTGGTCACTTTTAAAAGTAAGTAGAATAATATTCAAAAGATTATTTTGATTATTATAATTATAATATTTAATTATAATTGATTATTCTATTTAAAAGATTTCGATTGATGAAATCTTTTTCATAATATTGTTTTACCTAAAAAAATAGAAAATTAATTATAAATTAGAATATATCAATTAGATATATTTTTAATGTTATAATTATTTTGTTAATTTTCTATTTATCATATTTTTTGTTCAATTTTGTTTTGCCTCAGACCATTATAAATTTTCTTATTCATAATTAGTTAGTTGTTTTAAAATTATTTTGTTAGTTTTTTTATTTATCTTATTACATTTTTCTAATTTTCTTTTGTTAACACATGTTATCACATGATCATATATTAGAAATTTTGCGACAAAATTTTCAATTTCTACCCAACTTATCTAAAGTTAAATATTCTTCATTGATATCTTGAACTTTAAAGTACATGATTTTTATTTTGTAATAAAAGAGAAAGTTTAAACAAAAGATAGAATCACAGATATAAATCATGAAAGCTATAACTTATTATATATTGTTTTTTTTGTTTCCTTTTCTTAATGGGAATATGTTTTTTCTCCTTTTCTTAACGGATGTAACATTTTTTCTTTTATTATTTGTTTCATGTTTTTCTGAATATCGATTATTTTTCCTTTTCGTATTGGGAGTATGTTTTTTTCCTTTTCTTGATGGATATAACATTTTTAAAAAAATTGCTATTTGTTTCCTATTTTTCCTTGAATTGTGTTTTCCTGTTTAAAAAAAATGTAAAAATTTAATGTTAATCTATTTATAATTATATATATATTTAATGTTATATGTTAAAATTTCTTTTTTTCTTAATTTTCGTTTTTCTAATATTTAAATAAATAAAATTTTTTTTTTCAAAACACGTGTCACGATCTTAACGGTCTTAACATTAAAAGTGACACATGTCGCGATCATATAATTTATAAAAATCCTATGTGTCGCAACCACGTCGCGCGCATCCAGCTTTATATAATAAGATATCCCTAATATATTAAAAGAGAAAACACTTTGAAAATAACCTTTTGTGATGTGTTATTAACAAAAATGCCATGCTGATGTGTCATCACTAGGAAGCTTCTCATGCTACTTATAAAATAAGGTTTAGTTTACTAGAATAATTACAAACAATGCCACTCATATATTATGATTATAAAATCAAATATGTCTTTATATACTAAATATAAATTAAAAACAATTATACTCTTTCCTTAATTGATAGTCACGGAAATTAGTAAATAAGGAAGGTACTCAATTCAATTATATCATATTAATTATTTTTAAAATCATTATATTTTTCCTATCATCTTTGTTTAACTTTATTTTAAAAAAAGAATTTGAATCATCTATATAAAATTAGAATTAAAATCTCCATTTTTGTAAATGCTATGATTTAAATAATTTAAATCAAAATAAATCACTAAAAATGTTAAAATCCCACATCAGATATGTCATTGAGTGATGGTTTAGAAATCTGTTATAAAAAATGTATATTATGTGCAACCATTTGAGTAGAAAGCCTCACTTAGTAGGCATCTAAATGTAAAAGGTTTTTCTTCATTCGATTTAACTGATTTTCATATAAATTGTATAATTAGTTCAAATAAATAATTATTAAATTTGATCATAATTGTAATATATTTTAATTATATAATAAGTTAAATTATTTTAAATATTATATTTGATAAAAAATTGAATATTATAATTTCATATTATAAGTTTAAAAGAAATTATAATATTTAACTTATAATATTTAACATGATAAAAAATTAAGGTATTACTATATATTCTAATAATAATTCTATCAAGATTTAAAAATAATACAAAATTTAAAGATTTATAATATAATTTGTAATTTTAGTAACTAATCAATAATATAAAACTAAAGAAGTATATATTTTTCTGTATGTATTGAATATTTTAAAATAAAATTTTGATGCTTTTACAAATACATTTTTCGTCGGTTAGTTTATTAAAAGTCTAAAACATGAAAAATATCCTTAATTTAATATAAAATATATAGGTCAAATTAAATATATTAGTCTGCACTAACATCTATAAAAACTCTAAATGCATACATTCACATAAAAACAAAAATAAAATCTTATAATTAGTTTGCAATTTCATTACTATTACAAATTCTATTGTTTACATATATATTATTGCTTTATTTTTGTTTTGTATTTTTGATATATATTTTTCTTCTTTAATCGGTATATTAACATCAGCTAAAAGGCAAGAAAATTTTGAAAATTGGTATGCTATTTTAGCGGTATAATCAACGGTGAATGTGAATGTCACAACTATCAAACTTTGTAAAAAAAAAAATATATATAGAAACTATTATCCCACGCTGGACGAGGATCAAACCCATATTAATTATTATAAAAATTAAAATAGAAGAAGATATAATAAATCAAATAAGATATGCTAATGTGTCAATTTTTTAGGCTATTTGTGTACCGAGGTTGGAAGCCTAGGAAAAAAGACCATTTAACTTTACATATATAGATTAAAAATATATCACAGTACATAAAAGTTATCGAAATGAGAGATTTTCATTTTAATGATTTGACAATATTTGGATAGTTAAAGCAAAATTTGAAGTGATTTATGAACATTTTCATGTCATAATAAATACCCTTGGTTCTCATGAGTCCATACACGAGATTCTCTCAACCAACATGAACAAAAAATGTCAGCTACCATTTATTAATTTCTTTCTTTTTTTTGACAAATGTAGACAATTATTGTTCTTTAATAAATATTATTTTGCTTTGGGTCAGAAATTCACAACATTATAAATAAGGAAACAAGGATAAACATTTTCAATCACACACACAAAGATGACCAAGATCATGAAACTCTCTTCAATAACAATGATGTTCACTTTGCTTCTCCTTGCAAATGGTCTTGTCTACGCTAGGATTGAATCTTCTTTTCCTCCACCAAACCCAAAATTTCAATTCGACTCAGAACCGATCCATAAACCACCAGTTTTCTCAACAAAATCTAACCAAGATGTTAGGATAAACTCTTGGTTTTATCCACCAGGTCCAAGATTCTCCGACTCTAAATCGATCCCTAAACCACCAGTTTTCTCAACAGAATCCAACCAAGATATTAGAATCAAGTCTTGGTTTTATCCACCAGGTCCAAGATTCCAATCCGACTCTAAACAGAATCCATAAACCACCAGTTTTCTCAACAGAATCTAACCAAAATGTTAGGATCAAATCTTGGTATTATCCACCAGGTCCAACATTCTAAATATAAGAACTCATGTTTTTTTTTTCTCATATCAAACGCTTCTAAAATTATATAATAATACATGACAATATAAAACATTGTTTGTGTTATTGTATATTTTACCAGCAACCTATCACCTATGATAATAATAATATATTTATATTAAATTGTTCATATGTTGGTTACAATAGTATCGCAATGTCATTTTGTTCTCACGAACAAAATGGAGACATCATGTGCGAAAGTCTCACTCAGTTCTTAGTGTAAACATTAATCATATAACCTCAGAGAATAACAACAACAACAAATGATAGTAATACATTGTACTCACATATATGTGTATCATCAAGACATCATACAAACCAGTTTCCTCTACTTGTATAATATACAATAAAGGCCACAGAATTTGGAAATCAGAAAGATACATTCAGAGAAAGCCTTTGTCTCTAAGACTCTGGACCGTCTCCTTAACAGCATCTTCAACCGCAGTAAAAACCAAACCGAGCTCAATCAATCTCTTAGCCGCATCTTCACACGGCGTAAGCCCTGGCTGAGTTTCTCCATCAAACCTATTCACATCAAACTCAGGGTAGAGCTTGGACACTAGAGCAGCGAACTCACCGAACTGATAAATCCCATTAGTGCACAGATACCGACCAGAAGCCTCAGGTGTCTCGAACAGCATCACGTGACCTCTAGCCACGTCTCTCACGTGCACCACACCTAGCCAGTGGTGCTCTTGTGTCTCTGTCGAGCCTTGCAAGAGCTGTAACAAAACCGCGCAGCTTGCGTTTAGGTTCGGTTGCAGAAGCGGTCCGAGACATGTTGATGGATGTATCGTCACAATGTTGGTTCCGTGCTTCTCCGAAAACTTCCAAGCCGCTTTTTCAGCTAGTGTCTTTGAAATCGGATACCATTTCTAAAAACCAAATTATACAAATTAATAACGACTTTAACTATATTTCAAAAATAAATGTTTTAAACTGAAATTAATGGAACCTGGTTCGATTTGCAAAACTCGAGATCGGTCCACGAAGTCTCGTCGACGGATTTTCCTTCCGGCCAGTTAGGATTCGGAACCAACGCCGAGATTGAGGAAGTGATCACCACGCGCCTCACATTGAACCGCTTTGCTGCTTCCAGTACGTTGATGGTTCCCTTAACCGCCGGTTCGACCAGCTCCTTCTCGGGATTAACCGGTGGATCCAACGTACAAGGTGACGCCACGTGGAAAACTCCCGCGCATCCATCGATTGCTCTGGAGATTGCGTCGGAGTCTAGGAGATCGGCTTCGAAGATCTTGATCTCGGTGTTGTTTGTGTCGTCGGATCCGGGTAGTTTCAGGAGATGTGTCGGGTCGGATCCTGGGTAGATTGAAGCGTGGATTTTGGTGTACCCATTCTCGATTAACGTTCGGATTATCCAGGATCCGATGAAACCATTAGCTCCGGTCACACAAACTGTCTCCTTCGCCATGGATGATTTAAGTAAGAGCTCACAGATATTTGTTTTCTCTGAACCAAGCTTCGTATTTTCAATATAATTTATTTTGATTTTCGAATTAAATTTATATTTGGGTGTTTTGGTTTTTGTCTGAAGATAGTTAAAAACACTTTACCTGTAAAAAAGGATCCTTTTTTTCTTACTCGGAAAATTTTCGATATTTCTTAAAGATATATGCGTCGACTGGGAAAAAGCATGTGTCGTTGACATGATATTATCCACTAGTTATATAGACTTTTCAAATTCTGCAACGAATTATTCTAAAGATGAAAACCGCCGGAGCGCCGCCGCAGAGAGGTGGCTCCTCCTCCTCCGCCGCCTACTTTTACCAGTCTTCATCATCTTCGTCTGCTAGCTGTAGAGTTCTCGTTGTGAAGATGGGAGGAAAAAGCAAGAACCATCAATCTCCCTCTTCTAAGGTCTACTCACGATTCACATTTATGTAAAGGTTTCGACTTTGAGACCCAAAAGTCTCTTTAATCCATGAAACTGAGAGTTTTTCAAGTGAAATTTAGTGGGTATTACCGTTAAAGTTCATAACTTTGAATGAATTCCGAAATTCTCTCATCATTTTAATCAATTTGGTTCCTCTTAGATCTCCATTGTTGGAGTTATGGATATGATGGATGTCGATTTAACATTGTAAGCTCATAGATTTGTATAAATTCTGAAATTCTCAGTTGTTAATCTTAGTTTATGATCAATTTGGTTCCTTCATAGATTTGGTGATATGGATATGATGAATCTCCATTGAGCATTTTGCAAACCATTGATCTGCTTTTGGTATTTTTTCATAGCAGGATTCAGAGCCAGAACCACCAAGAATCAAATCCAATGTGAAGCATAATTTGCAGCTTCTCAAGTTATGGAAGGCATGTAGTAGTTATGCCTTACCAATTGTCTCAAAGAATCTGTCTAAATTCTAATCCTTGGAATGTTCTGTGATGTGTAGGAGTTTCAGAGCAGAGGATCTGGCTCAGCAAAGCCAGCGACTAGTTACCGGAAGAAGAAAGCAGAGAAAGACGAGCTACCGGACGATAGCGAGCTCTACCGTGATCCTACAAACACACTTTACTAGTAATTACACTGTTTTGGAAGACTATTCATTTCTTTCAAGAACGGTTTCTGAGGTTTGAAAAGTTTAAGGAATGCTTGTTTGTGTTTTATCCTGAAAGCGGTTTTACAGCACGAGTCAGGGTCTGCTGGACGATGCAGTTCCGGTTTTGCTTGTTGATGGTTATAATGTGTGTGGGTATTGGATGAAGCTGAAGAAACATTTCATGAAGGGTAGGCTTGACGTTGCTCGCCAAAAGCTAGTTGATGAACTTGTCTCCTTCAGTATGGTTAAAGGTACAACCTTTCTTTAAAGAATCTGTAATTGGTTTCATTTTGCAATGAGAAAGTTTGATTTTTTGAAATTGATTGTGTAGAGGTTAAGGTAGTGGTTGTGTTTGATGCTCTCATGTCTGGTCTTCCTACTCACAAGGAAGACTTTGCTGGGTAAAGTAAAAACCATTGTTTTCGATATCTTTCTTTGACTATGAAACTCTAAAAGGTTTCTCCTTTTTGGCCAGTGTTGATGTGATTTTCTCTGGAGAAACTTGCGCTGACGCTTGGATTGAAAAGGAGGTAAGGAAACATGATCTTGATATGCGATCAAGACAGTTCAAAATGATGGGTTTTGTTAGTTTTTTTATAAGATTTCTGATGGTATTGATAGGTGGTTGCATTGAGAGATGATGGATGCCCCAAGGTGTGGGTTGTAACGTCTGATGTATGCCAACAGCAAGCAGCACATGGAGCGGTATTGCGCAATCATATCGATGTTATAAACTCGTTATGCGCATGATCTTGTTCTTGATTTTGGTGACTGATTCTTGACAGGGAGCTTATGTTTGGAGTAGCAAGGCACTTGTTTCTGAGGTATGATCCTTTAAATGAGTTATTTCTTTCTGTTTTTGTGATTCAATGAGAAGTGAAACATTGTTTTGTAGATCAAATCAATGCACAAGGAGGTTGAGAGAATGATGCAGGAAACAAGGTTACACTGTGTGCTTTTCGCGTGTTTTCTTATGTTCTGCGGTTTGGAGCTAAACCGAAAAACTCTGGACTACTTTTTGTTTACACAGGTCAACATCTTTCCAAGGGAGATTGCTGAAACACAATCTTGATTCTGAAGTTGTGGATGCTCTTAAAGATCTAAGAGACAAATTATCAGAAAACGAAACAAAGAGATGACAAAGATCAGTCCAGATGATAACTAGACCCGGTTTCTCCATTTAACTTCTGTCCCAAGGAAGCTAATCTGACTTATGAAGCAGAGTGGGTCAGGAGCATAGAGAGAGTGAGAGAGAGGGCTCAAAGGCTATGTTGTTGTGTCTGGATTTGTTGACTAATATGTACATTCGTTTTCTTTTGTCCCAACAGTTGTTATGAGGTGTACAAATCATTTGTTAAATCAAAATTCTGAATTTCCATATTCAGAAGCATGAAAAGTTCAAAAAACCGTTTACCAAAGATTTTTGTAAATTTTATTTGTTCCCTAAATAACTTTTGTATCACAAACTCGGGTCCTCCTTTTGTATCACAAACAAGTTCAAAAAACCGCTTACCAAAGATTTTGTAAATTTTATTTGTTCCCTAAATAACTTTTGTATCAAAAACATTTTTGTAAAGAGCATGTTTGCTCCGAAGTTTTGATCTTGCAATCAAAGTAAAAAAAAAATTCCTTTTAGCCAACAAGCTTCTTTTATTTTTGCTTCTTTTAAGTGTTTCAAAATTCAAGTTCATCATAAACCTATAACCCAAGCCATCAAACTTCCTATTCAAGCCTAAGTGCCTCTAAATCTAAGCAATTGTGCTTCTCCTTATGCAAGTCTATCATAGACCTCTGAATATAAGCCTAGTGCTTCTACAATTCAAGTATGAATGCTTATGAATCTAGGCCATTGAGGTTCTTATTCAATACTGTAATGGTCTTATTTTTTATGCAAAAAAACCAATTTGATAATGAAACATAAGATTTTTAAACACAGAACCACCTGCAATAACAAACTATTATGAAAAATAGTTAACTGTAACTCAATATAACGCATATTACATTAACTATGACTAGAAAGTAATGTTAACGTATACTTTTTTAACATCATATGGCAGAGAACAATGTAAAATTTATGTTGTGCTTTTTTTTGCTGAATTAAAAATTATTTTTTGCTTATATGAATGTAAAGATTAATAAAATATAGAGTTAAACTTGACTTGATGAAGGAAGGTTAGAATAAGAGTTAAACTTGACTTGATGGCTGATGTGGTACTCTTATTTCATAATTTAGATTATATCATCAACAAAGAATTTAGTACTGAAACTGCTGCTAGGGTAGTAGAGTTGCCTGGCGTAGAAAGCAACTAACTTGCGGAAAGGGACGTCTATTCCATAATTTAGATTATATCATCAACTAAAAAATTGAGCAAAAATTCTACATAATTTTCATCAAATTCTTTTTGACATTTTTTGGGACAAATTGAGCCAAATTTAGGAGAATGTTAAACATACAAAATAAGTTTGAACATTTGTTATAGGCTGCCCATGGGACCTGAGTTTTTATTGAACCGGGCCTGCCTGCCTCTTCCTCTTGCTATTATTTGAACAAAGATTGTTAGAGCATCTCCAACCCATGCTAAATATGACATATATGCTATTTTGCCATAATTTTTGCTCCAACCCAATTGCATATGCTATTGCAAAATAGCATCATGCTATTTTTGCTTCTATATTTGGCATGAGATTATGCAATATGCTATTTTGCCATTGAACTTTTTTATTTATAAAATAGTCCTTCAATTTGTAATTACTTTTAATTTAACAGTTTAATTATATTGATTATGATTTATTTAAATAAATAAACAATACTCATAACTTTTTCAAAATATAAATAATATTTATTTCATAGAAATATAAAAACATAACCATAATAAACTTAAAATTTTATTTTTAAAAATACTGAAATTCAAAAAACATAAAACAATAGGTTAAAATCTTTGTTTTCTATAATTTTTATGTAATATGATGTATTTTGTTTTAATATTATAATAATAAAATAAAAATAAAAATAATTCTGGTTGTTTTTGCAAAAAAAGAAAAACAAATGATTCACTTTGTAAAATTTGAAGAAATCAAGTAGTTTTAACAATTAATAATAAGTTGGAAAAAAATTATAGCATGATATATGGCATGAGGGGTTGGAGAAAACCCAATGCTATTGCTATATTTTTGCCATTTGCAATAACATATGGCATGAGGGGTTGGAGATGGTCTTAGGGCTAACAAGGAATAATGAGATGTAAAAGTTTTTTTTTTTTTTGATAAAGATGAGATGTAAAAGTTCTTTGACCAAAAAACGAAAACAAAAAAAACTAATAATATTCGTATGAACATAAACTGCTACAGATTCTACTGGTATTGGGAAGATCAAGTGAGAGAAATTAAGAAAATCAAAGCTCAAATTTGACGCCAAGAAGCAAATTAATGAGCATCTAACGCAAAATTAATGAACAAACAAATGAACATATAACGCAAAAATAAAGAGAAATTTTTTTGTGACTTCAAATACAGTGCGCAAAAGAGATTGGATTGTTGTGTTGAACCGTCTCCCTATTAAACATGTAATGTTCTTCAAATACAGTGGGCGAAAGAAATTTGGTTCTTAACACATGCAAAATCGCATACAATAACAACCTACTGCGAAAAATAAATTCACTTTAACTTAATAGAACGCATATTACATTAACTATCATCAAAAGTTAACATTAATATAGCAAAGAACAAATAAGTAAAAACTTATGTGAATGTAAAGACTCTAAGAATATATAGTGAATAGTTGACTCAATAAAATAGGGATATAAATAAGGATGCTAAAGTATCATTAATTCTTTGTTTTTTAAAACAAATCTAAAAAAAAAAATTGAGAAGATTGTTTGAGAAAAAGAACATGTAAAGACAGCTCTCGTCATCACATAGGGTCCTGATAACTACATATGGGGGACTAATGGTTCAAAAGTAAATAACTACTCAACATGATATATTTACAAGCTACTCAGAGACCACCGGCCTCACGTTGTCAAGTACTGCTCACTCTATAAATGATTCATCTTTTTAACATAATAAAGAAGAAATACATAAATAATCTTAATAGTATTCCTTGATTATCCAGTTCTCGTTTGCTTCCATTATTTCCTACTAGTTGACATTCAGAAAAATGACCCGTGAAAGATTTCAATAATACACAAAAATACATGAATCCATATGTGTAAGCTTGATACAGAGTGACACAGACAAAACTTGAAATTGTCGTTTAGAACACGTTGACTTCGTCCCATAAGAAAGTTCCATAAAAAGACGTGTGTAGACAAAGTTACACACACGTATATAAATATGACAGAGCAGAAGATGGCTGTACTAGAGAAGTGACGATAAACAGAGAATAATAGATCCAAAAAGAACATGGAAGCATCGAAATATTCGTTTGATTAAAAAAAAAAAGAACGAAGTGTAATTATTTTGGTGATAATAAATTAAGTCAACGGAAGAAACAGACGAAGAGATTCACGAGATATCCCCCTTCTCATTTAATATTTTTGTCTTAAAAAGAGACATTTCTTTGATTTCAGTACAATTCATGGTCCGACTTCTCCGACCATTATGTCTTGATACTTTTTTTTTTGTGGTTCTAAGTTCTAACAAAACTAAATGCTCCGTTCAAAATTTTGTTTTTTTTAAAAGAAGCTGAGCTAGTTAATTTACTACCATCACTGCAAACAAATTTGTTGAATTGAGAAACACTGAAAGAGTTTCAGTTGAAGGCTGCACTTCTATGATATCCATTTTCAAAACTACACTTTTTCCATATTGAGTAAAAGAACTTTAAACCCTAAAATATAAACCCTAAACCCTAAAATTTAACCTTAAACCCTTAAATCTAAAGCCTAAACCCCAAAATCTAAACCCTAGTATAGGATTAGTGAACCCAAACATATATATTAAAATTAGGAAAAAATGAAATTTTAAATTTCCACACTATAGGTGTAGTTTTGAAAATTTGCACCTCAAGAGGTGTATTTCTTAAAATTTCTCTTGAAGGCTTTGTGTTATACATATTTGTGTGTCTTGAATTATTTTGTTAATAATATACTCCCTCCGTTTTTTAAAGATAAATTTTCTAGTTTTTTCACACAGATTAAAAGAAAGTTGATTTTTGCATAGATTTCTGCAATAAAACAAGTTTTTATAATTTTAAACCAATAAAAATCCAACAAATATAATCATTGTATCTTGAAAACTGAAAAAGTGCATCAAAAAGGTAAAAATTTTATCTTTGTGAAACAACACATAATGGCTAGAAAATTCATTAAAAAAACGGAGGGAGTACTTTTTAATAAATGTTAAAGAACACATATATAAAATCGATACCAACATTCCCTTTGGGATCGACAGTTTTATCGGTTCAACAAGACAAACTGAATCATATTTAAAAATAATTACTTATAATATAAAAATTAGAATTTGCAATCGATTAAAGAATATTTCAAGTCTGATTTTTCTTACAATATTGCTAAATAAGAGTTACATATACGATTAAGTCATTTTGTCAACAAAGAAAACTATAAAGGTTATTTACGTAGAAGATTGATTGAGTTTCTTTCCATTATTACCTGTTTTTTTTTTGATAAAGATTATTAACTGTATATCAATAAAAAAAACAAATGTTTCCATAAGACTCGAATTATGAGCTTTTTTTTGGTTAAAACTCGAATTATGAGTTGCCAAAAGAAAACTCAAGTTACTAAGACTGAATCGTTGCACAAAATCTCATGCCTTTTCAGAATGCACATAGGTGGGTATTGATTCTTTTGAATACCACCTAAGATAATATAAGGTCCGCTACTGCATGATTCCTTTTATTTTAAGTTTTAACTGCATGATTCTTGGAGAAGAAGAATATCGAGATAACTTGAGATGAGTTGGTTTGTTGTTATTAAAATAAGAAGGAAACAAACAAACAAACAAAAGACACATTCTAAGTAGATATGTGTCATTAAAAAGTCATAGAGTCAACGGACTGTCAGAGTCGTGTCCTGGGTCCGTCTAGTCAGAGAGTCAAGCATTTTAGAACTTGACCCCATTCTCATTTAATCCGACGGTGGTGGTGGGCCTCTTGTCTTATTTATCGTCCGATCGGATC